CTCTTGCTGGTCATCATCCTGTCCTGGGACCTACCCAGACTGACTGTCCCCAACCACGTGGAGGCCATGGTGCTCGCGAAAGGCTGGTGGGGGTGCCTTGCAGCCTGGGGGACTCGCCTGGCCTGCCAAGGGAAGGCATGCGCGAGCCCTCAGCCCACCTGCTGTTGGACTGGCTGCTTTTGGCTTCTCCGCCTGGGCAGCATGGACAGCCTGGCAGGGGTGTGGGAGCAGCTGCTGACGAGGCCACCGGAGCCTCAGCCCTGACTCCGCTGCGGCTTGGCCCAGGCCCCCGGTCCTGCATGTTCCTGCTGCCACCTGCCCCTAAGCGCGGAGGGGAGAAAAGTGTGGCGGCTCCGGGGAGGACATCAGGCGTGGCCCGTTGGCGTTGCAACCCCCAGGGCAGCACCAGGCCCTGCAACGATGGTCTCAAGTTGGTGGGCTAAAGGGTCCCTGATCCCTCGCAGGGGACCGACCCTATCAAGATGGAAAACGGACAGAGCACGGCTGCAAAGCTGGGTCTGCCCCCTCTGACGCCTGAGCAGCAGGAGGCCCTGCAGAAGGTGAGGGTCCCCCATGCCCGCCCTGCGCCAGCCCTGCCCCTAGCCCCACCCCCCCACTCACCCCTTCCCCTTTCCCAGGCCAAGAAGTACGCCATGGAGCAGAGCATCAAGAGCGTGCTGGTCAAGCAGACAATCGCCCACCAGCAGCAGCAGCTCACCAACCTGCAGGTGAGCCGGGCGCCGTGCCCCATCCCGCCCCGCCCCTGCGGGGGGCCCCCATCGGCCCCCCACTTGGTTCTTCTTCTTGGACCTGACGCGGCCACCCCAGGGTCTGTCCCCTAGGCTGCACAGCCGCTGGTGCAGCCCGCCGGCGCTCCTTCCCATTCCGGGGGCTGTCAGCCTGGACCACTGGGCCGCTCCAGGATCGAGGGGACCGGTCAGGGGACTCGGCCCTGCTCTAGACCTGGGGCCGGAGGCTGCAGGGCTGTGGGGAAGAGGCCAGGGCAAGGCCGACGGGAGCCTGGGCCTCGAGCCCCTTCGCCCTCAGACATTCACGCTGCCAGGGGCTGCCTCGGCTCCCCCCCCCCCCCGCACTCCGTCCGTCCGTCCGTCCCGCCTCCTCGTCCGCTTCCTCTTCCTCCTCCTCCTCCTCCTCCCCCTTCCTCTGCCCTGGCCAGCCGGGCTTCGGGCAGGCACTGGGGCTCTGAGGCCCCCCTGGGCAGGCAGGGCGGGGACTCCGGGCCTTGCCGCCGTCTGCGTGAGGTGTGACGTGAGCGGAGACTGCTCGGCTCCAACAGACTGAACTCTGTCTTTACTGTCTTTCAGATGGCAGCAGTGACAATGGGCTTTGGAGATCCTCTCTCACCTTTGCAATCGGTCAATAGACATGCTCACTTCTTCCGGGGCTCATGTCCTTAGTCAGGCTAGAGGGGGGCAGCGCAGCCCGCCCGTGGGGGACCTTGCTCCCCTAGCCGGCCCTGCCCGCCAGCTCGGACGAGCGCAGCAGAGCGCCAGGCACGGGGCCAGTGTGTGGGCGGGCACCCACCCGGGAGCGCCCCGGGAGGCCTGCGTCTGCTGAGGGCCCGCCTTAGAGCTGACCGGCAGGTAACCGCGGAGGGCAGCCGGCCAGGAGGGCAGCTGCCCAGGCCACCAGCTCCGCCAGTCTCCAGGCTGTCTGGGCTTCGGGTGGGGGGTCAGGCCCCGAGGAGAGAAGGCGCCTATCTCGCGGCCCCACAGATGCCGGAGGGAGGATGGTTGGACAGGGTGGGGACCGGGGGTGCCTGAGCCCGCAGGAGAGGGAAGGCTCGGACCTGAGGCCTGACTGTCAGCCAGGGAGCAAGTGCAGGACAGGTCAGGGAGGAGGCCAGGGCCACAGTCAGGCTGTGGCCACGCTGGGCAGAAGTCCGGGCCCGGATTTATGGGTACAGAGCCCAGCTTGGGGCCACCCCTGAGTGCTGCTCTGTGGACCAGCCCCTGTCCTTGAGGCCGGGCACACTTGCGTGTTTGGGGGGGTCTGGGGGGCTCAGCAAGCATCTCTGCCTCCTCCTGTCGGGCCGCTGCATTGAGGAAACCTGGGAGGGCTCTTTTCTCAGGGCAGGTGGCTTCATGTCTGAAACACCTGGTGTGAGGCCCGGGGCTCCCTCTGGGCTCCTTGGCCGACCCTGTGGCCTGTCGGAGGAGGGGAGCCCCTGTACTGGGCCTGCTGGTGTCCAGGGAAGGGGCCGAGGAGCTCTTGGTGGCGGGCGGAGCCCGAGCTGGGTCCGCTCTAGCCTGTAGGCACCCCTTGGGGCCCAGCTCCTCCCGGAGGCGCAAAACCCACCCCCACCCCTGCATGAATGTCAGCTCTGAGATGGCAGGCACTGGGCGGCCCCAGGAGAGGCCCAGGCCTCAGACACACACACACACACACACACCCCCAACTCCACCCCCTGACTCCTGGGGCAAAGCCCCTCAGGGTGGTAGCACAATGGGTGCAGGGTTCAGCCCGCCGAGGCCCACACACCCACCCCGCCACTGCTCTTCTCTCTCTGGGAGCCTCTGCTGGGCTCCCTCCCCCGGGGTCATTTCTGGGAGTAGCCACCGTACCTGCTGCCCCCTCTCTTGGACCCTGCCCTCCCCATGCACCCGGGGCTGGGGTGCATCCGGGACCTGCCTTTGGACCCGGCCCGCCCTCAGGGGGAGGGTCCCGCAGAGTGCAGGGACGAGCCTGTGCTGCCGTGTGGCGAGCGGGCTGGGCCGGACAGCCTCCTGCCGCTCCCTTACAAGCCAGCGGCTGTGTCTCCCTCTGTCCCGTGCAGATGGCAGCTCAGCGGCAGCGGGCGCTGGCCATCATGTGTCGCGTCTACGTCGGCTCCATCTACTATGAGCTGGGGGAGGACACGATTCGCCAGGCCTTCGCCCCCTTTGGGCCCATCAAGAGCATTGACATGTCCTGGGATTCTGTTACCATGAAGCACAAGGTGAGGTGCTCAGCGCCTGCCCTCCCTCCCCTGCCCTTCCCTGGGCTCTGCTGGCCTTGACAGTGGTGCCTGCGTCCAGGGCTTCGCCTTTGTGGAATATGAGGTTCCAGAAGCGGCCCAGCTGGCATTGGAGCAGATGAACTCGGTGATGCTAGGAGGCAGGAACATCAAGGTGAGGGCATCTTGCCCACGGGACACCTCACGGCCCCTCAGGAAGCCAGCGGGGCTGACGGGGCGTGCTGACCCCCGCCTCTCCCCCAGGTGGGCAGGCCCAGCAACATTGGACAGGCCCAGCCCATCATCGATCAGCTGGCTGAGGAGGCCCGCGCCTTCAACCGCATCTACGTAGCCTCCGTGCACCAGGACCTCTCTGACGATGACATAAAGAGCGTGTTCGAGGCTTTCGGCAAGATCAAATCTTGCACGCTGGCCCGAGACCCCACGACCGGCAAACACAAGGGTTACGGTTTCATCGGTGAGCGGGGGTGGCCAGGGCGGGCAGGCTGGGCCCCTCTGCACGCTGCCCCTCACCGCTGCTCCCGCCCTGCAGAGTACGAGAAGGCCCAGTCCTCCCAGGATGCCGTGTCTTCCATGAACCTCTTTGATCTGGGGGGCCAGTACTTGAGGGTGGGCAAAGCTGTCACTCCCCCCATGCCCCTGCTCACGCCTGCCACACCCGGAGGCCTCCCACCTGCTGCTGCTGTGGCAGCGGCGGCGGCCACAGCCAAGATCACAGCTCAGGTGAGTGTGATCGTTGGGGACTGGCTCTGGGTGCGGGGGCCCTGAGTGGAGGTGGCTGGACTGGAAGTAAGGCTGATGGACTTTGGGTTGCAGGAAGCTGTGGCTGGAGCGGCTGTGCTGGGTACCCTGGCCACTCCTGGATTGGTGTCCCCTGCACTGACCCTGGCTCAGCCCCTGGGGGCTCTGCCCCAGGCTGTCATGGCTGCACAGGCCCCAGGAGTCATCACAGGTGAGCCTGCTCGGGGCTGGACAAGAGGCTCCCGGCACCCCCTGCTGCCCGAGATGGGGAGTGTGGGAATGACCCTTGGACCTGGTGGCTTTGCTGCAGGTGTGACCCCGGCCCGCCCTCCCATCCCGGTGACCATTCCCTCTGTGGGAGTGGTGAACCCCATCCTGGCCAGTCCCCCGACTCTGGGTCTTCTGGAGCCCAAGAAGGAGAAGGAGGAGGAGGAGCTGTTCCCCGAGTCCGAGCGGCCTGAGATGCTGAGCGAGCAGGAGCACATGAGCATTTCTGGCAGCAGCGCCCGCCACATGGTGATGCAGAAGCTGCTTCGCAAGCAGGAGGTGAGCGGGGGACCCGGGGCACGGGGTGGGGAGGGGCAGTGGGAGGGCAGCCCGCCTCAGGCTTTGTTGTGCCCCACAGTCCACAGTGATGGTTCTCCGCAACATGGTGGACCCCAAGGACATCGACGACGACCTGGAGGGAGAGGTGACGGAGGAGTGCGGCAAGTTCGGTGCCGTCAACCGAGTTATCATCTACCAGGAGAAGCAGGGCGAGGAGGAGGACGCGGAGATCATTGTCAAGATCTTCGTGGAGTTTTCCGTAGCCTCAGAGACTCACAAGGCCATCCAGGCCCTCAACGGGCGCTGGTTTGCTGGCCGCAAGGTGGTGGCTGAAGTGTACGACCAGGAGCGTTTCGATAACAGCGACCTCTCCGCGTGACCCTGGCACGATGCCCGGACTCGTACTTGTTCCCCGTGTTTCCAATGGGTAGTCAAGCCCTTGTGGTGTCGAGGCCAGCCGGCCTGGCGTGTGGATAAAGGCGGCTTGCTGCCGCTCCCCATCCCCTCCTGTCAGCCTGTCCTGTGTTTCTTGGTGGCCGTCGCCACCGCCGCTGGTGGGGGGGCGGGGCGGGGCGGCTTCGGCCGGGGCCGCGCGCGCCAGCTGCAACTCTGGTGGTGGCCTGCGGGGGCGGGGTTCCGACTTCCCGGCAGGCTGTGCGCGCGGGCGGGCGGCGCGCGGGGCCTTCTGGGGGTTGTAGTTCCCGCCGGCCCTGGGCGGGCCTCGCTTCCCGGCGGGCTGCGCGGCGGCCGGCGGTTGTCGGCGGGGCAGTCCGGCGGGCGGCGGCGGCGGCGGGCAGCGGGCGACCCGCGGGCGGCATGTGGGGCCGCCGGCCCTGAGAGCGTGAGCGCCGCCGGCCGCGCCCCCCGCCCCGCCGCCGCGGCCCGACCGTGCCGAGCGTTCTGGGATCGAGCCGCGCCCCGCCCCTGCCCGGCGCCCATGCGGGCCGAGCCCCGCCGCGCCCCGCACCATGCTCAAGTGCATCCCGCTCTGGCGCTGCAACCGGCACGTGGAGTCCGTGGACCGGCGGCACTGCTCGCTGCAGGCCGTACCCGAGGAGATCTATCGCTACAGCCGCAGCCTGGAGGAGCTGCTGCTCGACGCCAACCAGCTGCGCGAGCTGCCCAAGGTGAGCGGCCCGCACCTGCCGCCCGCGCGGCCCGACCCGGCCCGGCCCGGCGGCCGCGTCCGCCCCGCGCGCGGCTCCTCGCCGCGGCCCCTTCCGGTCAGCGGCTTCGCTGCCCCCGAGGCAGCCGGGGGTGGGGGGTGGCGGTTGTCGAGGAAGCAGGGCACAAAGGGGTTTCCTCCGGGCTCCCCGACCGCGGCGCCCGTGCGGGGCAGCGCGCTCCGCGGCCGCGCGCCTCGAGAGGCCCCGGGAGGGCGGGGCGCGCGCCCGGAGCCGTGCGCCGGACCGGCCCTGCCGCCCCGCAGCCCTTCTTCCGGCTGCTGAACCTGCGCAAGCTGGGCCTGAGCGACAACGAGATCCAGCGGTTGCCCCCCGAGGTGGCCAACTTCATGCAGTTGGTGGAACTGGACGTGTCCCGAAATGGTGCGCGCCGCGGGGCCGGGTGGGCGGGAGGGACGGGCGGGGCGGGGGCACCGGGCGCCGGTTGTGGGGGTGACCCGCCGGCGGCCCTGGTCGTCGCAGACATCCCCGAGATCCCCGAGAGCATCAGGTTCTGCAAGGCCCTGGAGATCGCCGACTTCAGCGGGAACCCCCTGTCCAGGTGCGTTGGGCGCGTTCGCGGGCAGGGAGGCCCCCGCGGCCCTGCGCCCCCAACTGAGGCCCCGCCACCTTCCGCACAGGCTCCCTGAAGGCTTCACCCAGCTCCGCAGCCTGGCCCACCTCGCCCTGAATGACGTGTCCCTGCAGGCACTGCCCGGGGACGTGGGCAAGTGAGTGCCCGCGGGCGCGGGGGGCTCCGCCGGCCCGCAGCGCCCCGCCCCGCCCCCTCACACCCCGTGCTCTCTCGTAGCCTGGCCAACCTGGTGACCCTGGAGCTGCGGGAGAACCTGCTCAAGTCCTTGCCCGCGTGAGTCCGCGCTTCGGCCCGGTGGCTCGCCCCCGCCCCGCCCCGTCCTACCCCACCCGCCTGCCCGCCCCGCCCCCACGACCCTTCTCCCCCGCAGGTCCCTGTCTTTCCTGGTCAAGCTGGAGCAGCTGGATCTGGGCGGCAACGACCTGGAAGTGCTGGTGCTCCGAGGCGGGCCAAAGGGCGGGCGCAGGGGGGCTGACTCGGAGGGGCGGGGTGCAGGGGACCACCCCGAGAGGCGGGATGCAGGAGGAATGGTGTCTGAAGATGGATGGAGTCGGAAGAGAGCTGGGGTGCGGGAGGGGCGGAGCACAGAGTGACGGAGTACCGGAGGCAGGGTGCAGGGGGCGGGGTCCCGCAGGGGCGCGCATGCCTCCTCACTGCCCTCGGCCTGCCCGTTTGCAGCCTGACACTCTGGGGGCTCTGCCCAACCTTCGGGAGCTGTGGCTGGACAGGAACCAGCTGTCCGCGCTGCCCCCGGTGAGTGGGTGTGCCGAGTGGGTGCCCCGTGGCCCACCCCCCCCCCTTCGCGGCGCCGGCTCACCGCCTCCTCCCGCCCCCAGGAGCTGGGGAGCCTGCGGCGCCTGGTGTGCCTGGACGTGTCCGAGAACCGGCTGGAGGAGCTCCCGGCTGAGCTGGGCGGGCTGGCGCTGCTCACGGACCTGCTGCTCTCGCAGAACTCGCTGCAGCGGCTGCCTGATGGCATCGGTCAGCAGGCGGGCTGGCCGCCCGCGGGAGGACGGGATGTGTGAAACCCCCTCCCCTCTGCTGAGCGTGTCGTGATGTGCCCCACCCCAGGCCAGCTGAAGCAGCTGTCCATCCTGAAGGTGGACCAGAACCGCCTCTGTGAGGTGACCGAGGCCATCGGGGGCTGCGAGAATCTGTCGGAGCTGGTCCTCACAGAAAACCTACTGACGGTGCGCCTGGCACTGGGCACCCCTACCTGGGTGGGGTGTGGGCCCGGTTGCTGACCTGCTCCACCCCACCCCAGGCCCTGCCACACTCCCTGGGCAAGCTGACCAAGCTGACCAACCTCAATGTGGACCGGAACCGCCTGGAGGTGCTGCCACCCGAGATTGGAGGCTGCCTGGCCCTCAGCGTGCTCTCCTTGAGGGACAACCGCCTGGTGTCACTGCCACCCGAGCTCGCCCACACTGCCGAGCTGCACGTGCTTGACGTGGCTGGGAACCGGTGCGCCCCTACCGCCCCCTGTCCGTCTGCCCACCTGTCCACCCACCCACCTATCCCACCACCCACCTGCCAGCCTGTTCCCTGCTAACCCCCACACTGACCCCGGCCCCTCCGTTCCCATTCCCAGGCTGCAGAGCCTGCCGTTGGCCCTCACCCACCTCAACCTCAAGGCCCTGTGGCTGGCGGAGAACCAGGCACAGCCTATGCTCCGCTTCCAGACAGAAGATGACGCGCGGACGGGGGAGAAGGTCCTCACTTGCTACCTGCTGCCCCAGCAGCCCCCACCCAGCCTCGGTGGGTGCTGGGCCATGGGGTGAGGCACCAGTGAGGGCAGGCGCTGGCCGGCAGGGCACTGACTGCATCACACTGGTTTCCCACAGAGGACCAGCCGCTGCGGGACAGCCCCCCGGAGAGCTGGAGTGACGCCCCGCTTAGCCGGGTCAGCGTCATCCACTTCCTGGAGACCCCCACGGGCGACGAGGACCCTGAGGAAGCCGCAGAGAAGCGGGTAGGGACGGGCCCGGGCAGCGGGTTTCTGCCTCCCTTGGGGCCTCCGGGCCTGGCCCTGCCCAACCTTTGGCCGTTGTCTGTAGGGCCTGCAGCGTCGGGCCACTCCTCACCCCAGCGAGCTGAAGGTGATGAAGAGAGGCGTGGAAGAGCGCCGGGGAGAAGCTCCTGCCTGCAGGCCAGGCCCCAGCGCCCCCTCACCCCCCGTGGAGGTGCCCGTTCTGGGTGACACTGTCCCGCTGGGGGTGCTGGGGATGGGGCAGGGTCTGGGGAGGCCTGTCCGGCCAGTCGCTGTGTCCACCTCTTGCAGAGCTGGGGGGCAGCAGATGACCCAAGCTGGGCCGCCTGTCCTGTCCCGCAGAGGCTGAGTGCCCCGCCTCTGTCCCCAGGAGAGGAGGCTGAGTGTGGGGTCCGGCCCAAGTGAAGGCTCGGCCGTGTCCACAAGCACGGCTTCCCAGGGGGAGCCCGAGGCCCCTGCGACTGAGGTGGCGGCGCCGGGCCAGCAGGAAGCCGACCCGGAGGACTCCCTGGAGGAGAGCTTTGAGGAGGTGAGACTGTCAGTGCCCCTGCCTGGCCCTGGGAGGGCGTGGGGGGCTCCCTCAACGCTCATGCCTGCCCGCCACAGCCCACAGTGCACTTCGCAGAGGATGTGCCGCTGCCCAGTGCAGGTGAGGAGGGCGAGGGGGGCCCTCTGGAGGCACCGTGGCCCCTGCCCGGCGGGAGGCAGCGGCTCATCCGCAAGGACACGCCGCACTACAAGAAGCACTTCAAGATCTCCAAGCTGCCCCAGCCCGAGGCCGTGGCCGCCCTGCTGCAGGGCGCCGCACCGGAGACCGAGGGCTTGGCCGGGCCCGGGGGCTGGCGCAATGGCCCCCACACGCCCTGGGCGCCTCGAGCTGAGGAGGAGGAGAAGGAGGAAGATAATGCGGAGGAGGAGGAGGAGACAATGACCAAGGAGAAAGAGGCAGTGGCCCCCACGCCATCTGTCAAGGTGGGTTTCCTGTCCACCGCCCCAAGGCGGCGCTGGGCCCAGATTCCGACTCCTGCTGGCGTGGGCCCCCTGAGGGCCGCTGAAGCCGTCCCCAGCACGGCCCTGGGCCCAGGCCTGTGTCCACGCTTGCCCTTGCTCTCTTGCGGGCCTTCTGGACCCTGGTGGCTGCCCCGGGCTCTGACTCTCGTGGCTTGTGCTGCACGGCCACGACCCCAGGACACCGAGGGGCCTGGTGATCAAAGCCACCCCTGCCCCATGTGGGCCCCGCCGGGGCAGCGCAGGCCTGGCTGAGGGACTGGGTGGCGTTCTGCTTGGCGCTCGTGGTGGCGGGCGCAGCTCACGGCATGCCCGCTGCTCCGTCCTGACAGGGCGTGTCGTTTGACCAGGCCAATAACCTGCTGATAGAGCCCGCTCGCATTGAGGAGGAAGAGGTCTGTACTCTCGCTCTGTGCTTGCTTCCCGGGCTCGGGGCCACTGTACGCTCACACACCTGCTGCTTCAGCCCGCAGCCTGTGCGGGCCGGTGCTGCTGGGCCGCCTGGGACCCGGTCCCCATGTCTGTTCTGTTTGCAGCTGACTCTCACCATCGTGCGGCAGACAGGCGGCCTGGGCATCAGCATTGCGGGCGGCAAAGGCTCCACCCCCTACAAGGGTGAGGATGAGGTGAGCCCCCACCCCCGCCCCCCTGTGCTGCCCTGCCCCCCGCCCCCCACCCCACGCAGGGCCCCGGGCTCAGCTCCAGCCCCTGTCCAGGGCATCTTCATCTCCCGCGTGTCCGAGGAGGGGCCTGCTGCCCGCGCTGGTGTCCGAGTCGGGGACAAACTCCTGGAGGTGAGTGGGGGCGGGGCCTGGCAGGGACAAGGCCTGGCGGGGGTGGGGCGGGGCCAGCTGGCCTGAGCCCGCTCTCGGCCGGCCACAGGTGAACGGCGTGGATCTGCATGATGCGGAGCACCACCAGGCCGTGGACGCGCTGCGGGGGGCCGGCACCACGGTGCAGATGCGGTTGTGGAGGGAGCGCATGGTGGAGCCTGAGAACGCCGTCACCGTCACGCCCCTGCGGCCTGAGGACGACTCCAGCCCACGGGAGCGGCGGCCGGCCGGCCTGCGCCTGCCCCTGCTGCCAGCCGAGCCCCCCCGGCACCGCCACGTGGCCTGCCTGGCACGCAGCGAGCGGGGCCTGGGCTTCAGCATCGCGGGCGGGAAGGGTTCCACGCCATACCGGGCAGGAGATGGGGTAAGGCCAGGGCGGGGGGTGGCAGGCAGGGGGGCAGCGGGGCCGGGTGTCTGGACGCCACCCACGACCCTCCCCCGCAGGGCATCTTCATCTCGCGCATCGCGGAGGGCGGCGCCGCCCACCGGGCGGGCACCCTGCAGGTTGGAGACCGAGTCCTCTCGGTGAGTGCCACGCACACACTCGCTGCCTGCCAGCCCCGCCCCCCTCGCACCCCCGCCCCTGACCCTGGCGCTCCTGCAGATCAACGGCGTGGACATGACGGAGGCCAGGCACGAGCACGCCGTGTCCCTGCTGACCGCTGCCACCCCCACCATTGCGCTGCTGCTGGAGCGGGAGGCGGGGGGCTCCCCGCCCCCCAGCCCCCCTCCACAGCCCCCCTCCCCCCACACCGCTGCTGCCACGCCCGCGCTCACTGCCAGCCCTGCTGAGTGCGGGCCCCTGCGCCTCACCCCCAGCCTGCTGGCTGTGGCCCTGGAGGGCCCGTACCCGGTGGAGGTGAGTGCCCTGGGCTCCCGCGGTCCCCGGGCGGGGAGGGCACCTGTCCCTCGGAAACCATTCTCAAGCCGGGCCCCTGTCCCCAGGAGATCTGCCTGCCGAGAGCCGGGGGCCCGCTGGGGCTCAGCATCGTGGGGGGCTCCGACCACTCGAGCCACCCCTTTGGGGTGCAGGAGCCAGGAGTGTTCATCTCCAAGGTAGGCCAGGGCCAGCCCCGGGCCCAGGGTCCTGCCCGGAGCCACGCTGACCTCTGGCCTCCGCAGGTGCTGCCGCGGGGCCTGGCGGCGCGCAGCGGCCTGCGAGTGGGGGACCGCATCCTGGCGGTGAACGGGCAGGATGTGCGTGGGGCCACGCACCAGGAGGCGGTGGGCGCGCTGCTGCGGCCGTGCCTGGAGCTGGTGCTGCTGGTGCGCAGGGACCCGCCGCCGCCCGGCATGCGCGAGCTCCGCATCCACAAGGCGCCCGGGGAGAAGCTGGGCATCAGCATCCGCGGGGGGGCCAAGGGCCACGCAGGCAACCCCTGGGACCCCACCGACGAGGGCATCTTCATCTCCAAGGTGGGCTGCCGGGCACAGGCCGGGCCCAGGGCGCCGTGGGGCCGGGTCTGAGCCCGCCTCACCCTCCCTAGGTCAGCCCCACGGGAGCGGCTGGCCGCGATGGACGCCTGCGCGTGGGGCAGCGGCTGCTGGAGGTGAACCAGCAGAGCCTGCTGGGCCTGACGCATGCGGAGGCTGTGCAGCTGCTACGCAGCGTGGCTGACAGCCTCACGGTGCTGGTCTGCGACGGCTTCGACGCCAGCACCCCCGGCCCTCCCGAGGTACGTGGGCTGGCTCTGCCCCGGACTCCCGCAAGTTCCCGAAGTTCTCCTCTGCTCCGTCCTGAGCGCGGCCCTTTCCCTCCCCAGGTGTCCCCGGGCACCATCGCCAACCCCTTGGTGGCCAGCCTGAGCCGCCGGCACAGCTTGGAGAGCCTGTCTTCTGTGGACCGCGAGACGAGCCCAGAGGGCAAGGTGGGGCCAGGGCAGCAGGGAGGGAACTGTCCTGAGACTTGGGGGGGGCAGTGGGGAGCAGCGGGGCGGGGACTGTTCTCCTGAGGCTTAGGGGGCAGCGGGACAGGGACCGCCCTCCTGAGGCCTGTGTTTCCCCCACAGGACGATCTGCCATTGCAGACGCCCCCGCCGTGGGGGCTGGACACTGTGGTGAGTGGGGCACTCAGAAGCACAGCCTGAGGGAGCAGCCAGTCCCCCGGCTGCCCCCCCTCTCAAGTGCCCTGTGCACTGTGACCTGTCCCTGCTCGGTCCCAGACTGGGGGGCACCCGGAGGGGTGCCAGCAGAGACGTGGGCTGGGGCAGGCTTCACGTGGCCCGCCTGCCCCTCACCCTGCCGCCCCCCTCCCCCAGCTCGCTCCATCTGGGAAGACTGCCGAAGCCCCCTGCCTGCCTGGCCAGCCTCCGGTGAGCACCCCGTCAGCCCCTCCCTCGCGGTCCCCCACCTCTGAGCCCCTGGCCTCAGCCCTTTGCAGACAGGAGGGTGGGGTATTCCCCTCTGGCTTTTAGCCGGAGCTGAAGGCACTGGGTGCCACCTCTGGGGGTGCATCCCAGCCTGGATCACCCGCCCGCAGCTCCCCTCCCCACCCTCCCCGGATGAGCTGCCTGCCAGCGTCAAGCAAGCGTACAGGACGTTTGCTGCCGTGCCCGGCCCAGCCCTGCCCCAGGATGACCTTGTCCAGGTACTGGCGGGTGGACTTGCCCTCTCCCGGGCTGCTAAACCCCGACTGAGCCCCTGCTCAGTCTGTGGACTCCCCTCTCAGCCCCTCACGCCAGGGCCTGCAGCCCCCCCAGAGCAGCTGTCCTTCCGCGAGCGGCAGAAGTACTTTGAGCTGGAGGTCCGGGCACCTCCGGCGGAGGGGCCCCCCAAGCGTGTGTCCCTGGTGGGCGCCGATGACCTGCGGAAGATGCAGGAGGAGGAAGGTGAGCAGGGGGCAGGCATGCGGGCCGGCAGCCGGTGGCTGGGAGGGAGGAGGGACTCAGAGCTGTCTGCTGCCTCTGCCAGCCCGCAAGCTGCAGCAGAAGAGGGCGCAGATGCTGCGGGATGCAGCCCAGGTGGGGCGCACGCCGGACCCCGATGACAACGGAGAGCTCGAACCCGAGGAGCCCCCCTGGGCCGGCCCAGGCCTCCCTGCAGGGTGAGACCCGCCCCGTCGTCCCCCTCAAGCCCCCCCGCGCCTGCGGCCTAGGCCAGCCCTCTCAGCCTCTTTCTCCCTCACGCAGGCCTGGCCCCGGGTCCCCTCCCCTGCCCGGAGGCAGCGCTCCTGTCAGGACCGCCAAAGCCGAGCGCCGCCACCAGGAACGGCTGCGCGTGCAGAGCCCAGAACCTCCAGCACCCCCGGAGCCTGAGCGGGCTCTGTCCCCGGCGGAGCGCCGTGCCCTGGAGGCCGAGAAGCGGGCCCTGTGGAGGGCGGCCAGGTGAGGGCCGGCTCGGGTGGGGCAGGGTCGCCCCACACTCAGAACTGCGCCTCCAGCTGCCCACTCCCCTCCCGAAGGATGAAGTCCCTGGAGCAGGACGCGCTCCGCGCCCAGATGGTCCTCAGCAAGTCCCAGGACGGCAGGGGCAAGCGTGGGCCCCTGGAGCGTCTGGCGGAGTCCCCCTCCCCTGCGCCCACCCCGTCACCCACTCCCTTGGAAGGTGCGTTTGTCTAGGGGGAGGCGGGGCTCAGCCCGCAGCAGGGACCCCTCCCCACAGCCACGCCCTGTTTGTCCCCCAGATCTCAGCTCTCAGACCAGCAGCTCCCCAGGCCGACTGGTAAGGGCCTTGGGGGGGCTGGCTGTCGGGGGGCTGCTCTGCTCTGCTCGTTCGCTCACTCTGCCTCTCTCCTCCATGCCGTCCTGCCCAGGCCTTGTCTGGGAGGAGGTTTGACTACAGGGTCTTTGCCGCCCTCCCTTCCTCCAGGCCTCTCTGTGGCATCCAGGTACCTGCCTGCAGTGCCCGGCCTGTCTCCTCCAGCTCCCTCTGGCTTGGGGTGGGCAGGGCTGGGGCGGGGCAGATCCTGATGGAACATCCCTGTCCTCAGTCCCCAGGTCTGACAGAGGACATGAGGTCCTTGGAACCATCTCCCAGTCCCGGTGAGTGGGCAGCCCGGCCCCAGGGAGTTCCCGTGCCCAGGCCCGCTGCTCACTGTGACCCACCCCCCGCCCACAGGCCTGCAGCCGGAGGATGGAGAAGTGGCCATGGTGCTTCTGGGCAGGCCCTCTGAGGAGGTGGCCCTGTGCAGCAGCCGCCGGCCCGTGCGGCCAGGGCGCCGCGGCCTGGGCCCAGTGCCCTCCTAGAGCCTCCCTGGCCTGGGGCAGAGCAGCCGGCGGCGGCAGTGCCTCCCCCAGAGTCCTCTAACATGGGTGTTAGCGTTTGGAATAAAGACCCCTCAGGAGCCACTAACTGCCCCTCCCCTCCAGGACCTCTCGGCAAGACTGTAACTAGTGATGTTTGTACAACCAAAGACTCTATTTTGTGGTTTAAGGAGAATAAAATTGACTACGTTTTACTCGGGCCTTGGGTTGCGCTGCCCCCTCCCCGCACACCGTCACGGGGTTGGGGCCTAGGGGCCCCGCGGCGGCTCCACGCGTACCGGGAGCAGGACCTGCAGCTGCTCGGCCGGAGGCCACCGCAGCCTAGTGACGAAGAAGAGCCGGAAGTGGCCCAGCCGTGCCTCCTGGAACTGGCTGGCGCTGTACTCGGGCCCGTCGCCTGCTCGCAGCAGTGACAGGTACCGGTCCTGCTCCAGCAGGGCGCGGTCCAGCAGCTCCTGCGCCAGGCCCGGCTGCACCGCGTCCAGCTGCCGCTGCACCACGGGGAACAGGTCCACCTCGCGCAGGTCGAACACCAGCGGTTTCCCGAACCTGGGCGGGGTGGGGTGGGGTGGGCCCATGGGGCTGGACCAGGCAGTGAGGAGGGGGCGGGGCTGATGGGACTTGACCAGGCAGTGGGGCTGGGGCTGGGGCTGGGGCCGGGCGTTGGGTGTCTGACCTGGGGCTGCGTGGCCTGCGTACCTGAGCGCCCCCAGCAAAGCCAGGCGAATGGTCTCTGGCCTCATGTGGTCTGGGTTCACTGTGTCCACGTAGTTGGTGTCCTGGTAGCGCAGGAAGGTGGCCGCCTGCCCCGAAGGGTCGATTACGAGGGGCCACCTGTGGCAGCACAAGTCAAAAGGGTGGGCCAGAAGCCTCGGATGTCCCTCTTCCATTGTCCCCAGCCCTGGCCACTGACCGGCCATCCATATAGATGCGGTCGCCCACGTCCTTCATTAGGACGTCATGCAGCTCGGTGACTTGGCACTTCAGCCCGGGGAACTCCTCCTCTGCAGGGACGGGAGGTTGGTGTCAGCCAGGGTCCCCCACTGGCACACTCCTACCCTGCCGCCCTGGCGAGCCCACCCACCCTCCGGGGTCTGCTCCCGCAGTTCCAGCCTCGCCAGGGCCAGCGTCTCCTCAGCCTTCTGGGCCTCCTGCCGGAGCCTGTCCACTCGGTCCTCGGCGTCCTTGATGGCCTGGAGGAGGCACCACATCCCCCTTAGCACCTGACAGCCTCCCTGCGGGGGGGGGGGGGGAAGCAGGGGTGAGGGGGGGAAGAGCACCTGCCCCCGGGGCCCGACGGGGTGGGGCCCACCTGCAGTGTGATCTGGGACAAGCCCTGGTGCCGCTGCTCACATTTGTCGTGCTCTGTGACCCTCCGGTACAGTTCGCAGTAGGCCTGCTGCAGCTGGGGACACTCACTAGCCTCCAGACCAGGTCCCCTCACTATCCTCCTCCCAGGTACCCCACGGCAGGGCTCACCTCCTTGTGGCACTGCTGCTGCCCCTTGGCCAGCTGCTGCACCTTGTTGGTCAGGCTGGGTGCGAGGAAACACGGGTCAGGGAGCCTCCTTGCCACGGCCCGCCCGCCCACCTGCTTCCCGCTGGCCACACCGCTGGGTCTCGGCCTCCTTGTGCTGCTGGGCCTCCTGGGCGCGGCGCTGCCTCTCCGCCTCCATGTTCTCAAGCATGGCATCCGTGAGGCTCAGGTCCCACGACTGCAGCACGTGGACCACGGCATCCAGAGAGGCCACCTGAGGGGACAGAACTCTAGCCAGGGGCGGTGTGGTGTGTGCGGCCCCTCCCGAGAGGCACTCTGCCACCTGTAGCACTTGCATCCCCGGGCCCACCCACGGAGCCTTCCTGATCCTCCTGGACCCACAGGGACTCGGGCAGGCTTGACCTCAGGCCTGGGGGAGCCTGTCCCCTCTCTCTCCCCGGTGGGAACTCCAGTTGTCTGGCTGCTGGGCTCCTGCAAACCCCTAAGCCTTCCACACTCTGCTTCTCTTCTGTTGGCTGTTCACCCAACCCAGTTTCCAGACTCAGTCTCAGGCTGGCTATTTCAGTCTGTTTCACTCGGAGGGTCTCACCAGATTGTCTCGTTCATTCTCCCCCACCCCGGGGTGCTTGGAGACTTGTCACCCATTTCAGACAGCCTGAAGGGTGAGACTCAGCCCCAGGACCACCAGATCAACGCCCCTAAAGAGCCACCTGCACCCCACCCCCTCCCTGGCACCCACAGCCTGGGAGAGCAGGTGGGAGCAGGGGGCTGTCTTCCTAACTGAAGGAGGAAGAGCCCAGAATCACCAGGGGGTGTGGAAGCGGGACTCGAGCACCCACTTTACCGCAGGGGATGCTCTGGGTGCCTGTGAGGGTTCGCAGGTGTCCTAGCTATGTCCCCGGCGCCCGCGTCTCCCTCCGCCCACCACAGGGAGTTCGTCTAGCAGGACAGGGAGGGCCCTGCGGCTGGAACTGAGGGAGCTGTGCGGGGAGGGGGTCCGATACCCTGCAGAGCTCCTTATCTGAGGCCCAGGAAGCACCTGCTGCCTCCTCAGTTACCCCACTCACGGGGTGGAGGAGGGTGGGAGAAGGACTTGCGACCCGGGAAGGGAGACTAGCGGGAAGGCCCCGGGCTCGGCCCCTCGCGACCCCACACCTGGGCCGGCGTGTTCCCGTCCTCGGCGTACACGCGGGGGTCAGCGCCCAGCTGCAGCAGCACCTCCACGGCCTCCAGGTGTCCGCCAAAGGCAGCGCGGTACAGCGGGGTGCGCCCGAACGCGCCCTGCGGAGGCCGGACTCTCGCAGCCGCCGCCCCTGCCGCGTCCCGACACGCCCCTGCACCCCGCCCCCGCGCCACGACCCTGCCCCACCCTCCCCCACGCCGCGCCCCTGACACGCCCCTGGCCCCCGCGTTTCGCGCCCCTCCTCCCCACGCCGCGCCCCGCCGCGCCCCCACGGGCCTGTCCCCGGCCCACCTTGCTGTTGGGGTTCGCGCCCAGCTCGGCCAGCAGCCGGATGGCCTGTGGCTGCCCGCCCGCGGCCGCCTCGGACAGCGGCGTGTTCCCGTAGCCGTCCTCGCTCTCCACCGTGGCCACGCGCCGCTGCCGTCGCCGCTCCGCGCCCGCCTCGTCGCGGCCCACGCCTTCGCGGCTCATCTCCACCTCCACCTGCGGACGCCGTGTCACCCGCGCCGCGCCCCACCTCCCGCGACCCCGCGCCACCCGCACCCCGCGTCACCCGTGCCCCGCGCGACCTCCGAGCCCGCGCCCGCTTCAACCGCGCCCCGCGTCACCCCTGCCCCTCGTGACCCCCGCGACCCCCGAGCCCCGCGCCCGCGTCACCTGCGCCCCTCGTCACCCACGCACCGCGCGACCCCGCGAACCCCGCGCCCCCAGTCACCCGCGCCCGGCGCGACCTCCGAGCCCCGCGCCCGCGTCACCCAAGCCCCGCGTCACCCAAGCCCCGCCCCGCGCGACCCCCCCGAGCCCCGCGTCACCCGCGCCCCGTGCGACCCCGCGCCCCTCACCCCGCCCGCACCTCCTGCAGCACGGCGTCGATCTCAGCCAGGTTCCCGTCGAAGGCCGCCTCGCGCAGACGCACGCGCCGCCGCTGCTCCTCCCGCCGCCGCCGCTCGGCCTCCTCCTCCTCCTCGCGCCGCCGCCGCGCCGCCGCCTGCTCGCGCCGCACCATCTCCAGGTAAGCCTGGGGCCGGGGTCGGGGGGCTAGAGCCGTCACTGTCCGCCGCGGCCTCTCCCCTGCTTCGCATCCGTGCCGCGCCCACCTCCCGCTGCAGCCTCTCCATCTGCTCCAGGTAGGCCTCGCGCTCCAGCCGCCGCCGTGCCGCCTCCTTCCGTGCCAGGTGTCGGCGGACCGCGCACTGCAGCACCGTGGCCGCCTGGTCCTCCCGGGTGGGTCCTGCGGAGAAGCGAGGCGGCTCCTGCACCCGGCCATGCGGTGGCAGGGCCGCTTGATCCCAGCCTTACAGGTTGCACCGCTCCTCTCCTGGCACCCCGCAAACTGGCAGAGACCCGGCAGGTAGAGGGGGGCCCCTCCCGGGAGCCCAGGGACTGCTCAGGCCGAGGGAGCACCTGTAGGAGCGCCTGGCCCTGAGCCTCTGGCCTCACTGGCCCTTTCTCTAATCCGGGCTGATGGTGGTGACTGGAGACCACCCCCAAGGTTGTCCAGGCTGACTGGCGCACACCCCCGATAGTCACATACACACAGAGCGGTCCCTGGCACCACATACGGCCCCCAAGTCCGGCCAGGAGCAGCGGTCCCTGATGACAGCCAGGTGTGCTGGCAAACCAAAGCATCAGCGCCAGGCCTGCAGGAGTCCCACCCATGTGCCCCCAAATCCAGGAGAACAGGACAGCAGCCTGGGGGTGGCCGGAGAGGGCATGTTCTTGGCCGGCAGAGAAGGTCAGCAAAGGTGAAGCTGAGCGGGGTGGCAGGGAAGCAATACCAGGACAATGTCACAAGAATGCGCGTCAGACGCAGACTGAGGGGTTACGGAGGACAGTGCAGGGGCAGGATGTGGCACGCTGATGAGGCTCCGGGTGCACCGAAAAGAGAAGAAAACTCCCCGGAATGAATGAAGGACCTGACCCATCCCCGGGAAGCACCATCAGGGACTCCTGGCCAGTGTCACATGCCGGAGAGGGAGCAGGCCTGCCTGCCCTGGACACCTCCAGCAGGAATCCCGCCTCAGTCTGGTGCCAGCCTGCTGGGGCACATTCTGGACACTTCGCTCTGGGTACTGCTGGGTCACTGCCCTGGTGGGAGGCCTCTGCTGCTGTCCCCAGAGATTCCTGCTGCAGTGGAGCTGCCAGCCAGTATCTGGTCTGCATCCGGCCAAGGGCTCGGAGCAGTCACCGCTGAGGGCGGCCAGCGGTCCAAGTGATCATGTTTAGGAGCTGCAAAGCCTCCAGGCCCAGCAACCCACTGTGTGAGAAGCCAGTGCTGTAAACTGAGGGACTGAGGGGTCTGTGGCAGGCCCCCCCCCCCCCCCGCCCGTGCCTCCAGGCACCACCGGTTCCAGGGATGTCAGCCCAAAGATGGAAAGCCCAGAGGGGCTTTGTCAGTGGGGGGCTGGAGAGTGGGAGTGGCCTCCCTGCCCCCTCCCTTGGGCAGAGGTCCCGAGACACCCTCATCCCTGCCTCCTCTCTGCCCCTGCCCTGCCCTGTTTGGGGTGTGGCCTGGTACACAGCTTGCCTTCAGGGGTCCCGGTGGCAGCCAGCCCAGCACTCCTGGACTCGGAAATGTGGCAGAGGAGCTGACGAGAGCCCAGCGGTATCTGACAACCACCGTGTGCAGTGAAGCCACAATCTCTGATCACCGATGGAGCTGAGCTTTCTACTGCCCGCGGCCAGAAGCTCGAAGCACCCCCTTGCCCACAGGGCAGATGGAAGCAGGTATGGAAAGGGAACTCTGACCCTCAGAGGGGCTGAGTGGGCATCTGGGCCTTTCTCTGCTGGGCCCCTTTGCTTTTTTTGTTTTTTTGTTTTGGGGCCATGCCCAGGAGTGCCCCTGGATTTGGAGTGGGGACCCTGTGGATTCAACTCTTTTAGCCTCTTTCCTGCCCATCTCTGGCCATTGCGCCTCCACTGCCCATTTTCAGATCCAGCTGTGGAAGTGGCGACCTGAATGCGGGGTCCCTCCGTGGGGTGGGCTGCGGTTCAGCTGCTTTATTCCAGACGAGGCACCTGATGTGGATGGCCTTCCCTGGGGGGGGCAGTCATGTCCCCCCGCTTCTCTGAGCTTGTGCAAGTCATCCTTTGCCAACCTCTCCTCTCTGTGTCACTTTGCCGCCGGGGCCTGACCAGGCAACAGCTGAAGAAGGAACTTGTCCTTGAGGGCAGCGATAGCTCAACACATGCAGAACTCACTGCAGAGGTCGCTGCGCCACACTCAGGGACTCAGGCCTGCGTGCACAGTTCCGGACTCTCAAGGGCAGAGGTACAATAGCACCCCACCCTAGGGTGTGGAGAACAGACTCCCCAGGGCCATGCTGGGCACCTGCGGGACATGTGGCTGAGGTGGGATAGGGGGAGGGCTGGCAACAGGCCACCTTGAAGCTGCCACATCTGCTCCACATCCTGGTGATGGCACCAGAGATCAGTGTATAGGAGGGCAGAGAGAGCAGGGCAGGGCAGGACAAAGGATGGCGGCGCTGGCCACCCCAGAGGGGCTGCACCTGCTCCTGCAGGCCCAGAGCCCACCTGGTGAGGTGGGGCTGTTCTCGAAGGTTCATGGGAAGCCACTGCCCTCGACAAAGACAGCCTGTCAGTAGGGAATGTGGAGCCTGCACACGGGGCCATCACTCTCCTTCCTGGGCAGGCGCAGGCCAGACCTCTTTCCTGGCTTCTGTCCAGGACTCAGCCGGCCACTCCAGGACACGGGCCAGGTGGGACAGGGCCAACAGACCCCAGTGGACAGCTCTCAGACCCAGAACCCACTTCCTGGCTCCGTGCCCCAATCCGTGCAGCCCAGCAGCCAGGCACCCAGCTCAGCTCATCCTGGCCCAGAGCTGACGATGCCTCATACCCGCACTGTGCAGGGGCGGCTGTCCCGGGTCCTGACGACCAGCTCAGGGAGCCACTCGCCAGCACTTTGCGGAGCTCTTACCGCAAGGGGCCATGAGCAGAGAGGAACTCTCAGCCCGGGATGGGGGTGACAGCTGTCAGTTTGGACGTGCTCTGGGCTGAGACACCCGGAGAGGGTTCAGCTGAGTTTGGGTTCGGGGTGGAGGGAGAAGTGTATCAAGGCAGAAAGATGCAACTCTGGTGACAGGGCTGAGATGGAGACGTCAGGAGGTGACTCGGGAGAAGCCTGGGGACACCAGGTGTCCTGGCCCTGGAGCCCCTGCCTACCGCCCCGATGTTGGCTCCTGCCACATGAGGGCGCCAACGCGCAGACCAAGGGCCAGACCAGGGCCACTAGCCTGTCGCTCTTGGCTTTTGGCTTCCTGGCTCTGCAGGACAGCGGCCCCTGGGGCACTCACTCTGTGGTGGGCCAAGACTAGGCCCTGGGAGGGACATGGCGCTCAAGAGCTTGTGTGTAGGGGCTGGAGCAATAGCATAATGGGGAGGGCATTTGCCTTGCATGTGGCCGACCTGGGTTCGATTTCCAGCATCCCATAGGGTCCCCTTAGCACCGCCAGGAGTAATTCCTGAGTGCAGAGCCAGGAGGAACCCCTGTGCATCGCCGGGTGTGACCCAAAAGCAAAAAAAAAAAATAAGAGCTGGTGTGTGCCCTTTGGCACACCCACGTGAGTTGCACACCCGCCTAGACCCTGAGCACCCAACATGCGCCCTCCTGCACGCCAGCCATCTCCCTGTAGGCCGGGACTCCTGTGCGCCTACCGGCACCCTGCACCCCCACACACACACTCTCACACTTTGACACACACCTTCCAGAACACACACAAACCGTCCTGTGCACATTCTTGTATGCCTGCAGCCCTCCTGCACACCTTCCAGCACCCCACACCACCTCACCCTCCCTCACACCTGCACACCTTCCCGCACACCAGCTTGTGCCCCGACTCACTTCAACTGATCCTCCCTGCACACCCACCTCACCCCTCCTGCATGCCCGCCTCACCCCTCCTGCACACCCGCCTCAAGCCTTCTGTACACCCGCCTCAAGCCTCCTGCACGCACCTCAACCCTCCTGCATGCCCGCCTCACCCCTCTTGCATGCCTGCTTCACCCCCTCCTGCACACCCACCTCAGCCCTCCTGCACGCCTGCCTCACCCCCTCCTGCACACCCACCTCACCCCCTCCTGCACGCCCGCCTCACCCCTCTTACACGGCCATCTCAACCGTCCTGCACGCCCGCCTCACCCCTCCTGCACGCCCGCCTCAACCCTCCTGCACGCCCACCTCACCCCTCCTGCACGCCCGCCTCAACCATCCTGCACGCTCGCCTCACCCCTCTGCATGCCCACTTCACCCCCTCCTGCATGCCCACCTCAACCCTCCTGCATGCCCTCCTAAACCCCCCTGCACGCCCGTCTCACCCCCTCCTGCACGCATGCCTCACCTCTCCTGCATGCCCACTTCAACCCTCCTGCACGCCCACCTCAACCCTCCTGCACGCCCGCCTCACCCCTCCTGCACGCCCGCCTCACCCCCTCCTGCATGCACGCCTCACCCCTCCTGCATGCCCACCTCACCCCTCCTGCATGCCCACCTTACCCCTCCTGCACGCCCACCTCACCCCCCTGCATGCCCGCCTCACCCCTTCCTGCATGCCCGCCTCACCCCTCCTGCACGCCTGCCTCACCCCTCTTGCACGCCCGCCTCACCCCTCCTGCACGCCCACCTCACCCCTCCTGCACGCTTGTCTCAAGCCTTCTGCACGCCCGCCTCACCCCCTCTTGCACACCCATCTCAACTCTCCTGCACTCCCACCTCACCCCTCCTGCATGCCTGCCTCACCCGTCCTGCATGCCCACTTCAACCCTGCTGCACACCCGCCTCACCCCTTCCTGCATGCCCGCCTCACTCTTTCTTCACACTCTCCTGAATCCACTTGCTCCTGCACACCTGCACACTGGTGCAGTGGCACATTCTCCCACAGAGCTGTGAGGCCCTGTTCTCCCTCTCTGCAGTTGCACCACTGCAAGCATGGAACCTGGGGCTGACCCCGCCCTTCCAGCCCCAGTCTGGGTCCTCAGAGCCTCTTACCTATGGGGGCCTCTGGGTCCTTAGTGGGTGTGGGCTCCTGCGGCTGCTGCTCAGGGTTCCTTTGCAGCTGGGCTGTGTTCCTTGGCTTCCCTGGGGAGGAGGCTTTCCACAGACAGGCCCTTCCCCTGCAGACTCAGCTGAGTCCTAGTGGCTGGGGGACCCTCCTTAGGGCCCATATGCCAGCACAGCTCAAGTGACCAGGGAGCAGGACCTCATCCTCCCAGACCCCGCCTCCTGGGTGGGTATCTCTGGCAGGGAGCTCCGCCCTCTACTGGCACCCCTGCCACTACTCTTCCGGCCCCTTCTTCCTGGTGTTCTGTCTGCAAGAGCCAGGCAGGGCTGGGCTGGCCGGGCAGGGCAGGCTGGGAGAACCAGTCCAGCAACTGTGGCACAGCAGGCTGGGATGGGGCCCTGGGCTTGGGGTGACTCAGCCAGCCTGGGGCCGGGGAAACGGGGAGCAGGCTGTCTGGGGCCCTCCCAGCAGGAAGCCAGGGATGCCAGTGACCCATCCCACTCTGTCCGCGGCTCCTCAGACCCCGCTTCTGTGGGTAGAATAGCCGGACCCCAACAGCAGTGCCTCGGGCGCTGGCCCACCCCGAGGCTGGACGGTCTCCTTCAGCCTGCCACTGTCCACAGGCCTTTCCCACACTGCCTTGGCCACCAGCCCACACCGCTGGCCAGCACCCTCCTCGCAGTCCCCACAGGGCCCAGGCAGCTCAGGGCCTGCTGGCACTTGGTGCCGGGAGCCTGGGAGTGCCGCCTCCCAGGGCCAGTGGGCAGGGGAGGGTGTGGCCAGCAAGGGTGTCCGGATGGTCACCGTGGCCGAGATACAGCTGCAGCCGCACCGACTCGGGACGGAGTTCCCGGGACCCAGGCTGGCAGGGGGAGCTGGGCGTGGCGGGGGGGGGGGGCCGCAGTGCCTGCGCAGGGCAGGACCAGACTCGCCGTGCACACAGCCTGGCCTGGCTGCGGAGCCGCCTCCCCCGGTTTCTCTGTCTCCCTCCCCTCCTGGCCCACGAGGCCCGTGTCCGTGAAGTCCTGCCCTGTGTCAGCGCGTTAGTCAGCCCGGGCCGGCGAGCCATCACACCGCAGAGGCCCCATAAACTCAGGGGAGTGGGGCCGCGAAGCCCACAGGCAGAGCTGCGCCAGGCCGGGAGCAGGCGCGGGGCCCTCCTGATGCGCTGGGCCCCCAGGAGCAGACGCCTGCGAACAGGGCTCAGGAAGCAGCATGTCTGGGAAGCGGAGCCGCGCTCGCAGACCCCGGGCCAAGAGGGTGGGCAGGGCCCAGCAGGCGTCAGGGCCCCCGCCCCCGACCGCAGGGGGCGCTCAGGACCAGGTGGGGGTGGCCCCCACAGGACACGTGACCAGTGGCCAGCTGTCTCGCCAGGGACACCCCACGCTGGCCCGGCCAGAGCAGGCCCAGGCAGCCAAGAGGCCACTGCCGGCAGCTGCTGCGGGGTCCGAGCTGGCGCTAGTCCCCACCGCGGACATGGACGGCTGTGGGGCCAGGGGCCTCACGCCAGGCCTGGGCCCAGAGCTGCTGAGGCTGCACGAGGTCCAGCTCTGCCTGGCGCAGGAGCAGCTGCTGCTGGAAGACCGCCAGCAGCAGGCCCAGCTGCAGATGCAGCTGTGGCAGCAGGAGCAGGCCTGGCTGCAGCAGCTGCGGCAGGACCATGCCTGGCTGCAGCTGTGGCAGGAGGAGCAGGCCTGGCTGCGGCAACTGCGGGAGGACCAGGCCTGGGTACGTGTGGAGGGGCTGGAGCTGGCCCTGGCCCTGGAGCAGCTGCGCAGCCAAGGCCTCGAGGGGCTGCACCCTGATGGCCAGGTAAGGTTCTGTGGACTCTGGATGGCGGGGGGGGGGGGGGGGGGGGGGGGGGCTGGTGCACCGCCACCCTCCCGGTTCGGGCGAGGGTCGGGAGGTGGGCTGCGGGCTGGCCTCCCCGCCCCCCCCCCCCCCCCCCCCGCAGTCAGGCTGCTGCCGCCCCGCCCCCATGCAAAGACGAGGTGACCTCACTGAGCAGGTGGAGAGAGGGGGCCCGGGGCAGCACCTGTTACATGCAGGGGGAAACTGAGGCAGGATCTTTCCCCCGCCCCAGCCCCCAGCTGCCCGGGGCCGTGTTGGGGGCCAGGTGAGAACTTGGAGCACCCCCCCCCCCCCCAGCCAGCCCAGCCTGCTTCCTGGTCCTCGCCCTGTTTACTGCACTGTGTCCCCAGGCTTGAGGCTGCGGACGCGGCACGCAGCTCACCGCCCTCCTCCTCATTCCAGGAGGGCTGCGCCTCAGACGCCGCTGGGGCTATTTTGGGGATGTCGGGTCTACCCTGCTTGGCACGGAAGGCCAGTCACCACTGGACAAGCCGTGCTGGGTCCAGGCGTCATCCAGGGCCCAGGCAGAGGAAGCCAGCGAAGCAGACAGGTCCCCTGCTCACGGCAGGGGCCAGAGCTGCAGATGTTCTCAGCTCAGTCAAGGAAGGGACAGGAAGGAGGGAGGTGGCAAGACAAACAAGAGGTGCACAGGGCAGCGTGCCCCTTCCTGTCCCACAGAGAGCAGAGCCCAAAGCTGGATGGAGCCGCAGAGAGGGTGGCCCGGGGGAAGGGGGGGGGCAGCGGGGGAGAATGGACCCCACACCTAGCCTGGAAACCCCAGCTCAGACTCGGACCTGCCTCTGCCTCTCCACGCGCTCTCACGGTACCCCTGCCAACAGCTGCAAAGGGGTGGACTCAGGGTCAGCCCAGAGTGGACATCCAGCCCTGAGCCCTCAGTCCACCAAGCCCAGCTCAGAGGGCAGGGGCAGTGGGGGCAGGCGACCTCTGCACATCAGGCCTGGGGCTAACTCACCAACAGCAGCGCTTGGCTTGGCCCCTCGGGGAGACGGCTGCCCCTTCCGTGGCAGGGCTGTGGAGTGCCCCTTCTTACTGCTCATTCTCCTGGGCTTATGGGGAAAGGGGGGATCTGCAGGGGCCCCGCTGGGAACAGACCAAGCACCCTACCACGGGGCAGCCTCCTGTTCTGTCCACCTGTACGGTGTGAGTAGTGGTCATGAGTGGACATGCTGGCAAGGACCGTGGCCTCTGGCCAGTCCACTCTTGCACTAGCGCTGGACCCCCCCACTAGCAACTTTGCCCCTGACCTCCACCCTGCAGCAGTGGGGGCAGTGGGGCAGCCTCCTTCCTACTCCCCAGTCCTTCTGGTGATCCCAAAGTCCACTTCTGGGGCCGGAGCGACAGTACAGTGGGTGGGCTTTTTGCCTCGCATAGGACAGACCCAGGTCTCATCCGCGGCACTCCACGGGGTTCCCTGAGCACTGCCAGGGGTGACACAAAAACCAAAACAAAAAAAGTTCACCTCCTTTGGGGGTCTACCCAGCCCGCCCCCCCGGAGCTCCTCTGCGCATGGGCCCCTGGCTAGGGGACGTGGGCAGGGCCCGGTGCAGAGCAGGGCAGAGAGGACGTGCGGGGGCGTGTGGCGTGAGCCGAGACGCGCAGCGAGGGGTGCGGGGGGCGTGGCCGCGCGCAGAGCCGGCCCCTTGGGGTGCTCGCAGTCGGGAGCGGACGAAGGGGCAGTGCGGGCGGCCGGGCGCCGAGCAGAGGCCGCGCTCGCAGCCGTGCGGGGTCCGTGCGGGGCCGCACCTGCCTCACCTGCCCGCCCCGCCCCGGCGCCACCGGCGGCCCCGCCTCCCGCGTGGGCCGGCGGTCTCCTAGCGACGGAGCCGGAACTTCCGCGTCCCCTTGACTTCCGGGGCGAGGGTCAGTGGTCAGCCGAGTGGACTTCGCACCTGGGGTTACCGCCGGGACCCGGGGGGCGCGGGGCCGGCCGGGGCGCGCGGGGCGCGCGGGGCCAGGCGTGCGCGGGCCGGGCCGACAGGGCCCGCGGGGTCCGGGCGGGGGTCCCGGCGGGGGCGCGCGGCGCGGCGCGGCGCGGCAGCGGCGGGGGTCGGCGGGCGCAGGAATGCGGGCGCGCCAGGGTGGGGCGCCCCGCCCCCAGGTGCTGCCCGGGCAGGCCGGCGGCGGGAGCGGCGGGCGGGGCGGGGGCGGGCGCGTGAATCAGGCCGCGCGGCGGGCGGGCCGCGACTGGGAGTGGCTGCCGGACCGACCGGACCGCGAGGCCGCTGGGCGGCGGTCGGCTCCTGCTGCCTGGTCCCGAGACCCCCGCACCTGGCCAGGTAGGGCCCCCCACCCCGGCGCGGGCGGCGCGGGGCGGCGCGGGGCGGGCCCCCCCGGCGCCACCGGTGTCCTGCCGCCCGCGGACCAGGACCGAGTGGCCGCGACGACCCAGCGGGGAGTGGGAAGGTGGAGGGGGGGGGGGCTGAAGCCCGGCTGGAGGCCGGGGGTGGGGGCGGCCGGCCCGCGCGTGGACCTGCCTAGGGGCGCCCCGCCGGTGCCATGCGCGCACCTTCCGTCTGTCTGGTGGCCTGTGCCAGGGCCAGACCAGTGCGAGCCCCGACTGTCGAGAACAGGCCCGTGCACCCGGTTTGGCCAGCGGACGACCTGTCCGTCCCTCCCGGCAGCCGCTAATTTCCTGGGGTGCGCTAACCCCTTTGGGCCCGGCGATTAGCACCCCGCAATCATGACTTCCGGTCCGGAGTCCTGAGGGTCCCACCGCCTTGCCTGGCGCCACCTCACCTGGGCACCTTCCACTTCCGGAAGAGCCGGGGTCTGCAGGCCCGGGTTAGGGAGCCATCCGGTCCCCCCACCCCAGGCCCTGGGAGCTTTATCTGGTTGTTTCGGAGGCCAGAGGTCAGTGACTGCTGCTGAGTCACGCCAGTGGGGTCCAGCTGGTCCCTCCCAGCCACAGGTGCGGGAGGACGCTGCTGCGGTTCCCCACTGCTGGTTGGAGTGACCCTGTCCCCAGCCAGGCTGGGGAATAGTCCCTGACTTTGTGAGGGCCCTGGCCTGGACACCGGGACCCTCATTCCAGACCAGCCCTGTCTCAGGAGCCACCTCTGGCTCCTCTACGGCTTCCCCCAACCCCCATACTTCCCCTCCCACAGGGACCCTGTAACCCCCCTTCAGGGTAGCCCCAGAGCATCCCCAGCCTGTGGGGCCTATCGCACGAGGCGGTGCAGCCCATGTGCTCAGCCCAGCACAACCCTGCACCCCGCCCTGAAGTACGGCCCAGCTCCAGGAAGGCTGGTTCCCAGCACTTAGGCCTGCTGCAGGGGCCCTATGTGGCCCCCAGAGCTCACCCCTCCTGGCTCCTTAAGCCCAGGGACCCCACCAGGACCTGTGCCCAGACCCTGGGCGCTCGGCAGGCTGCAGCGCGCCTGAGCCGGCCCTCCTGCTTGGCCGGCGGCTCCCCAGGGCCAGCTCCCACACAGATCCGCCCCGCAGACACTGGGTGCAGGCAGTCAGGGAGCCTGGGGCAGCTCTTGGAGGGTGGAGAGGGCCACGAGCTGCTCTCCCAGGTGGGGCAGCGTGGGCGGAGGAAGGAAAGGGTCCTGGTGAGTGGGACACAGGGAGGGTCTCAGGACAGTCCTGTGTGCTGGGGTGGCAGGAAGAGCTGAGGGAGGGCTTGGCCCTTGAACCCTGCAGGCACGGGGTGTAGGCCTGACTCACCCAGCACCCGGGGCAGGCCGGGAAAGTGTCAGAACCAGGCAAGAGGAAGGTTGTGGTAGCAAACACGTGATGACTCGGACCTGCCTTGCATTTTCTTTGTACCAACAGTCGCCCAACATTTTTCCTGTGGCAGAAAAGCTGGGACCGTCTAAGGCAGAAGTGATGTCAGGGAGTCAGGGCGCCTGGGCTGGGCCCCCATCTGGTTCTGGTGCCTCGGCAGGCCCCTGGGCCCAGAGCCACCTCCTCTGTGCCCCTGACAGTGTGAGGGCTGGGCTGGGCCGGTGCTGTGCCCTGGTGATGTGCTTCCCTGCCCCCTCCCCAGGTCCCTGGCCCCGACATGGCACGTCGCTCACAGAGCTCGTCCCAGGGGGACAACCCCCTGGCACCCGGGTACCTGCCGCCCCACTACAAGGAGTACTACCGCCTGGCAGTGGACGCACTGGCCGAGGGGGGCCCAGAGGCCTACAACCGGTTCCTGGCATCAGAGGGGGCACCGGCCTTCCTCTGCCCAGAGGAGTTGGAGCATGTGAGCCGCCACCTGCGGCCCCCCCAGCACGCTGTCCGCGAGCCGCCGGAGGGCAGCCCCCCTGATGCAGACTTTGATGGCTCCTCGGGCACCTACTGGCCCATGAACTCAGACCAGGCAGTACCCGAGCTCGACCTGGGCTGGCCGCTGACCTTCGGCTTCCAGGGCACGGAGGTCACCACACTGGTGCAGCCCCCGCCGCCCGACAGCCCCAGCATCAAGGACGAGGCCCGGAGGATGATCCGCTCAGCACAGCAGGTATCCGACCCTGGGCCCAAGACAGAGCCTGGGGGGCACCCTGGGGTCATTCCCTGCAGGCTATCCCCACTTCCCGCGGTGGCACATTGTCCCCCTTCGCATCTTCAGAGAATGACCTCTAGTCCCGCTTTTGACCCTGGGGGCTGCTTGCCCCAACAAGCTGGTGGCAGTGGGAGCCTGGGGGTGACAGGTCGCTGATTCTGACCCCTGGCCAGGGAACAGGGGCCCATCTGAGGGCAGCAAGACTGGGCTGGGCTGTCCTTCAGGGCTTCCATCTGGGGTGGCAGAGAATGGTGGGACAGTGAGGGCCCTGCCCTCTGCATGTGCTCTGACCCCGGCAGGTGGTAGCAGTGGTGATGGACATGTTCACCGATGTGGACCTGCTGGGGGAGGTGCTGGAGGCAGCCGCGCGCCGGGTGCCTGTCTACATCCTCCTGGATGAGGTGAACGCAGAGCACTTCCTGGACATGGCCGACAAATGCCGCGTCAACCTGCACCATGTGGACGTGAGTGATCGGCCGGTGGTGGGAGAGGGGCCGGCGGAGCGGACCTAAGGCCTGTCTTCCCACAGTTCCTGCGCGTGCGCACCGTGGCGGGCCCCACCTACTACTGCCGCACGGGGAAATCCTTCAAGGGCCACGTGAAGGAGAAGTTTCTGCTTGTGGACTGTGCCGTGGTGATGAGCGGGAGTTACAGGTGCGCCCAGCGCTGGGAAGGGAGCAAGGACTCCTGCTTGGGACCCAAGCAGCAAGCCTTCCCCGCCCCCCTCCCCCACTGACTCCCCTGTCAGTCCCCACCCGACCCCCCCCAGTCCCCCGCCGGACTGGCCCCACCCTCCCCCAGCCAGCCCCTCCACTCCTGACTCTGGCCTTCCCACACAGTTTCATGTGGTCCTTTGAGAAGATCCACCGCAGCCTGGCGCACGTGTTCCAGGGCGAGCTGGTGTCCAGCTTCGACGAGGAGTTCCGCATCCTCTTCGCGCAGTCGGAGCCGCTGGTGCCCTCGGCCGGGGCGCTGGCCCGCATGGACGCCTACGCGCTGGCGCCGTACATGGGGGCCGGACCCCTCCTCAGCAGCCAGATGGCCGCCGCGCCGACCCCCTTTTCCTTCCCCAAGCGCGCACACCTCCTGTTCCCGCCGCCCCGGGACGAGGGCTTGGGCTTCCCGTCCTTCCTCGACCCCGACCGCCACTTCCTGTCCGCCTTCCGCCGGGAGGAGCCCCACCCGGGGCTGCGGCCGCTGGCGCGCCGACTGGACGCGGAGCCCGTGGAGCTGGCGGGCGCGCGTGGCTTTTTCCAAGCGCGCCACGTGGAGCTGGACGCCTTCAAGCGGCACAGCTTCGCGGCCGACGGTGCGGGCGCCGTGGAGAACTTCGCGGCACGACAGGTGTCGCGGCAGACGTTCCTGAGCCACGGCGACGACTTTCGCTTCCAGACCAGCCATTTCCACCGTGACCAGCTCTACCAGCAGCACTACCAGTGGGACCCGCAGCTGGCGCCACCGCCACGCGCGCACGGCCTCTTCGAGAAGCTGCGTGCCGGCCGCCCGGGGTTCCCAGACGCCGATGACCTGGCGCTGAGCGCCGCGCCCCGCTTCCCCGAGCTCGGCCTGGACACGCCGCAGCGGCTGGACTACGTGCCGTCCAGCGCCTCGCGTGAGGTGCGCCACGGCTCGGACCCCGCCTTCGGGCCGGCACCTGGCCTGCGCGGCCCGGACCCCCGCCCCAACCTCGGCCAGCGCTTCCCGTGCCAGGCCGTGGCGAGGCTGGGCGCAGAGGCGGCGCCCGACGCCGACCCCGAGCGCCGCGCCGGGCCCGAGGGCCGCGCCGGCCTGCGCCACTGGCGCCTCGCGTCTTACCTGAGCGGCAGCCACGGCGAGGACCCAGCCGAGGAGGGGCTGCCCGCGCCCATGGACGCGGAGCCCTACGAGGATGACGCACTGTCCGGCGGCCGCAGCGGCCCCGCAGGTGACCCGCAGGTGACCTTCCGCCTGCCCGCAGCCTTCCCGCCCAAGGGCCCAGCGCCCGGCGGGGGCGGGGGCGAGGGCGCCGAGCGCGAGGGCCCAGAGGACGCAGGCCTGTCCAAGCAGGACTCGTTCCGCTCGCGCCTGAACCCGCTGATCCAGCGCAGTTCGCGCCTGCGCTCCTCGCTCATCTTCAGCTCCTCGCAGGCCGAAGGCGCAGGCAGCGCCGCCACCACCGAGAAGGTGCAGCTGCTGCACAAGGAGCAGACGGTCAGCGAGACGCTGGGCCCTGGCGGCGAAGCCGTGCGCACGTCTGCCTCCGCCAAGGTGGCCGAGCTCCTGGAGAAGTACAAGGGTCCAGCCCGCGACCCCAGTGCTGGGGGCGCCGTCACTGTCGCCAGCCACAGCAAGGCCGCGGTGAGCCAGTCGTGGCGCGAGGAGGTGGCTGGCCCGGGCGCCGCAGGCAGTGAGCGCCGCAGCCTGGAGAGCTGCTTGCTGGACCTGCGGGACTCGTTCGCGCAGCGGCTGCACCAGGAGGCCGAGAGGCAACCCGGCGCTGCGACACTCACAGCCACGCAGTTGCTGGACACGCTGGGCCGCGGTGGCACCGACCGGCTCCCCTCTCGCTTCCTCTCCACGCAGGGGCGAGACAGCCCTCCGCCAGAGGTGCTGCACTTGGACCCAAAGGGAAGCCCCACGCCAGGGTTCCCCCCTCCGAGAGGCAGTTCGACTGAGCAGAAGGCCAGTCCCACCTCCGGTTACCCGGAGCGCAGGGGCAGCCCGGTGTCACCCGTCGCTGAGCGCAGGGGCAGCCCAGTGCCGCCCGTAGCCGAGCACAGGGGCAGCCCGGTGCCACCCGTGGCTGAGCGCAGGGGTAGCCCGGTGCCGCCCGTGGCTGAGCGCAGGGGCAGCCCGGTGCCCCCCGTGGCCGAACGCAGGGGCAGCCCAGTGCCTCCCGTGCCTGAGCGCAGGGGCAGCCCTGTGCCCCCCGTGCCTGAGCGCAGGGACAGCCTCACTCTCTCCTTCCCTGGGGAGTCTCCAAAGCCCGGGTCCGCCGAGGATGCCGGCGGCACCATGGACGTCCTGCGTAAGGGCTCCTTGCGCCTCCGGCAGCTGCTGAGCCCCAAGGGCGAGCGGCGCACTGAGGATGACGGCAGCTTCCCCGCTCCGCAGGAGAACGGGCAGCCCGACAGTCCCCGGCGGCCGTCCCTGGGCCGAAGCGACAGCTCGGATCCTGCTGCCGGAGATGAGCGCAGCCCACGGGCGCGCCTGGCCTCAGCCACAGCCAACGCCTTGTACAGCAGCAACCTGCGGGACGACACCAAAGCCATCCTGGAGCAGATCAGCGCGCACGGGCAGAAGCACCGCGGCCCCGGCCCCGGCCCCGGCCCAGCCCACAGCAGCCCCGAGCTGGGCCGCGCCCCCGCAGGCAGTGGCCTGGCCCCGGACATGTCCGACAAGGACAAGTGCTCGGCCATCTTCCGCTCGGACAGCCTGGGGACTCAGGGCCGCCTGAGCCGCACGCTACCCGCCAGCGCCGAGGAGCGCGAGCGCCTTCTGCGCCGCATGGAGAGCATGCGCAAGGAGAAGCGCGTCTACAGCCGCTTTGAGGTCTTCTGCAAGAAGGAGGAGCCTGGCAGCCCCGGCGCGGCCGAAGGCCCCTCCGAGGAGGACACCAGGGACAGCAAAATGGGCAAATTCATGCCCAAGATCCTGGGCACTTTCAAAGGCAAGAAGTGAGAGTGGAGCCCACAGCGCGGACCTCGGGGCACACCCAGGAAGTGGCTGAACTGGCCCCAGCGCCTCTCTGGTTCTACCCTCCCTCCCTCTCTCCCCATCACTCAGGGACCAACTGCCTTAGCCCACCCGGTCGGTGCCCTGCCCCTCTGTGCCTCAGCCTCCTCTCGGGGCTCGTGCGCTCGGGTTCCCCAGCCCCGTCCTCTGCTGCAGCCGCGCCTGGTGCCCCAGGACCCCTCTCCACCTGGAGGCCAGCTCCCCGCTGCATCTACTGCCTTATTTGGGGGCCCCCCTTGGGGCCCAGCTGCTGGTTATAAGAGACAAGTGGGACCAGAAACAGGATAAGTCCAATGAGGTGACAGAGAACCCCTGTAGCCGCAGATTTGGGGCCCTCACAACTCTGGCACGTGGCACAGGTGCCATCCCCGGCCACACTCCACAGGGGCTGAGTCAGGTGAGGGCTGAGGGTGGCCACAGCTGCTGCTCTGAGGGTCCCGGTACTGAGCCTTGTCCCCGTGCCTTTCTCACCACCAGAGTGTCTTCAGTTTGGAATGACTCATTCTAGTGCCATTTGCTTAGAAAGTTTCTCAGTGCAGGTGCTAGTGTTGGCAAATTTATTTTTGCTATTTGTGGGGGGGCGTGGCACACCCAGCGATGCTGGGGGTTACTCTTGGTTCTACACTCAGAAATTACTCCTGTCGGTGCTCTGGGGGGTGGGGGTGGGGACCATATGGGATGCCAGGAATTGAACCTGGGTCAGCCACATGCAAGGCAAATGCCCTACCTGCTGTATTATTGCTCTGGCCCCAGCTTTGGCTGTTTATTCCTGAGTATTTTTTAAGTAAAAATATCTCCAGTCATTCAGGCTGAGTAAAGAATTAAAAAGCAGGGCTGGAGCAGGAGTACCCTGGGGAGGTCACTTGCTTTGCACGCCTTCAACCCAAATTCAGTCCCCAATTCCCCATATGGTTCCCTGGCCCACCAGGAGTGATCCCTGAACACCACTGAGTGTGGTCTAAAACCCAAAACTTAAAAACTACTGTCACAATGTTTGGGGAGTGGAGGTAGTAGGCACAGTCATGAGAGCCACCATTAGGTGAGGGCTGGGCAGGGCCGCCAGGGCCCAGAGTTGTCCCTGGACCTTGGTTGTCCCCAGGCAGCCGGGGGGAGCCCTAGGTGGGTCCAGGTGCTGCCAGAAGAGCCCAGTGGGCATCCTTTCCAGGACAGGCCAGAGGCGGGCTCCATGCAGGAGCCTCGTGTCTGCTCTCCCACCTCCTCAAATGTGATTTCCTTCCTGGAGTCAGCAATAAAGCAGCACACCTATGACTAACAAGCTTTTTTTTGGGGGGGAGGGGGTACATCTGTCTCTGCATTCAGGGGTCACTCCAGGCAGGGCTCAGGGAACTATGTGGGGGTGCCAGGGAGCCAAGCCAGGCTGGCCCCGTTTCGAGGCAAATGCCCACTGGATGAGTGCTCCAGCCCCTGGCTCTGACTTTTAGCCTCTGAACTCAGTTTCCCTCTGGGCACAGCTCCCATCCCTGGCAGGTGCCTAAAGGTCCCCCCAGTCTGGCCCATCACTGTGCCTGTATCCGGTAACCCAGCACAATTTCCCTCAGCCGCTCGGCAGGCCAGGAGGGGCACCGCCCTCTGGGGGATTGTCAGCATCCCTAGCTGCCAAGCCATCCTCCTGTCCCTTAGCAGTGATGGGGTCCACAGGGAACTCACCACTGCCCCCTCCACCCCAGCTGGACACCCAGCACAGGCATGGCAGAGTGCCAGCACAGGTGCCCGTACAATCCCCACCCAAGCCTGAAGACAGGATGTTCCAATAGCCAGTGGTGAGGATGACCCCTGTCCCTGTCCTTTGCCTCTGCTCAGGCTATCCTTGCCAGCGCCTGAACTGTCAGGACCCACTGGGGACACAGGCCATGCAGAGGTGGACTCTGGGTGGGCCTTAGATGGGGTTCCCAGGGTGGGGTGGGCCCACGGGGATCAACAATAAGTGGGTGGGGGGTAGACAAGACTTTATTGGGAGAGGGAACTGGGAGTGGAGGAATTGAGGGCCCCCAGCTGACGGTGGGGGGCAGGGGTGGAACGTTCAGGTGCGGGGCCCTGGGAGCAGGGCCAGGCGGCTCAGTGCCGACTGGCACACGGTCCCGTATGCTTGTGAGTAGCCCCCCAGTGCAGCCCGCGCGGCCCCCTGGGCGCCCTGCGAGACTGAGGAGCCGAACATCCTCCGACCGGGCCGCTGCTCCACTGGGGGCGCGCGGGGAACCTGCAGGGGCGGTGGGGGTGGGGGGCGCAGGTGAGGGCCCAGCCAGGTGGATGGGGCGCAGGGCACCAGGGCCGTCCAGAGCGGGGGCGGGGCTCACCCGTCGCTCGCCGCCCATCCTGGCCCCTCGGCCTGGGTTCCCTTCACTCCGGATCAAGGCCCGGTTGGCCATCCCTGCGGCGGCCTGAGAGGTCAGGGAGGGCGCGGGGGGCGCGGAGGGCTCCGCCTGCGGGGCGGGGTGCTGACGACCTTCCCGCGGTCCTGCCCCGTCCTCCCGGGGACCGTTCTGGGCTCCGTCGGGGGCTCCTGGGAAGCGGAGGGGAGGCCCAGGTGAGTGAGGAGGGGCTGCGGCGGACACCGGGTAGCGGGGCGGACCGGGCCGAGCTCACGCACCGGGCGGCTGTCGGGGGTCCGGCGCAGCGCGGGGACGGAAAGCCGGGCCCTCCCCGAGCACGGCGCCCCCCGGGCCGCTCTCTCTGCGCTCGGCGACCATCTGCGGGAGGACGCGCTCAGCGGCCAGCGCTGGCCGGACACGGCGGGCAGCGCGGGACGGGCAGGGGCTGCGCGCACCCGGTACAGGCGATTGCGGAACTCGCGCTCCGAGAGCCGCTCCTGCTGCCCCGGGAGCCGCACGGCCGAGTCCAGGGCCCACTCGCTGGCCGGGCAGTGGAACCTGCGGGAGGGGAGGCCGCTGGGCAGGGCGGCCCCGGCCCCGCCCCGCCCCGCCCCCGCCCCCGCCCCCGCCCGCTTTCCCACCTCTGCACGTAAGGGTGCCGCAGCGCCTGCGCCGCGCTCAGACGCTTGTCCGGGGCGAACACCAGCAGCTTCCCGAGGAGGTCCAGGGCCTCCGGGGGCGTGTCGGGCGGCAGGAGAGTGTCCAGAGGCCGCGGTGGCCTGCGGGTGGCCTGCATGTCACCCCCTCCAGGCCGAGCCCCTCCCCACTTCCCTGCCTCCGGAGATCCCCCCAGCACCCCCAGGCAGCCACTGCCGGTCTCCCCTGCGTAGGGAGGGGTGCGGGGGCTCCCCAAAACAGCACCACTGGACTTTGGTCCCGGGGGCAGGACTGGCGCGGTTGGGCCTCACCGGCAGTGCAGGCGGTGCCTGATGGCGGCGCTGAAGCCGGAGCCGAGAGCCTGGAGGTCTGGTGGGTGCAGAGGGCAGGTTCACTGTGCAGTAGGGATGTCCGCAGCTCGCCCCGCCTGGCGCCTGACACCCCTGCACCCGCCTTCTGGGCATAGGACCCCCCCCCACGTGCTGCCTCCTGCTGATCCCCCTCCCTGGACACCTCTTCTTCAAAACTCCCACAACTTCCCCTTGCCCTGTCTCTCCTGCCAGCCTTCCCCTCCACTCCAAATGTCCAGGGGCGGTACCCCAAGCTGTGCTCACCCTCCTGGGATGGAGGCGGCACAGTGTCGAGGATGAGCTGCAGCTGGTGGAGTGTGGACGTGCCGGGGAACAGAGGGCGACCCCGCAGCATCTCCCCCAGGATGCAACCCAGGCTCCACAGGTCAACCCCCGGGGTGTACCTGGGGCAGGAAGGGTGGAGGCTGGGGGGGGACCCCACAGGCAGAGGCGGGGGCGTGGGTGCCTGGGGCAAGGACACAAGGGGGCAGGTTACCAGCGGGAGGACAGCAGCACCTCGGGAGCCCGGTACCAACGGGTGGCCACATACTCGGTCAGCGCCTGGCCCTCAGGCCCCTGCGGGAGGCCGCTCAGGGGCCTCGCCAGGCCGAAGTCACAAAGCTTCACCACACAGTTGGCATCCAGGAGGACGTTGGCTGGCTGGGGGAGAGGAGAGTGAGGGAGCCTGTGGGCACACAGGAGTGGGCCAGGGGCAGGGCAGGCACCTTCTGGTCCCGGTGGATGACGCCTCCAGAATGGATGAACTTGGTGGCCCGCAGTAGCTGGGCAAAGATGTAGCGTTTGTGGATGTCCTTCAGCAGGGTCCCCTTGCAGATGGCAGCATGCAGGTCAGTGTCTGGGGGTATAGGACTTCCCTGTGAAGCCACCAGGGACAGCCCCTGGCCCCTCCGGCCCTGGGCTTGCTCTCTGACTTTGTCTAGACAGTAGGAGAGTTTGAGGGTTTGCTTTTGATACTTTGTTTCATGCTGCTTTTGGTTTAGATAATGGGCCCACACAAGCTGGGGGAAAGGCCAGACCTGGATGGGGGTCAGTGGGGGCCATAGCCCCTACATGGGAGGTGCCATATGGTCCCCTAGCACCACCAGGAGCACCTCTGGGTTGGGTGATGCCAAACAACAACAACAACAAAAAATTTTTAAAGAAAAAAAAAGACAGTGAGCAAAGCAGGTGCTGAGGCAGTGGGGGCCATGCTCACCGGGTGTCCCTGCTCCGGGCCACCCAGGGTGTGGAAGTCGAGGATTGGGAGGCCTGGGCATGGGGCAGAGGCAGTGGCGCTGAGTGACCTCACTCACCCATAGACTCAAACACCAAGTAAAGATCCTTGTCATTGGCCGCTGGGATCACATCCAGGAGGCGAATGATGTTGGGATGACCCTGGAATTCCTGAGGAGAGTCCAGGAGGTGCTAGGAAAAAGGTCTGGAGGCCGGACTTGCCCTCCGCTGGATTTGGCCACTCACCTGGAGCAGTGCAACTTCCCGGAAGGTCCTCTGCAAGAGGCAGATGTCAGCATAGGGGGTCAGTGCACTCCCCCCCACCCTCGCTTCCCCAGGTGCTCTGGGAAAATCCAGAATCCTGATGGGTCTGGGCCCAACCCCACACCCCGACTCACACACCTGGGCGTCCATCTCGTCCCTAAAGGCATCGAAGATCTTCTTGATGGCCACAACCTCACCAGTCCTGCGGTCCACTGCCTTCCACACGATGCCATACGCCTGGGACCGAGGCTGCACTCAGAGATCGGTCCGGCGCACACGCGCCCCCTGCCGGGCCCTGGCAGTAGGTGCAAGGGTGGCGCCACCGCGCCCTGGGGGCCCTGCCACCTGCCCAGCCCTGCTGGAAATGGATCCCCCTCGAAGGCAGCCTCTCTCAGCGCTCCACCCTGTCCCTGTCTCTGACCACCCGGGACCAGCTCCTGCCGGCCCTACTCCAGCTCCCTGGCAGCTTGTCACCCACGCCTGTGTTCTATCCTCACCAGACCTTCCCGTTGGTCTCAGCACACACCAAGCGGGTGCCCATCTGCAGGCACTGCGGGTACAGCCTCTGCCCTCACAAAACCCTCAGCCCCACACCTTCCATGCTGCTCACGCCAGAGTCCTTCCCACCCCGGGAGCGCGGAGTCCCTGGAGCCTCCTCACCGGCCAATCCAGAGGTCTCGCAGTGGCTGGGCCACACCTGCCCGCGCAGCCCTGCAGCCTCGGCCCTGCACATCAGGTGGTCGGGGGTCTGAGCCCTCCCCGAGTGCCGCCCCCGCCCCGACGTTCCCCCCCAAACGCCCCAGGGGCTGCTCGTTCAGAGGCCCCCTCTGCTGGGGCTGCTGCAGAAGGGCAGCGCATGACCTAGACCTGCTCACCCCCTTCCCGAGCCGCCGCCTGAGCAGGTATCTCTGGGCGACGTGATCGTCCACCTCAGCCGCGCACATGCCGGACGGCTGAGCCCGAGCCCAGCTGCGGAGCCTGAGCAGCAGACCCCACGCGGCCAGCACTGTTGGACGCAGTTGCCGGGGAAACCGCGGGACGCGCTGTTGTGGGCGGGGCTAGGCCGCGCGCGGCCAATCCGGGGCTGCCGCCGAGCCGGGCCCCCAGGCAGCGCATCCCGGGAGAGGGACGAGGGCCTGAGCAGCGCAGCCCTGAAAGAGGGGCGGCATTCAGGCCTGACTGGGGGCTCAGGAGGCCCAGCAAGGAGGCCCACTGGGACGGACGCCCCTGGCCATCAGGGGGGAGGGTGGAGGGCGAGGGGCGGCGCTGGGGCGCGTCAGAGGGGGCACCCCTGGATTCGCGGTGTAGAGTGGACGTGAGAGAAGGGGGTCCCAGATGATTCCGTGGTGGGGGAGGAGCGGACTGGGAGGAGACCGGAAGCGAAGAGTCTGAGCGTGAGACGTGGAGCCGCCCCAGGATGGCAGAGTTTAAGGCGGGCAACTGATGTGGCTGGAGGAGGTGCCTAGCCGCAGCTGGACAGATTCCAGCTCAGGCAGAGACCAGCGATGGCGAGCAGAGACTGGGCCTCAGCTGTCACTCAGGGCCAGGCCGACTCAGATACAACGGCCAGGTGAGATGCTGAGGGTGGGGCATCCCTTATACACCAGTCTGGTTTGGGTGGTTTGGTTGCCAAGTTACTGAAAAAAGCCCATCAACAAAACACAAGGCCCTGGAGTTTGGTCAGGTCCCACAGCTGTCACTGCTCTGTCACTGGTCGCATTTCTCAATGATTCTCCTCGGAGTCACTTAGGGGTAGGCCAATGACTAGCAACTGGGGACGATGCCTGGGAAGGTGGAGTTGGAGCAGAGTGAGAGGTGAGCAGCTGAAAAGTCTGGTTGTGGAGAGGACACGGATGAAGGCCACTCACTGGCCACCCAGGGCAGCAGAGTGCGCAGACACTGGTGAAGGATGGTGAGTGTGACCCGAGCAGAGAAGCGGGAGCTGGTGGAGGTCTGGGAATATCAGGCTGGGAGCCTTGTCACGGTCCCCTTGATGGGCCTGAGGGAATGAGCATGTGTGAGACACCCAGAGGCCAGGCCAGTGGGCATCTCTCCCCTCTGGTGTGGCCACCAGCGGTGGGCTGTGAGAGGGGCAACAGGCATTGCCGGTGACTCATGCCAAAGCTGTCAGGTCAGCCTCATCCTCCACCTTCCCTGTGAAGACGGAGGAGGTCCTGACCTGCTCCCTCGCTGTCAGGAAGAGGTCAGTATTCAGAATGATACCAACACCAGTGAATTGATGTAAAAAATAAAATCGCAGAACTTTGGCTCCACTCTGTCTTCTTTTACTTTTTTGCTTTTTGGGTCATACCCGGCGATGCACAGGGGTTACTCCTGGCTCTGCACTCAGGAATTACTCCTGGAGGTGCTCTGGGGAACATATGGGATGCTGGGAATCAAACCCAGGTCGGCCACGTGCAAGGCAAACGCCCTACCTGCTGTGCTATCTCTCCAGCCCCATCCACTTTGTCTTTCTGAAGAGGCCCCACGCCAGGGACCCCAAATCTGGTGGGTTCTGGCTTCTGTTCCCAGGTTCTCGGCTGTAGCCACTGGGGAGGGGTCCTGGTGCAGAGCCAGCATGGGGTGAGGGGGTGGCATGATACAGACAGTACCACAGGGGGAAGGAGAGGAGCTTCTTGGTCTGGTGCCCCCAGAAGGCCCCGTGGACAGGCCATCTCCGTGGGCACTGAGCACTCCACTGCCCCGCAGCCCTTGTGATGCTGTGTCCACCCAGCAGAGCCTCAGCCCTGACCCTGGCCTCACTGGAGCCCTCCCAGCACCGCAGCCAGGCTGCAAATGTTGAGTGTGGTGGAGGGAGGACTCAACAAGAAGCAGGGGACATGGTCAGAGGCACAGCTGGGCACCCACAGACAAGTGCCCTGTGCCTTAGTTTCTCCATCTGTGAAAGGGGAGCAGAGGTTGTAACAAGAACCCACCCCAGCCCACTGAACACTCTCAGGAAAGTGCTCACTATGTCTCAAGAGCTGGCAGAGCTACAAAACACAAGAACAGCAAGACAGATTGCAACTATGGGCCTCCAGGGCTGCGTGGGCAGTAGGATCCAGGGTCCTGGCAGAGAGAACTGGGGTGGCTATGAAGCAAGGCTGGGCACGGTGGCCACCACCATCAACCCTTCCAGATCAGGAGGTGAGCCAGCCCCAGGTGGTCGCTGCTGTCTGGGAGTGAGCCACAGAGAGAGGGCAGAAGGGCCGGGTGGGGAGACCTCTGCTCGAGACCTGGAGCCTGGTGGTTCCCTGAGTCACCCCTCGCAGCATGGCTCCAGGGGCAGTGCCAGCCAGGGTTGGAAGAGGTCCTGGAGGACGCGACCACGTGGGGGTGCAGGCTGGGGAAGGCAGCAAGTGAAGGAGGCAGACGAGGAGGAACGGGTCCCTAAGGTGGCAGCACTTCTGAGCCTTAAAAGGACACATTGTGGAGAAGGCCAGAACACTGGCACGCCGTCCAGCCTGAAAGCCGCTGCCTGTGCAGGTCGTGCCTGCCCGTCAGTAAAAGGCCCAACTCCATGCAGACTCCAGAAGTCAATAGGGCAGAACCTGGAGGGGCGGGGCCTCCTAAGGCGGGGTGGGGCCTACCTCAGGACAGGGCTTCCCTGGGGTGGGGCGGGGCCTCCCAGGGTGGGGCGGGGCCTCCCTCAGGGTAGGTCCTCCCCAGGGCGGGGCCTCCCCAGAGAGGGGCGGGGCTTCCCTCAGGGCGGGGCCTTTTCTGCTTCAGTCTTTCAGGTGGGTACTGGTGCGCCCTGAGGGTGGCCAGGTAGAGACTCAGGCAACTGGGTGGGCCAGAAGGGTCCTGGGGTGTCCATGCCCAGTCCTGAAGAGAAACTGGAACGCACCCGAGGTGGACCGTGGGGGCACCCTGGGAAGAAACTCAGTCTCCGCCAGTCCAGTTCTCCCACGGCTCTGGTGCCCGTGCGGCAGAGCGCGAATTTCCTTGATGTCTTACACGGTTGCTGATTTACAGCTCTGTGAATAATTTCGGAGGGTTTGAGCGTATAGACAAAGGGGGGGGGGACTGGAGAGATAGCCCAGCGGGTAGGGCGTTTGCCTTGCAGGCGGCCCACCCAACCCAGGTTCGATTCCCAGCATCCCATTTGGTCCCCTGAGCACCGCCAGGAGTAACTCCTGAGTGCAGAGCCAGAAGTAACCCCTGTGCCCCTGTGCATCGCCGGGTGTGACCCAAAAAGCAAAAATAAAATAAATAAAGTTAAAAAAAAAAGACAAAGGGAGATTTGTGTCTTGGCTTATGCCTGTGGGAAGAAGCACTCGCCCTACCTGGAGCTGGTCCGTCTGTGTGTCCCAAGAGTTGAGCCCAAGTCCAGGAGACAGCCTGGAGCCCGGAGTGACCTGTCTTCAGCCTCCCTCTCCCAAGCCAACTGCCTGCGAGAGGGCCCTGCGTGGCCGGCCCTGGAGGGGCTCGCATACCTGGCCAAGGTGAGTGGAAAGACGATGAGACTGGTCATTTCCAAGGCCAAAGGCGAGGCCCAGCGTGGCCACCAGCTGAGCAGGGGAGCAGGTGCCCAGGGCAGGGGCCAGTGTGCGCTTAAGGGCCCCCGAGGCAAATGCCCAGGGCAGGGGCCAGCGTGCGCTTAAGGGCCCCCGAGAGGCCTTGCGAGGCCACGGGTGGCACCTAATGGACTCAGTACCGTCCAGCAAGCGGAAGTCTCACCGAAAGCTCCAGAAGACACCCAGGCAGTCGGGAAACGCTTCCAGCAAACGGCGGTGACGGCATGGAAGCGCCGACACCAGGTCGGGACCGCCAAGCTCCCCCTCTGGTCCGCGGGGATGGGACACATCTCCGACGGGGAGTGAGGGTGGGGGCAGTTGCCCCAGGAACGGGTGTGGGTGGGGGAGGGCGACTGAGTTCTGTCTCCCTAGAGACGGGGCGACTGTCAACATTGCTACAGCTGGAGCAGCCCGGGGCAGCCGGTCCCTCTCCTCCGGGGCCTGGACGCCAGCAGGCCGAGCCCGGGCCATGGCACCCAAGAAGCGCCCGCCGCCGCCGGCGGCGCGGCCGCTGCCCGAGCGCGTGCAGTACCTGCAGCGCGAGTACGTGCTGCTGTCGGAGCTGCTGAGCGCCTGCGAGCAGCGCGTGGACCGGGTGCTGCAGGAGAACGCCTTCCTGGACCGCGAGGCGCTGCGCCTGCGCGAGGAGAACCGCCTCTACGCCAGCTTCGTGAGCATGCGCGCGCAGCGCTGCGCCAACGCCGTTGTGGGGCTGGACGAGCAGAACCGCGTGGACCTCTCGCAGGTCCAGTGCCAGCGGGCGGAGCTCGAGCAGCTCTACCACGGCCGCGAGGACAGCGTGCGCGCGCAGCTGCAGGAGACAGAGGCGCGCGCGGCGCTCGTGGCGCAGCAGGTGCAGGAGCTGCAGCCCTACAAGGCGGGTGCCCGGGGCCACCCCCCCACCCCCACTGAAGGCGCGGGACCAGGCGGGCGGGGCGGCCGCGCGCCGGCCTGCGCTGACCCACACCCCCGCCGCAGGAGCTGCAGCTGGAGCAGCTGGCCCGGATCCGAGCGCTGGAGCGCGAGCTGCTGCACAAACGCGTGGAGCACACGCAGCTGCTGCACCGCGTGAAGCGGCGCTTCCAGGACGACCGGCTGGCCTTCGAGCGCGAGGCGCGCCAGCGCGTGCAGTCCCTGGGACGGCGCGCCGAGCGGGAGGCGACGCGCGCGCTGCTGGCGCACACGCAGGCCATCCGCGTGGACAACCGGCGCCTGCGGCTGGAGCTGCTGCGGCTGCTGAGCCGGGCCCAGGTGCTGCACGACATGCGGCGCCAGCTGCTGCAGCAGCGCCAGCAGCTGCGGCAGGAGCACGAGGACGTGCGGCACCTGGCGCGGGTGCATGACTGGCTGCGCCGGGGCCCCGGGGGCCCGCCACTGTGGCGGCGGCCGCCCTTCACCTTCCGCCCCAGCATACTGGACAAGCACCCGACACCCGCGGCATCCACCTCCTCGACTTTTTCCACCTCCCAGCAAATCCCGGTTTCCGCCCCATCCCACACCCGGATGGACCTCCCCCCTCACAGGTCCCAGTCGTCCACGCAGAAGGCCTCGCGGGCGGGCTCCAGGGCCCTGTCACTGTTCTCGTCCAAGGCAGACTCACAGGGCCTGCCTTTGACCCAGCCCTGTCCCGAATCCCACATCCTGTCTCCGCCCCGGTCCCAGCCCAGCTCCAGGGCTCTGTCCTCCGTGGGCAGTTCCCAGGGCCCCTCCCCTCCACACTCCCACCTGAGTTCCCAGGTCTCCCTGAAGCCCTCCCACAACACCCTCCCCTCTGCCAAAGCCGCAGGAACCCCGGTTAAGGAAGGCAGTGAGCAGTACTGAGCAGGCGTGTGGGCAGGGGCACCGTGGGGGGGCCGGGGCAGGGCTGGGAGCAGGGCATCGTAATAAAGCAACCCTCCTTCGGCTCCTGCCCAGCACCATGTGCTTCTCTGCCCGGCTGCCCTGGCCTGTGCAGAGCTGCTTATCCCTATGTCCACTTCCAGGCTGATGCCCACTAGGTCCTAGGGCAGGATCTGCGGACACTGCATCCCACCACACCAGGGGCCTGCAGGAAGCTCAGGAGCCTGACAGTCTGGTGACAGCTGAAGTGGCAGGCAGAGACCAATGGTGGAAGGCTGGAAGGGACTCCCAGTGCCAGGGAGCTCAAGGAGGTGCTGGCTCAGGATGGTGGCTGGGAGTGCCAGCCAGCAGGGGCAGTGCTGCTGGCTGGGGCGGGGGGGGGGGGGGCATAGGCTCTGCCAGAGGTCCTGTTCCATGGGGCCAATGCTGTGGGCATTGCTGGCAGCCTTTTCTCCCCTGGCTGCTCCTGGTTGGTGTGGGTGCCCCCTGCCGCACTGTCTGCACCTGGCACTTTCTCCTTGCTCCCTGCCGGCACAAATGAGCACCCAGACTGGCCCTCCTGCTGGTAAATGCCTTCTCTTTGCCCTTGGATGCCTGCCCGCTGCTCTGCAGTCCTGTCCAAGGGAACCACTCATAGGGTGTGATGGGGATAACCATCACAGCCCCAGGTACGCCCTGGCTCAGGCTAGCCAAGAGAGTGGGAAGCAGAGCAGCTGGCTATGCCTGGCACTGAGCCCCCAGAAGCTGCTGCCCTTTCAGCTTCCTGTAGCTCTGCGGAGCAGAGAGAGTTCCCTGCGAGGGCAGGTTAGCACTCCAGTGAGGAGGTGACTTGGCCTTGCCCAGAGCCAGGCTCGGGGTATGCTGCCAGGACCCTGGAGAGTTGGGCCCATACAGCCTGCTTTTGCGGGGTCTGGCCGGGCCAGGGGGCAGGGACAATTCTCTTGAAGGCCAGTGCTTGGTGAGGAAGGTGAGAGCATGCCTGTTGGTATGACCAGGGTCCCCATGCAGTCACACCCGTCTCTCGGTAGACACTCTGTGTTAGTCAAGGTCCATCCGGTTCCCAGAGATCTGGCTCTGTTCACCTCCTTGGTGGCCCGAAGACAAGCCCCATGGGTGCTGCTGTGGGTAACAGCAGTCAGGTGTTCCTGGGCCAGGTTGGAAGGTGAGATAGACGTGAGCTGGTGAGGGGTAGTGGTGGCAGACAGGGTCCAGTTCCACCAGTGGCAGCTGCTGCCCTGCCCCATGCATTCCTGCTCGATGTGGGCCGGGTCCCGCTGATTCTGCAGTCCACATCCAAGTGCCCACTCCTCTGAGGGTTCAGAGAGGCATCTGCTTTGGGCTCTGCTTGGGGCCCCAATGTGAAGTTTGAAGAACTGGGAAGTGACTCATGTCACCCATTTTCTCTTTTTATTGGACTCTAAGATCGGCCGTGTACAAGGCAAACACCCACCCTGCTGAACTATTGCTCTGGCCCCATGTCCATTTCTTTAAAAACAAAACAAAATCCTGAGGTGATGTTTCTTGGCTTGGAGCTGCACTTCTCTGTCAGTTTAGGGAGAACAGGAATAGAAATGCACATGCAGCACACACTCCACACCAGCCTTCCTCAAGCTGTTTACACCTGCATCAGGTGCTTGCCTGCATACTGTCTCCAACAGCCGTTTGAAACAGTGATGGCCCAGTATTTCTACACCTGTGCATGGCCCAGATATTCCTACACCTGTGCATGACAAAGGTCCCTGGGTGTGCTTCAGAAACACTAACTTAGGAGCCAAAGCAATAGTATATTGCTTTGTATGCAGCTGACCTGGTGATTCCATATGGCCCCCTGAGCATGCCAGGAGTGCCTCCTAAGTGCAGAGCCAGGAGTGACCCCTAAGCACTGCCGGGTGTGGCAAAGAAAAGAGAGAAACACTAACTTAAAGCAAAAGGAGGTGTCCTTAAACTCATGGGAGGGGCCCAGCTCCAGAAGAGCAACACCAAGTGCTGGGGAGGACGGCCCAGGGGAACACCCACGTGTCCTATGCCCAATGGTGCCACCTCAAGGGGGAACTCACTGGCACTGCCCTGACAGTGGGACAGAGAGAGAGACAGGACAGTGAGTAAGGTGCTGGCCTTGGTGTTCTGGCTTTGCCCCCTTAACAAACAAATTGCATTTATCTGATAACCCAGCAACTAAATTCCTAGGGTTCACCCAAGAGAAATATAAAAGGTACTTTTAAACGCTTTTACATAAATGCTCATTTTATTACTAAGAGTCAAAGCTGGGAGCCACATTTCCATCAGCAGACAAGGGACAGGTTTCACACTTACATGCCGCAGTAGTTGGCAGAGGAGATCCTGGGGCACACGGCAGACAGCCTGACCGTGCCAGGAGGTGGCTGGAGCGTGCACTGTACCAGCCCGTTTCCATGAAGTTCCAGAACAGGGAGCGCTGGATGTGTGTGTTCTCCAGCGACAGAAAGTGGTCACCTGGGGTGGAGGTGTTAATGAGGAAAGAACAAACATCTGGGGGGGCAAGTGGCTTTTTCCCCATGAGGTGAATTCTTGGGGGCATGGATCTGTCAAACCTCTATGCACTATGGAGATTCACTGTGTGGAAACCACACATCCACATGATGGTCTAGAATGACCCATCTGCATGAAGCCAAGTGAGGCTGTGTCACGCTGCCTGCAGCTGAGCCGGGCTCTCCAAGACACAGGCTGTGTCACCCTGCCTGCAGCTGCCTGCAGAACGAAGCTCTCACTCCCTTGGCTGCCTGGATCTGCAGATGACACCGTCCAGCACAGGCACATCCAAAACAAAGCAGCAGCCCAGGAAGTGAAAGCAGGAGAGTGGCAAGTCCATTTACTGGTCTCTTACTGTCTAAAGTGACAAATGAGACACACCCCTCCCCCAGAGAGTCACTGTCCTCAGGAAAGAACAGTGTCACAAGGGAGTGGGGCAGCTGAGCTGGGCGCTGAGGAGTCCTGCAGGGGAGGGGAGGGAGCCCTCACATCAGGATGAGGAAGGACAGGAAGCAGCAGAGACAATGTGAGGGGGCACTTGGCACCAAGCAGCCGTGGCAGGGAACTGAGTGCAGGGAGGCAGCACTGGAAGCGGAAGGTCTTCAGCTGCAGGAAGAGGGTGCTTCTCCCTTAGGACAGCAGGAAACCCACTGGTGGTTTGAACAGAGCTGGATCTTTCTCCAACTTGCCTTTCTGTAGAATATCTGTTATTATGGACTCTTTCAGGTCAACCAAGATTAGACTGAGTGCTCCAACTTTAAAGAGGTGAGAATCGTAACTGTGCGATCTAGAACCTTCTTTCCAGGCCAGGTTCCTGCCCGGTTCCTACACTGCAGTCCCCAGAGTGGCCGGAGGGCTCACAGCCTGCAGGGGAAGGAGGCCCCTGACTCGGCCTGAAGCCAGTGGTTTTCAAAGGGTTCTCAGAGGTGGGGACTGCTCCCAGGAGACTGGGGGGCACCCTGGCCTCCAGACTCCTCATCCAAGTGCGCGGGGGACGTGCTCAGGGCAAGCCCCTCTTCCTGAACACCTTCGGTGCTTTGCAAGTGTGCGGTGGTGCCGAAATTATTCCCACACTGGCCGCGCTCATAGAGCTGCTCCTCGGCGTGGACCTTCTGGTGCTGCAGGAAGTTGGACCGCTGGATGAAGCCCTTGCTGCAGTGGCTGCACACATAGGGCTTCTCCCCAGTGTGGACCACCTGGTGCAGAAGCAGCTTGGAGCTCTGGATGAAGCCCTTCCCACAGTCCTTGCACTCGAAGGGCCTGTCCCCGGAGTGGATCTTCTGGTGCTCGGTGAGGTGGGCCTTTTGGAGGAAGGCCTTCCCGCACTCCTTACACTCGTACACCCGCTCCCCGGTGTGGATCTTCTGGTGGCGGATCAGGTAGGAACTCAGAAAGAAGGCCTTTCCGCACTCACTGCAGGCATACAGCTTCTCGCCGGTGTGGATTCTCTGGTGCTGGGTGAAGTTGGATGTCTGGCTGAAGCATTTCCCACACTCGCTGCACACGTAGGGCCTCTCCCCAGTGTGCACCCGCTGGTGCTGGATCAGCTTGGAGCTTCGGATGAAGGCTTTGCCGCACTCACTGCACTCAAAGGGCCGCTCACCCGTGTGGATGCGCTGGTGCTCCGTAAGGTCAGAGCGGTGGCGGAAGCCCTTGCCGCACTCCTGGCACTCGTACTGCTTCACCTGTGTGTGCACCTGGTAGTGGCGGATGAGGCTGGAGCTCCGGATGAAGGCCTTGCCGCACTCGCTGCACTCATAGGGCCGCTCGCCCGTGTGGATGCGCTGGTGGCGGATGAGCAGGGAGCTCTGGCTGAAGCCCTTCCCGCACTCCCGGCATTCAAAGGGCCGCTCCCGCATGTGGCGGAGTAGGTCGGAGCTGTGGCTGAAGGCCTTCTCCCCAGCGCGTACCCTCTGCTGCTCTGCCAGCTCCGCGTAGTGCAGGAAATCTCTCATATTCGCGTTGCACACGTACAACCTCTCTCTGTGGTGGATCCTCGGGGGCTCGGCGAGGGGGGGGCCATGATCGAGGCCATCCTCAGGATCGGGATCGGGATCAGGATTGGCTGGGCCAGCCTCTTCCCCTGCGGGAGAACCTGGCACACCCGGAAGGTCGGGATCCCACGGGAGGTCCACACGGGCCTCTTGCGGCTGCACCTCCCCCATCAGGAGCTGCCTCTGCAGGTGCAGCAGGCTGCCAGCCGCGCCGCCTGCCTCAGCTGTCCCTTCTGTGTGGATCTCCTGGTGGGCAGTGGGCAGGCTCTGCCCCCCTGATCCTGGTTCAGGGGCCCCCCCAGACCCGGGGGCAGGAGGCTCCATCACTGTCAGAGTTTCCGACACGATCTTGTGTTCTACATCCTCAGAAATTCAAGTTCCACGGCTCCTTCCTGAGGCCAAGCCCCACACCAGACCTGAAACGGACAGAAGGTGTCAGCTGCCCTCACAGTCAGATGGGCCAGAGAGTGACTTGGTCCGGCCCACGCCAACCTGCACATGGCCCCAGGCTAAGAAAGCAGGGGCAGACCAAAGGGGGCAGGGCAGCAGGGATGAGGACTGAATTCCGCCTAGAATTCATAATGTTTCCACGGGCGGGGGGGAAAGCACAGAGGGGAGGACGTCGGCCTTGCACAGGGCCGACCTGGGTTTGATCCCCAGCATCCCAGAGGGTCCTCCAAGCCCACCAGGAGTGGGGGCTGGAGTGTTAGCACAGGGGTAGGGTGTTTGCCTTGCATGCTGCCGACTTGAGTTTGATTTCCAGCGACCCACATGGTCCCTTGAGCACTGCCAGGAGTAATTCCTGAGTGCAGAGCCAGGAGAAACCCCTATGCATTGTAGGGTGTGATCCAAAAAGAAAAAAAAAAAGCCCACCAGGAGTGATCTCTGAGCACAGGGTCAGTAGTGAGTCATGAGCACTGCCGGTGTGCCCCCAAACAACAGCAAAGGAATTCATGATGTTTCCTCACTGCCCTCCTCTCCCGAGTCTGAAGCCGGGGCCCCTAGCAGCAACCGAGTCTATCCTGTTGACCAGGCCCGTTCCTCCCTTCACACACCTTCCTGGGTGAAGTGACTCTCAGTCTCCACGCAGGCTTGGGGAGAACCAGCACTTTCCACGCTGTCTTCCTTCCCAACCCTGGCTGCCCCACCCCTCACATAGCGGAGGTGAAGGGGTCTGCCAGCAGTTGTGCCCACACTGCACCTCTGCATTACCAGATGCAGATGCCCTCGATCCCATGTGAGAAGGCAGCAGCCCCCTCCCTACTGTCCCCTTTCCAGGGTTGGAGTGATAGCACAGCGGGCACAGCTTTTGCCTTGCACGTGGCTGACCCAGGTTCGATCCCCAGTATCCCATATGGTTTTCTGAGCACTGTCAGGAGTAATTCCTGAGTGAAGAGCCAGGAGTAATCCAGTGCATTGCCTGACCCAAAAATCAAAACAAAACAAAACCTACTGTCCCCTTCCTACCATCTCAAACCTCATTTCCAGAGCACAAACCTGGCCTACTGCCCACCTCCTGCACACCACTTCCTCCCTAGAGGGCAGTGCCAGCACGAGCACAGTGCTAGGGGAGTGACCATGACCACATTCCTTGGGACTGCTAAGAGGTGGCTTTCTTCATCCGCAGAGCCCATGCCCTCCTTGGTGCCTTTCCTTCCTGGCCCCCGACCAGTCCATGCATAGGCAGATCCTGTGAGGTGCTCCCATGGCTTTCAGCCGCCTTCCAACCTCCAACTGCCATCCCAGGTTCCCTGCCAACACGGCAAGGAACTGGCACTGTCCCCATCCATGTATCTGCCTTCCTGAGAGCCATGGGGCCATGAATGCAGTGGCAGGATGTACCCATCTGAGTGGGGAGTCGCTTCCAGCCCAGACTGAAATGTCAAGTAGGACACAGACCAGGTAGGTGCCCACCTCCTCTGGCGACATGGCTCTCTTGCAGCCCTGAGCCACATTGCTGCCTCCCAGCCCTCACCACATGATGTGTCCCTGCCTGCCCCATCATAGCCCATCTTCCAGGGGATAGGGGGGACACCCACTGGTGTCAGGGCTTACCCTCAGTAGACTTAGGAGACCATATGGGGTGTCAGGGATCAAATTCAGGTCAGTCATATCCAAGGGAAGCACCCTCGTTCTGTACTATCGTTACAGCCCCAGTTCGGCTTCTTGTGGAACATGCCAAAGCATGCCAAGTCTCAGGAAGTGGGATTCCGACATGGGACACAATCTCGGAGTTCCTGGGGCCCGAGGCACCGCACACACTGTCCACATGACACAGCCCAGGTGTGTCTGCTATGGTCCCTCCCTGCATGGCTCTGACACTGGCACCATCATGCAGTGTGGTGGCAGGTGCAGGGTGCTGCCTGGGTGCTTGAGCCTCAAGATTGCAGCATGCAAACCTGCATGCTGGAGGTAACCAAGCTCCCCAGTGAGAGACCTGGGCCCGCAAGGGGCAGGGAGAAGGCTCTGAGGAACCAGGGTCCCCTCCAGGGAAGGCTCTAGGAGGCCAGGCCAGTGTCCTCCAAAGGAAGTAGGCGTGTTCCTCAGCACAAGGCAGGTGCCCAATCCTAAAGTCCAGGCCCCTGACGTGTGACACAGGAAGAACCCGGTGGAGCAAGAGGCTATGGTAGCAGCGTTGGGATTGGGACGGGGACCCTCGGGCTGCCAGGCCACACTGGGGGCTCTGCAACCAGTTCTGCCCATGTTTGCCTCTGAAGTCTGCTTCTCTGTGCTGTCCTCCCATCCCGCCCCTTCCCTGCAGCATCCCAGGTTAGCCCCTGAGGCAGGGTCGCTGCTTGGGGTCATTGTGTCCAAGTCTGGAAAAATCTGCTTCCAAGCCAGGTGGTGGGCAGATGCCTGCTCCGTGGCCTCAGGAGCAAGACCCACACCCTCCAAGCAGATGGACGCGCCCTCTGTCCTGAGTTGTGGGCACATGCCCTCAGTCCTGGCTTGGTCATGGATGTCTCTCGGCAGCTATGTGAGTGAGCCAGGTGGGATGTGTGTGCTGGGGGTGAGGCCAGCTTGGAACTGCTGGCCACACTCAGCCATGCCCAGCAGAAACAGGGGCCACAAGCACCTCCATTGTCACGGCCTCCACCCAACCCCACCTTCCATGTGGAGTCCATTTCGAAGGGCCCCACGAATGGCCAGTCAGTTACTCTGGACTCATTCTGCACCAGGGAGGCACTGGCTGCCTTCGAGTGGGGAAAGGGTGCCCCCCCCGCCCCCAACTTGCTCTCCAAAGCCGAGCTAAGCAGGGCCCAGCACCCCATAGCTGCACTAAGCACACACACCTCCCCTTGCAGACGTGTCCTGGAAGCCATGGGGCGCATGCTGGGCTGTGAGGCCACCTGCCTCTGACATGGTGCCTTCTCTGCTGGAATGTGTGCCACACACCATGTGACGCCTCCACTGCGTGCTCTTCAGCATGGGGTTCCCTCCCCACAACCACCTTGAACCCTGCTGTTCCAGTCAATCCTCTGCTTGTCCCTCTAGAGATGGGGTCCTCGGCTCCTCTGCATGGATGCCTGGAGCACCCCCTGGACACCCCACTGCTCCTGGGGGCTGCGTGGAGAGCCACTCGCCACCTAGGGTCTAGGCCTAGCAGGGGGTGACCTAGGTGGGGGACAAGTGACGAGTGTGAAGACCACTAGTGTCCCCACTTCCTCTAGCTTACAGAAACCTGAGGGTAACCCACGCAGCTACAAATGACACTGCAGGTGCCCAGAGGCAGGTTCAGCGACAAGATGGAGAGAGGGAAACACACACACTGACCCAGGCACCAGGGACCCAACAGGCGCCTGCACGCGAGACGAGCAGAGTTCCAGGCCTGAGACTGGTCACAGAGGTTAACACACTGAATCACAGCTGGTCCCGAGCGACAGCATGCAAATGAGGTGCCTGTTACAGCTGGCCTGCCTGGCTTGGGGTGGGCGGGGCGGTGGGGTCTGGGCCAGTGCCTCCTGCAGCCCTCTCCTGTCAGTGCCACTTCTGGTCCATGTGAAAGTACATGCGGATCTACAGCGCTTCTGAGACCACCTGCTGCCCTCAGACTAATTTTCAAACTTGTTTGGGCTTTTGGTGTTTGGGCCCCGCCTGGTTCTCAGGGATACCTACTCCGGGCTCTGTACTCAGGAGTCACTCACGGCAGGACTCGGGTTAGTCTATGCTGTGGTGGGATTGACAGGGCTGGCTCCAGCCAAGCAAGCAGCCTTCCTGCCGCACTGCCTCCCTGGCCACATACTTCTTAACTCCAGAGTAAGTGTGTTCTTGTGTGGGGCACATCCATCTGTGTGGAGAACTGCCCTTGGAGCTGCTGGATCAAACCTGAGACAGCAGCTCCTACCTCCATTTTTGGTCCTGTTGTCACTGTTGTTTTGAAAAGGTCACTCCAGCGCAGTCAGTGGGGGTGCCTCCGGCAGCAGTGGGTTGGGGGCTCTGCAGTGCTTGGGCCTGGATTCAAGGTCTCACACTAGGCATGGGCGTGGCTACTTTTTTTTTTTTTTGCCTTTTGGGCCACACCCAGTGATGCTCAGGGGTTGCTCCTGGTTCTGCACTCAGGAATTACTCCTGGCAGTGCTTGGGGGACCCTATGGGATGCCAGGGATCAAACCGGGGTCGGCCACATGAAAGGCAAACGCCCTATCGGCCATACTAGCTCTCTGGCCCCATGTGCTCGGCTACTTGACTGAGCCCCAAGGCCGTGCTTGGCCAATCAGGCCTGTGATGCTCCAGGGTCCAAGGATGCAGCACTGCTGGGCCAGTGGGGCCAGAGACCACCAGGACCACCCCAGTGGTGCTCAGGCCTCCAGGGAACACACCCAGTGATGCCTAGAAGCCATGTGATGCCCGGGATCAAACCTGGTCAGGCACAACTAAACATGCACCCCTATCACTTTATCTCCCAGGTCCCCTAGAGAATGTTTTAAAAATTCAGATCTGGGAGTCAGATAGTACAGTGGGCAGGGCTTTGCAAATAGCTGACCTGGGTTCAATTCCCAGGACCATAGTTCTGCCAGAACACTGCCAGGAGTGACCCCTGAGACTAGTGGTAGAAGGAAGCCCCAAGCAGTGCGGCTTGTGACTCCCCAAAATGTTAAAAAAAATTCAATTAAAAAAATCAAATCTGCCAGGATCACAGAAATAGTACAAGGGTCAAGGCGCCTGCTTGGCAAACCTTAGGCTGATCCCAGCACACATGGTCCCTCAAGCATCACCAAGGTGAGCCAGACAATCCCAGGGCAGGAGCAGCGCTGCATCCCCAGGTCTCACATTGAACCACTAGCCCCACTGGCCAAGAATCAGAGGAAGGGGCCCCAGGCCCTCCTGTGCACTACGTAGGAGAGCTCTCCACACCAAATGCTGTGGGCTGGGGAGAGAGCTCAAAGGGCTACCTGGGGTCCATCCTTGGCACCATGTGGTCCCCTAAGCACACATCCAGGAGCAGCTCCCCAGCACTGCCATAGCAGTCCCTGAAACAAATGCACCTTGCATTAAATATACATGTGGAAAAAAAATCAATCTTCCTGGTTCCGCTTCACTCCTATTTTTTGTGCATTCAAGCAAAAATTAGGTACTCCTTCACTTAGAGAAATTTGAAGGGGAATGAACAAAACAAAACAATCCACCACCATAGTACTAATCAGACCCTCCCTTTTTCTAGAACAGAGAACACAGTGGATCAGGCGGCCCCTGGACTGACAGAGTGGAGGGAGAGCGGGCAGTTCTTGGAGATAGGAATGAAGTGGGTGCTGGACCGGGCAGGGAGCTGGGAGTGGTCCTGAGCAGCTGGGTGGCAGGAAGGAGCTGAAGGGGTGTCAGAGCCTCCGGCTGGCAAGTTGGCCAGTCACTGCACATGGAAAGGAAGAAGGGAGGGAGGGGGAAGGAAGGGGGTGGAAGGAAATTAGTCTCAGGAGCTGCACCTTCGGGAACCACCTGACAAGAGCAAAAAGACACACCTGAGCAAGAAGTGATGCTGCCCCGTGACAGCCCCCTGCGACGCCCCAACCCCCGCATTCCCCGGATGCAGTCATGAGGGGCTCCATCTTCCTCTGCATCGCCCAGCCGCCTGTCACGTGCAGCGAGGTGACGTCTGCAGCGTCCTCCGCCCGGGATGCCAGCGGCCCCCCTCCCCTCCCTCGCCATCGGCCCGCGCCTCCCCCCGCCCCGCGTCTCGCCCGGGTCAAGGCCAGTCTCGGGTCAAGGCCAGTCTCGGGGCGGCGACCAGGTCCTCCTCTCAACGGGGACCAGCGTTCCGTGTCTGTGGGGAGCAAGGCGGGGCCGACGCTTCCGTTAGCCGCGCATCCCGGCTCCAGCGTGGGAAGAGGCGGCGCGACGTCGCCGGCGGGGGCGCGGCGGCCGCGGCGGCTGCAGCGGGGAGGCCCGCGGGACGCCCCCGGACGTGCCCCGGCCCGGCCCGGCCCCGCGCCCCTCGGCCCCGGGAGGCGACGCCGCCTCCGCCCCGCGCCCCGCCACCGCCGTCCGGCCGCGCCCGGGCCGCGGGCACCGCCGGGCCGCCAGCGCCCGGCCCCCACACTCACCCGACGCCGGCGGCCCCGGCGCGGCGCGCACCTGCACGGGCGCCCGCCCGCAGCCCAGCACGACGCGACAAAGCCAGCTCGGCCGCCCGCGCTTGGCCGCCGGAAGTCGCCGGTGCCCCGCCCGGGGGACTTCCGGCCGCTCGAGCCGCGCCGCCGCCGCGCAGAGTCGGGGCGAAGCGGGGGCGCGCGCGTCGGGAGCGGCGGGGCGCGAGGGGCGCGCTGGGTCTCAGCCCGGGGCCCGGTACCGCCGGACACTCCCACGCGGGAGCCAGAGGTCACGGCTGAGGCCGGTCAAGGCCCCACGCAGAAACCCACGACAAACCCTGGAGAATAGCCACACGCGCCACACACCCGCCACGGACACCGCTCATTCACCACACACTCCCACAGATACCACACACACACCCCACAAGAACTCACACAGGCTTCACAGAAACCCACACAGACACCGCCAGTGCCCACACACAGACCACGAACACACATACACTACGCCGATGCCCACACAGACAACACGGAACATTCAATGCACAGAGAGCGCAGAGACACCACAAGATGCCCAGACAGACACCTCCACATTTACCACACAGATACCACAGACACCCACACATACATCCGCACAGATCCTACAGAGACGCCACAAACATCACACATTCACCACACAGACACACACACACACACACACACACAGACACCACAGGCACCCACACAGACAGCACACAAACACCACAAATGCCCAGACATTCACCACATAGATGCCTACACGGGCACCATACTCAGTACACAGACAGCACAGAGACACCACAAGATGCCCAGACACTCGCACACATACACATTTACTACACAGATACCACAGACACCCACACACACTACACACAACTACAGAAGCGCGAACACATTCACTACACAGACACTCACAAAAACAACACGGACACCTACACATCCCAAAGACACCACACAGAAATCTACACCAGTAAGGACTCAGACACCCACAAAACACCACAAGGCACCAAACAGACAGCACATACATCGACACAGAGACACACAGACATGCACACAGTCACCCACACAGACATTTCATAGACACCACAGATACCAACAAAGACACCAGACACCACACAAGGCACACAGACACACACAAAGACACCACACAGATACCCATAGGTACACATACTGAGGCCACACAGACACACACAGACACCACAGCCACCAGACGCCACAGATATTTCAACATAGATATCACACAGACACCACAGACACTATACAAACACCTCACAGACTTCCACACAGACACCACAGACACTCCAAAGGACACCCACAAGATACTGCAGATACAACAGACATCCACAAAGCCACTACACACACCCACACAGATGCCTTCAGCTGGCCCCACCCGCATAATCATCAGAATTTCTCCACCCGGAGGGGAGGGGGGCTTGGAGCAAGCTGGGTGAGGGGCAGCGGCAAGTTCAGCATCAGGACTGCCCTAGGGAGCCTTGCGGACATCGGCCTCGTCTAGGATCAGCGCAGGCCGAGCGGGAGGAAAGGGGCCCCCAGACCACAGCTCTATCCGCTCGGAGCCGCAGGAGCCCCTAAGTCCCGTGGCAAAGACCCCCCCCACCCCCCGCACTCTGCTGGTTCAGACACTCCCAGCTCGTGCCCCTGCAGCTCCTTCCGTCTGTCCGGCTCCCCCAAGTTCAGGCCAGTGGAAGGGGAAGGTGCCTACATGCCCCGTTATTGCCGCTGGGAACCTGCAGCGCACTGTGCGCCCCGCCTCCCTCTGAGGCTTTGGCCTCTGCTCCACGCCCTGTGCTCTCCCGGTGCCTCGTCCGGTGAAGGTGGTGATGACCCTCGGTAAGGCGGGGCAGGCGACAAGACGGACATCCCGCAGGCGGCCGCGAAGTTCCGCGGCCCCTTGCCCAGAGTGCCGCGGGGCGCCTGCCCGGGACTCCATTTCCCAGAGTGCCGCGGGGCGCCGGCCCGGGACTCCATTTCCCAGAGTGCCGCGGGGCAGCTGGCCCGACCCCGCCCCTTCTACCTGCCCAGGGAACGTGGCTGGAAACCCGGACGCTGCTCCCGGGAAGGCAGGCAGGTGCGGCCAGGTGCAGGAGAGGTGGGCTGGAGAGGTGGGCCGGGCCCCGCGGGGATTCCCGGGTAACTGTGTGAGTGCCTATTCGGGTGCTCCCAGAGGCCCAAAGCCCTGAGGGGTGCCTGGAGCCGGGCGCCGGAGGTCCCGGGAGTCGGGCTGCAGCTGGGCTGCAGGCCTCGGGGCGGCGGGCGCGGGGCGCTGGGGGTAACCTCGGGGCGCGGGGGAGCCCGCGGGCACCCGGGGTCGGGAAAGGGCGGGGCCGTCGCGATGCGTTTCTCCTTGCCGGGATGGCGTCTTCGCACTGCCCTGCTGTGCTCACAGCTTCAGATTCTTTCAGCATAGCATCTAGCATATGCTGACCAGGGCAGTGGCACCCCAAGGCCCGCCCAGTTCTGAACCGGAAGGGCCACGCCACCTGCCCAGGAGGAAGCGAGGTAGCCCAAGCGCAGGACTAACCTGCGGGGTGGGCCCTGGGCTGCAGACAGGCATGCCTCCCGACCCCCAGCGTGGATTGCACTGGTCGGGACCAGCCCCAACTTCGTCTCCTCCCCACTTGTCAGCCAGAAGGGAACTGGAGCTACCCGTTGTTAGGCCCGTGGGTTTAGAGGGGGTTGTGTGGGGTGCGTGGCGGATACGGGGACAAGCTCTCTTGGCTGGTGACTCCAGGGAACCCTTGGAGCACCGAGCGGAGTCTATCGTCGTCCCCACCCTTCCGAGCAGGGCCGGGTTGTAGGGGTGATTGGAGGCAGCTTCGTGGGCTCTGTCCCGCTGTGGGCTCCCATCTCTCCCCACCCCTTCCCGGGAACCTTGGGACAACCCTTGGACATTTGTGGGGCTGTGCTGGGCTATGAAGGTAGCAGGTGGAGAGCACGTGGGTCTTGGCCCCATACCATCTGGCCTACAGGTGCAGCCAACATGGAGGAGCCCCAAGGGGCGATGCGGATCCTGGTGACGGGGGGCTCAGGGCTGGTGGGCAGAGCCATCCAGAAGGTGGTGGCAGAGGGGGCCCGACTGCCCGGAGAGGACTGGGTGTTCGTCTCCTCCAAGGACGCCGACCTCGCGTGAGTGCACCCCTGCACACACACCCGGCCCTCTGCAGAGCCCCAGGCTGGCCTGAGGTACAGCCACCTGCTCATCTGGGCCCCACCAGGTGCTGGCCTGGTCTGGGTTGCCTGGCTCTGCTCCTGGGCAAGCACCCTTCCACCTCTTCCTGGAAGTCGGCCTCCTCCTCCCAGCCGGTCACTGGGCTGGGGTGCCTTTCCCCCTTGGTCCTGGGGAATCCCTGCCCCCCAAGTGCCTCCCACCCTTGGGCGCTGATTCCTTCGGGCTCCAAGGGGTCCCTGATGTCTGATTCTCCTCAGGGATGCAGCCCAGACCAGGGCCCTGTTTGAGAAGGTCCGGCCTACACATGTCATCCATCTTGCTGCAATGGTGGGGGGCCTCTTCCGAAATATCAAGTACAACCTCAACTTCTGGGTAAGAAGTGAGTGTTGGGAGGCAGGATCCAGCTCTCTGGCTGGGTCCCCATGCATAGGCCCCACCCAGGAAAGTTCCTGAGGGTCTGAGGTGTCATGCTTTTTTTTCTGGTTTTGGTTTTGGGGCTACACACAGAGATGCTCAGGGATTACCCCCGGCTCACACTTAGAGATCACTCCTAGTGGTTGCTTGAAGGACCACATGGGATGCTGGAGACCAAAGCTAGTTTGGCTGCATGCAAGGCAAGTGCCTCACTCCCTGTACTATGCTTCGGTCTCCTGAGGGTCAGCGTCTGGAGCACCTGCAAGACCTGGACACCCCTGATGTGTCTGTAGGGAGCAGGGGATTTGGCCAATTGGAAAAGCCCCAGAATGATGGGGGGGGGGCTGAGAAAAGCAGTTTCCACTGTGAATGCCGCTTCCAGAGCCCTCTGGCCTCCAGACCTGCCTTCTCGCCTGCCTGCAGTGGTCCAGCTCCACTGAGCCAGGCCCTTGGGTGCTCTGGGAATGAGGAGGAGGGGTGCCTTGCGCATGTGAGCAGCAACTTTCTCGCCCGCCTGCGGCCAGTGCTATTGCCCTGGAGGACCCATGTCGGGCTCAGCTGATCTCGACCTGCAGAGAATGAGTGGCGCCAGTGCCACTGGCTCAAGGGAGTGGAAGGACCCTCCTCCGCAGCCCCCCAGCAGTGGGAGCCATGCCCTGCCCTGATGGGAGGGCGGCGGGTCCTCTCTCAGCCGGGTGTGAGTGCAGAGCTGCCTGTTGGCAGGGAGGGGACAGCCACTTCTGAAAGGTCTGCCTAGGAGCTTTGCCTGGGCCAGGGCAGCAGGGTCAGGTCGTGTCCCCATTTATGTGCCTGGAAGCGCCTGACACTCCCCACCCCTTTCAGAGAATGAACATGCACATCAATGACAATGTCCTGCACGCAGCCTTTGAGGTGGGTGTGCGCAAGGTGGTGTCATGCCTGTCCACCTGCATCTTCCCAGACAAGACCACCTATCCTATCGATGAGACTATGGTGAGAGGCTGGGGTCTGGCTGGGCGGGGACCTGGTGGGGCTGGGGCAGGGTGTGACCTGATGGGCAGGGCCTGGGTGGCCAGGGCAGTACATGGCAGGGGTTGGGGCGGGGCCTGAAGTGACTGCCCCCTTCTCCTGCCATAGATACACAATGGGCCTCCGCACAGCAGCAATTTCGGCTACTCCTATGCCAAGAGGATGATCGACGTGCAGAACAGGTCCTCCACAGCAGCCCGAGCCCAGGGGGAATAAAGGAAAGGGTGGAGTTCTGCTGCCTGTAGGGGGTCTGTGCTCCTGTTCCTAGCCTTCCTCTGGCCTGGGTGAGGCAGGTTTGGGCTGTAGGATCTTGCTGTCCTCTGCAGGGCCTACTTCCTGCAGCACGGCTGCACCTTTACGGCTGTCATCCCCACCAATGTCTTCGGGCCCCACGACAACTTCAACATTGAGGACGGCCACGTGTTGCCAGGCCTCATCCACAAGGTGCACCTGGCCAAGAGTGAGTGCCTGCCCCCACACTCCCACACCCCGGGAAGCCCCTGGCCTGGCGCTCGCCCACACAGCCCTCCCACCTCTGCAGGCAGCGGCTCGGCCCTGACGGTGTGGGGCTCGGGGAAGCCCCGGAGGCAGTTCATCTACTCACTGGTGGGTGCCCCGGGCCCTCCGTGTCACTGTGGCAGGCTGGGAGGGGGCAGTGCTGGAACAGAGACCAAGGAACAGACGCTGAGAGTATTGATGCAACTCGGAGCTCAACCTGAGAAAGAACCACAGCTGTCAGATCTGGGCTGACCGAGGGGTGGCCCAGGAGAGCTGGGCAGCAGTGCGGGTGGACCCCAGGCGAGGGCATTCAGGGGAGGTGCCCTTTGACCTTCCTCATTTGACCTCTAGGACCTGGCCCGGCTCTTTATTTGGGTCCTGCGGGAATACAATGAGGTGGAACCCATCATCCTGTCAGGTGCGGGCCCTGCAGACCCCTGGTCTGTCTCCAGAGTGGCTGGGGGTGTGAGTGGGGATGCCTGGTGGTCTGAGTGCAGAAGAGGAGGTTTAACCTGGCCTTTTCCTCTGCACAGTGGGTGAGGAGGATGAGGTTTCCATCCGGGAAGCAGCTGAGGCCGTGGTGGAGGCCATGGACTTCCATGGGGAAGTCACTGTATCCTTCGCTCAGGCACCATGGGTCTTTGTACAGACTGGAACTGACCACTCGGTGCCCCCTATGGGAAGCAGGGTTGGGGAGTGGTCAGTTGCTGCTGCTGTGAGACCTTAACCTGGCTCCCAGTTCGATGTCACTAAGTCTGATGGACAGTTTAAGAAGACAGCCAGTAACAGCAAGCTGCGGTCCTATCTGCCCGACTTCCGGTTCACTCCCTTCAAGCAGGGTGAGCCCCTGGCCCTGACAGGGCTGCCTACCCCATCCACTGGGACCTGGGCTTGGGTCCCAGGTCCCATCTCCACCTCTCCCTAGGCCTCAGCTTCCCCTGTATGGGGCATAGTGGACACCTGCAGGCTTGGTGACAGGTGACATCCCCTTGTGTTTGGCAGCTGTGCGAGAGACCTGTGCCTGGTTCACTGACAACTACGAGCTGGCCCGGAAGTGAGGGTGAATGGCATCTCCTCCCAGACCGACTCTGCTGGGACACAGGGCCCACCACCTTTTCCAGGGCAATTGACCAGAGGTGTCCCGTCTATGTCCCTATCTGTCCTCAGGGAAATGAAGGGCCCACCTGGCAACCGAGGCCCGAGGGCAGCATCTTCAACCCTGCCCTCCCTGCTCCAGGACTCAATAAAGTGTATTTCATAGGCCTGGCCCAGCAGTTCTTGTCCACTGTCCCCCCTGCGTGCCGACACCTTCCCCCACGACTTGGTGTCCTAGTCTGCCAGTGCCCAGGGTTGAGGGCGGCCTTGGAGGATGACTGCTCATGGGGCACAGCGTGGAGCAGAGTGCGTTCCCAGGCCCTCCGCACCTGATAGCCTGGGTCTCCCCAAGAGGGAACCGGGGCTTCCCACCAGTGTGATTTCAGCAACAGTTGGCACGCTGGGCACGCTGCTGGCACGAGCCGCAGGAACTGGCAGGCAGGTCCTTTCCATGGGAATTGAGCAAGACGCGCGGCTCTTCGGAAAGCCGGGATCCCCTGTGCGCGCCCGTGCCGGGGCAGGTTGGCCAGCGCCGCAGCATCTCTCGGATTCGAGCCCGGACCCCCGGCTCTGCAGGGGCGCGGCGGCCCCGCCCACCGCAGGCTCAGCCAATGGGCAGTGGGGGCGGGGCCCGACGTTGCGGAGGCTCCGCCCACCCCAGGCTCAGCCAATGGGCGGCGGGGGCGGGGCCCGGCGCGGCGGCGGCGGCGGCGGCGCGATGGCGGCGGCTTCGGCGGCTCCCGGGCCCGGCCCGCTGCGCGTGGGGTTTGTGGGCGCGGGCCGCATGGCCGAGGCCATCGCGCAAGGCCTCATCCGAGCAGGTGGGCGCGGGCGGGGCCGTGTCCGGGGACGGGGACTGCCGTGGGCCGCCCCGACTTTTCCTGGTGCAGCGGAGTGACTGGGCAGCCCGGAGGTGTCCGTTGTCCCGGCAGTGCCGCGCCAGGCATCGGCTGCTCCGTGGCCACGGTCCCCCTGGTTGGCCTGAACTCCCCAGGGTTGCAGCGGCTGCGCTCCAGGAGGAGGAGGAGGAGTGTAGACACTGCGGCCAGGGCCTGGCTTTCTGCCTCCGTCTGCTGGCCTCTTCACGGGGCTCTCCTGGACACTGGCGTGTGCGTGGGGGGGGGGGGGGGCGGGGTCGCTGAATGCCTCGTGCTTCCTGTTACACCAGGGCTGATAATGCCACGCTTAGGAGCCTTTTTTTTTTCCTTTTTGGGTCACACCCGGAGATGCACAGGGGTTATTCCTGGTTCATGCACTCAGGTATTACTCCTGGCAGTGCTCCGGGACCATATGGGATGCTGGAAATCGAACCCGGATTGGCCGCGTGCAAGGCAAACGCCCTACCCACTGTGCTATCACTCCAGCCCCAACTTAGAAGCCTTTTATTGCTTTTATTTTTTGGATTGCTTTCTGCCCTCAGCTGGCCCCCGGCCAGGTCTACAGGCCTTGAAATCAACTTAAAAAGAGTTTGCTGCAAACCTCAGGTGTTAGATTGGCAGAATAGGCCTTGTGACTTTCCAGTTCCTGCCAGGTGCTGTGCTGGCCCCAAGTGGCACCAGGGCCATTGTCACTGCTGACAGTTGCTGCCCCTCCCGAGGAAGCTCAACCCCTCTCCCCTTGTACCTTTCTTGCCCACATGTCCCTCCCTGTGCAGGAGGCATGGGCCACTTGGATCTGGGTGTCCCCCACTGCTGGCAGGCCACCAGCACCAGAAACAAACAAGTCTGATGCCAGGTCCCAGGTGCCGTCTGCACAGTGCCCTGCTGAGCATGGGGTTCCTTCAGTGTCTGGCAACAGAGACCAGGGTGTCAAGGAGGACTGCACCTGACAACTGGCAGCGCAAGGCAAGCTGCTCCCTTTTCCCCGCTCTGTGTCTTTCCCTCCAGGAAAAGTGGAAGCACAGCTCGTGATGGCCAGTGCACCATCGGACAGGAACCTCTGTCGCTTCCGGGTGAGCGAGCCAGCTTCTCACCAAGCTGAGGCTTCCTTGTGGTCAGGGGGTCCATTTGGTGGGTGTCTTTTGGCTCCTATCCTCTGGGACAAGAACTTAACTGGGTCAAAAACTGAGCTAGTTTTGAGACTGGCCAGGCTGGGGAAGGGGAGGGCAAAGTCCGGATGGGAAGTGAGGGTTGTGGAGTGTCAGGCAAAGGGCTCATGTCTGCGCTGCCTGCATGTGCGTGATGTGGCTACATGCAGACAGGCATGCATGTTGCAGTCAGGGCTGATCATGAGTATGCTGTATCAAGGGCACACTGGAAGGTACTGGTACAGGGGTCTGTGAAGTGCAGGTGTGTGACTGGAGGAGGGGTGCACTGCTGCTATGGTGAGACCCACAGGATACCCCTTTATGCCGGGGCTGGTGTCGCACAGACCCTGGGCTGCCAGACCACCCATTCTAATCACGAGGTGCTGCAGACCTGCCAGCTGGTCTTCTTTGCTACCAAGCCCTACGTCCTGCCTTCCGTCCTGGCAGAGGTGGCCTCCTCGGTGACCTCTGAGCACATCTTGGTGTCCGTAGCTGCGGGGATCTCGTTGAGTACTTTGGAGGAGGTGAGTGGCTGTGTGGGGTCAGCTTCTCATCTCTGGCGCCCCCAGACTGCTTTCAGTCTGGCTTGGGTGTTTCCTGGGGCAGCACCCCCTGACATTAGCCTCTGTCCACAGCTGCTGCCCCCCAGGGCCCGGGTCCTGCGGGTGTCACCCAACCTGCCCTGCGTAGTCCAGGAGGGGACCATGGTTATGGCACGGGGCCGCCACGCTGAGAAGAGTGATGCCCAGCTCCTGCAGACCCTGCTGGAGGCCTGTGGGCAGTGTGAGGAGGTGCCTGAGGACCACGTGGATATCCACACTGGCCTCAGTGGCAGCGGTGTGGCCTTTGTGAGTGACACCTCAGGACTCAAGGGGTGGAGCCCTGGGCAAGCTTTGGCCCAGCTGCCACCTGGCCAGGCTCAGAGCCCAGGAGTCTGGAGCTGCGTGCCAGTAAGTCTGGGCTGATGCCTGTCTCCCCCCACCCCGCCCGCCGCCCCGCTGCTATAGGTGTGCGCCTTCTCTGAAGCCCTGGCTGAAGGTGCCGTCAAGATGGGCATGCCCAGTGGCCTGGCACATCGCATCGCTGCCCAGACGCTTCTGGTGAGTGGGGCAGGGACGGGCCCAGCAGCCTGCTACCTGGGTGCTGGGTGCAGAGCCTGTGTGCTTCACTGGCACTGGCCCATACCCTTCTTCCCAGGGGACAGCCAGGATGCTGCTGCAGAGTGGTCAGCACCCAGCCCAGCTGCGGACAGATGTGTGCACACCTGGCGGCACCACCATCTATGGCCTGCATGCTCTAGAGCGGGGTGGCCTACGGGCGGCCACCATGGACGCAGTGGAGGCCGCCACATGCCGAGCCAAGGAGCTTAGCAGGAAGTAGGCGTGAGGCAAGGCCTAGCCCCATGTCCAGACAGCCCTATTCATACCCGCCCCTCCCCCCCGCCAGCTTTCTGAGGACAGGCGGGGATGTGTCAAAGATCCTTCTCTGGGTCCAGGAGAGACCCTGGCAGGCAGGATGTAGCCCTGCAGAGGCCAGAAGGAGCCACAGGCAAGGAACACTGTCTTGGCGCTAGAGGCAGTACCGCTGGACCTCACCTGTGTGCCTGCCCCAGGGCCAGCCCCTCTGACCCCGGGTTTCAGTCCTCCTGGAATCTGCCATGTCCTGGGAAGGGTAATAAAGACACTGTCCAGGCATGGGTGACCGTGGCTCTTGTGCTGTTCGTCTCAGGTGTGTGTGTGTGTCCTGAGTAGGCCAGAGAACCTAGGACGCCTGTGCAGGTCACCCTACAGCACCTGAAGACGAGGTGTTCCGGGCCTGAGCCCACTACAAAGGTGGCAGGAGGGAACAGTGTGACCATGTTTGACCTTTATTACAGAGCACTGGTGCCCCCCAGCCCCCCAGGACTCACACTCCAGCCAGCCTTGCCCAGGGTACCCCTACCTGAACCAGGGCTGGAGCTGCCTGGGAACACAGGTTCTGACAGATCTGGAGGTAAGCAGTGCCCTGAGCCACCACCTCCCCAGGTGAGCACCTCTTGAAGTGACCTTCTGTGGCCTGGAGTGCCAGAAGGCCCTGACCTGGGCATCCAACCCTGGCGTGGGCATGTGGTCCGGGCAAGACCCCGTGTGCAGCAGAGCCTCGCCCTCATGCAAACTCCCAGACTGGCTGGGCAGGTGACACAGGGAAGGTACCTTGTGGGGGGGTGAGGGGCACTAAGCCAATCAGTGGCAACTCCAGGGTTCCCTGAGGAAGTCCCTGACCAGACTTCCTTGTGACTTCACATGAAACAGGGCCCGGGTGGTGGGTCTGCATGCCAGTGCCCTATGGGGACCATAAACCAGCTATCCTAAGAAGGCTGCAGCGGCTGTCCCTGGAGGGCCTGGCCAGGACAAGGGGAAAACAATGGCAGAGGCTTCTGGGCGGCCAGTGCAGGCCCCTTTCCACACTGGAAGGCCTCTGCTGAACAGCTGGGGGGGAACAAGCGTCCTCAAGCAGCCTTGCCTGTCCTGGCTCCTCCAGGTTCAGAACCAACACAGCTCTCGCTGCCCCGCCCAGGGATCCAAGCCTTTCCTCTCACACTATCATGCAGCAGCCCCGTTCCACAGGGCTAGGAGCAGCTTCCTGGCATCCCATGGCACTGCCAGAAGGGGGTGGGGCAAGAAGGCACTGAGGGTCACCCTGGCACGGCTGTCAGTGCTGGGCCCACATCCGGGCAGGCAGCTGCTCGGCTGTGGCCAACGGAGACGGAGCAAGTGACTGGGGGAAGCACCAGGGCCCAGCCTGAGGCAGGGGGCAGCTCCAACGGGACCCTGCACCCAGGAAACTCCCACCGCCACCTACAGCCCAGCTGCACCCAGTGGCTCAGGAGCCCTGAGGCCAGCCGTCACAGGTCTGAGATGGACCCAACACAACAGAGGCCAAAGCAGGCTGGCCCTTGCCCATGGGACGGCCATGCAGGGCTCTGGCCACAGCCATGTCCAGGTCACGCACGTCACGGGTGGCCACAGTGGAGGCACTGCAGAGGGCTGGGGACCGGGGGACCCCAAAAGCTGCCCCCGAAGGGCTGGACGACCCTTCACAGAAGCCTGCAGGCCAGACGGGTGCAGATCCCAGAGGCAGGAGGATGGGGAGACCACGGGTCCGAATGCAGTAGCGGCTCACTCACCCTGGGCAGGACCTGCTGGGGAGGGCGCGAGGCCCCCCAGCCTGCGGGCCATGCTGACCAGCGAGCGCAGCTGCACCAACTTAAGGGGCCCCACCTCCAGCGGGTCCCGGCTCTCCAGCCACCGCAGCGCCGTCTCCAGACCCCGCACAGCCTCCCTGGCTGTGGGCACCGGGGCCACTCCGCGGTCAGGAGTGTCTTCCTCCTCTCCGGGGTCCGCGGGGCACCCCTCGCCCCTACCGCCATCAGGCAGACCCCGGTCGTCGTCCAGGTGCAGCCACTCGGCCACCTCTTCGGGAGCCAGGCGCTGGTAGGCCAGGGCGGCCAGGTGCGTGAGGTCGCTGAGCACAGTGCTGTGCTCGGTGGCCGCCTCCACTTGGCCAGGCAGCTGCCGCCCGCGCTCCCCGGCAGGCTGCGGCTCAAAGGCCGCGCGCAGGCCCAGGAGCCAGCAGCGCTCGATGCTGCCCGCCTGCACCAGGTCCCAGGAGAGGCCGGCCAGGTAGAGCATGTCCTTGAGCATGAAGCTGCGCATGAAGTCCAGCGGTGAGCCCGCGGCACACGACACCGCCAGGCGCAGAAGCTCCCGCTTGTACAGCTGCTTGAAGGTGGCCACCACGCCCTGCTCCAGCGCGGCGGGGATGGGCGCGCGGCCGCTGCCTGCGCTAAGGAACAGCACGCGCACGGCCCCGTCGGGCGTCTGCAGCTCCTCCGGGGAGCCAGGGGCGTCGGGGCGGCGCGGCCTGCAAGGCCCCTCGCCCTCCTCCGGGCCCGGCGCCCGCGGAGGCGCGCCCGGGCAGGGCGGGTGGGCCACGAGCAGCACGGCCTTCTGCTGCAGGCAGCTGCGGCGAAGGTAGCGCCTGACGCCCGGCACGAACTCCTCGAAGAACCACCCGCGCAGCAGCGGGCGGCTGAGCCAGGCGTCAGGGCTGTAGCGGTAGGAGGCGGGGAACTTGTTCTGGTCGTGGTGGCGGAGGCTCGGGGGGTCCGGCAGCTGCCCGATGACCAGCGGCTTCAGCTTGTGGCTGCCGGTCAGGTTGGCGGCCAGCAGCACGGTGACCCGGTCGCCGCGCGCGTGGCGGCTGTGGCCCCCGGGGCTCCGGGGCGCCGCGCGCTCGGGCAACAGCTTCCAGTAGAGGCCAGTGACGTTGGCGTTGTAAATCTGCTCGTCCCCGTAGCCGCCGTCGGCGGGGCCCGGCGAAGGGGGCGCGCGGGTGGGCGCGGGGCCGGCGCCGGGCGCGGGCCCGGGCTCCGGCTTGACGCGGGGACCGGGCGCGGGCGCGGCGCGCGCGGCCGCGTCCTCAGCCTCGCCGTAGATGCGCTGGCTGGAGATGCCGTGGCGCTTCTGCCAGCGCCAGAACCAGCCGTGGCTGGCCTTGAAGGTGCACTCGGGCCCGTGGATCTGGCGCGCGAAGGCCTCGGCCTGCGCCTGAATGAGCGGGCCCGACAGCGGCACGCCGTGCCGACGCAGCGCCAGGAACCACGCGTACACGGCGCGGTCGATTTCCTCCTCGTTGGCCAGCCGCATCTTCTTGCGCTGCGTGCCCACCTCGCCGCCCAACTGCTCCAGGAACCAGCGCAGCTTGGGCTCGTCCTTAAGCCAGCCGCGCAGCGTGCCGCCGGGCACGCCGAAGTCGCGGCACACGCTGGCCTGCCGCTCGCCGCCCTTGACGCGCTCGATGGCCTGCAGCTTGTCCTTGATGGAGTAGGCCTTGCGGAAGGCCATCTTCACGGCCACGCGCGGGCGCGGCGCGGGCGCGGGCGGCGGCGGCGGCGCCGGGAGCCGCGGCGCGTCGGCCGGGCGCGGGGCCGGCCCGGCCGGCGGGCCCGCGGGGTACATGGCGGCGGCGACGGCGGAGGCGGCCGCGGGGACGCGGGAGCCATAAGCCCCGCGGACCGGCCGCGCGGGGCGGGGCGCTCGGGGGCGGGGCCGGCCGCGGCCCTCCCCTTTGTCTCGCCGGCGCAGGCGCGCTAGCTCCGCCGGGCCCCGCCCCGCTCGTCCAGGCCCCGCCCCTCCCGGCCCGCAGGCCCCGCCCTGCGCGTCACCCGCCGCGAGCCGGCCCGGCCGCCCCGCCCCGCCCCGCTCGGGCGAGTCCACGGGGCTGGCCTTGGAGGGGGCGAGCGCGGCACGGGCGGCCGCCCGGCTCCCTGCCGCTCGCTCCGGCTCGTGCGGGGAGGGGCGGGCTCCGCGGGACTTTCGCTCCCCTGTCCTCCGCGCGGGCGCGGAACCTCCCCCCGCGAGCGCGCGGGAGCTGCGCCGCCGAGCCGGGGCCGCCCCCCGCGCGGCGCGTGGGAGCGCCCGGGGCTTCACTTCCGTGCGCGGCTCCCGGGCCCGCCCTTTCCTCCTGCGCCCCGCGCCGCCTGCCTGCTCCGTGCTCGCCGCGTCCTTGGCTGGCGTGTGAGTACCGTGGGCCGCGCCCGCGCCCGCCCCCGCCGGGACCCCAGCGCCGGGACTCCGGCGCGCCGGCCGGGCTGAGGCCGAGGCCGAGCGCCGCTCTGCGCGCGCCGGGGGCGGGGCCGCGGCCACGTGGCGGCCGAGCTCGGGTCCGGGCCGCGCGGTGCCTCGCCCACCCCTGGAAGCTGGGATTGCCGGGCAGGGCCGGGCCGAGGGGTGCTGCTTGCTCCGAGAAGCGGCGGGGGGCCGTGGGCGCCGGGCCAGGTGGACGTGACCCCGTGGTGCAGGGCGGCCCCGGGCACGCGGGTCCACGAGCGTCCGTGCGCGGTTGGCAGGTGTGGGCGTGGTGCGTGTCCCCACCACCCCAGGGCCCGCGGCGCCTGCCGACCCCCCTGGAAGTCTGGTCGGGGACCTGGTCCAGGCCAGGAGACTGCCTTGCCGCGGCTTCCCCCAGAACCATTCCTGGCGCCCCATACGGCTACTTCCCGCACCCTGTCACCGCCACGTGGGGCCCCAAATATCGGAAGGAAGAAACGATCCCTAGAAAGTGATGGTTTTCAGAAACCGACAGCGTGCCCTGCTGTTGGCACCCGTGCCAGGCTACACTGACAGGGTGCGGGCACAGGCAGTGAGGCTGAGCAGAGAGCACTGCTGGTGTGCCAGGGGCAGTTGGCTCAAGCCACGGTGCCTTGGGTACGGGGTGGGTAGATCTGTCCCATAGTGGTGATGGGGCAGCAACCTTCCCTGGACACCTTCCCTTGGAGCCTGGGCTGTACCCCCACTCTGGCCACCGCCTTGTGCTGTCCTCCTGGTGGCCTGCACCCCAACGCCCCTATGCCCCAGAGAGGGCACAGAGGCTCACTGGCCAGGCATGGTAGGCAGGGGGCCCGGCCCTGGCTTCATGAATCCACTTCCTTTTCCTCTCCCTTGCCAGGGTGGCTGTGGAGGTCTTTCGAGTTGCTGGGGTGGGAGTACCCACACAGGCACATCCTGAGGGGTGTGGGCGTCCACCTCTGGATGCCTTGTGACTGACCAGGAGGGTTCTGCCAGCTCCTGACCTTCTTCAAAACTCCTTGAGCCCTCAGGGTCGGCATCCTCTTGTGGGTCTCGGGTGGGTGCTCAGGGCCTGCTCGGGCCTTGGCTCCTGGGACCCTCGTTCTGAGTGAAGCCCGGCTGGCCCTCTGGGACTGGTGGTGGGTCGGGCTGGTGCCGCGCATCCATCTCTTTTGCCAAACTCACCTGCACGCCTCACCAGCTGCTTCTGAAAGGGGCTCCTGCCTGCCAGGCTGCAGTCTGGCACCTCTAACCTGCTGCTTTCTCTTCACGCTCTCCTAGGACACTAGAGCCAAAGTGAGTACCCGGGCCCGCCTACTGGTGGGGGACAGTCCTCCCAGACCCTGTTAGGGTCCTGGCACTGGGGTACGTCTGGGAGGGGGGGGCCCAGTCTGGCATGCCAACCCCCGCCTGTGGTGTGTCCCATGTCCAGCTGTGAGAGAAGCCCAGGTCCTGCCCGGGCCCCTGGGCTCTGTCCCTTGGGCGCAGTGGGTGATGTCACAATGCCCAAGCCCCTGGGTGCACACTCTGCCCCCACTGCCCAGCTGGCAGCCTGGCCTTGGTGAGTGCTACCACCTGCCTGAGGGAGGGCAAGGGCAGGCTGGGACCTCGGGAGCCCCGGTCCCTGTCCCAGCCCTTAGCCCTGCACTCCCCGCCCCCCCCCCCCCCCCCCGACCTTGCTGTCCCCGTCCCGCTCTGGGATGCTGCCCGGGTTGTCCGGAGCTCAGCTTGAGGCACACCAGAGGCTTGTGTCCATCGAGCTTGACCAAGACCTGCCTCTGTGCTGGGGACAGTGGGGTTCCCCGGGGGGGCTGCTCCTGCTCAGCCCCTTGGTTAGTCCGTGTGCCTGGACACTGCAGAAGCCAGAGGCAGGTCTGTCCTGGGAAAGCCCCCGCCGGTCAGCTGCTGGGTGGTCCCCACAGGAGCAGAGCTCCAGGGTGCATCTTGGTTCTCTGGCCAAGGGGCCCTCACCGGCTCCCCACCTTCAGTGAAGCCCACTCTGCCCGGGGCGGGGTAGGGCACCAATGTCACAGGATGTGCCCTCGGGGCCCGTCTGGGCATGTCCTGCGCTGAAGGCAGGCAGCTGTGACCAGGATCTGGATCCTGAGGCTTGGCAGCAGCCTGGCACGCATGGCGCTTCTGCTTGGCTCCGCCTTTGCACGTGGCCTCCTGGCACCCCCATGGCCGTGTCCCCGGTCCCCCGCAGCATGCCCGCGGGGGGTGGGGGGTACCCGGTGCCCACCGTGCATGGGCCGACCGCTGCAACTGCCGCCCTGTGCTTGCTTTTCACGCTGCGCCGAAGATGAGGAGCGGGAAGGCCCCCCCTGCCCCGGAGAGCGTCTGGGAGGACACGCAGACGCATGGGGAGGCCGCGCAAGCTGCTGCCCCGCTGCAGCCCCCGAACGAGGCTCTGGCCGTGAACGGGCCCAGCCCTGAGGACACCGGGGAGGCCGAGGCCCCAGAGAGTGGCCGGAGTGAGCCAGGCAGGGAGCGCCCGGGGAAGAAGACCCTGCAGAAGAAGAGGAAGCGCTCCCCCAAGGGCGGGCTAGGCCAGGCGGCCCTGGCCCTCGTGGGTCTCTCGGCGGACCACGTCTGGCTCGACAAGCCGCTTTTCGACCAGGCTGAGAGCTGCTACCGCCAGAGGCTGGCAGATGTGGCCGCCCAGGCAGCCCAGCCACCGGCCCTGGGCTCACGCGGCCCCTGCACCCACGGCAGCCTGGTGGCCTGCCACCACGTGACCTGGGGCATCTGGGTGAACAAGCCGGCCTTCGATCAGGCCGAACGGGCCTTTGTGGAGTGGTCGCAGGCCCTGCTGCTGGCCACGGAAGGGAGCAGCCTGCAGGGCGTTCCTGACACGGGCCAGAGGGTCCCTGCGCCTGACCCGGCCCCCCCGTGCCAGCCCAGCCTGCCTACCAGCGGGCAGCCTTTGGGCAGTCTGCAGGCCCTGGTGCAGGAGGTCTGGCTGGAGAAGCCCCGCTGTGACGCAGCCCTGTGCGATGGCCACCCACCCGGGAAGGTGCGTCTGCAGGAGCGAGCCGGCCAGGCCGAGGGAGCCCGGCGGGCCCGCAGAGATCGACGGGGCCGCAACGCCACCGGAAGCAAGCGGGCAGGACCACGGCGTTCAGATGGGGAGGCCCCCTCGGCCCTGCCTCATTGGTACCTCCTGCACAAGGATGCCGAGGCCCCCTGGCTGAGCAAGCCCACCTACGACTCTGCCGAGTGCCGCCACCATGCCGCCGAGGCGCTCCGCATGGCCTGGCGCCTCGAGGCCGCGGCCCTGGCTCACCGTCCCACGCCCCGGGCTGGCCCGTCCATGTCCAGCCTGAGACCCAAGTAGGAGCGACGTGCCGGGACCCTGGGCGGGATCCCAAGACTCTTGGACCCGCCGAGCAGATGGGCTCCCCGCGCCGGGTGTGAGGGAGGGGGCGGGAGCTGTGCCAGCAGGCTAGGGGCAGAGGCTCGACCTGAGGGAGGCCAAGTGGACCCTCTTCTCCGGGGGTGACCCCTCGCCTTGGCCATGGAGGGATGGGAACGGGCCGTGGACTGATGGTGGAGGCCTGGCTGTGCTGTCACTGGGGCCGGGCACACTTGGGCTTGCCGGGGGGGAGAGTCTCTGGGCTGTACCCCAGTGCTCCCAATTTGCCAGTGCCAGGACGCACTGCGGGTGCACCGGGCCTGCGGCCTCTGGTGGCATGAACTCAACCTCACACAGGTGTGCTCTTGGCACGGTGCCCTGCCGTTGTGCCTGCCCTGAGCCACTGGTCTCCCCAGCTTTGAAGGACACCAGGGCGGGGGTACCCCAGGGCCAGCTTCGTCGTAGCCGCCTCAGCCTCCCCTCCACTCTCCCAGCAGGAAAATGGCCACAAACTTTCTTGTGCATGAGAAGATCTGGTTCGACAAGTTCAAGTTTGACGACGCAGAGAGGAAGTTCTACGAGCAGATGAACGGGCCAGTGGGCAGCTCGGCACGCCAGGTAGGGGCTTAGGGTGGGGGTGGGCCTGGGGGCCGGCCACCCATCTGCCCGACCCTGGCCCAGGTGGTGGCCACTTTTCGCTTCTGCTAAGCTTCTGCGCTAGGCTTTTACCCCCACAGGAAGGCCCTTTTATTTAATTTTTTTTTAACTAAAATTTTTTTTAATGAGGGAAAGACAGTTCTTTCTGCACTGTCCGCAGGAGAACGGCGCCAGCCTCATCCTCCGCGACATTGCGAGAGCCAGAGAGAACATCCAGAAATCCCTGGCTGGAGTGAGTACCACGGCGCAGTATCCGAGTGTCCTTGCCTGGCCTGGTCTGCTGGCTGGCGCCGCCACGCCCACTCGGGCCTCCTGCCTCCTCGTGGAACTGGCCCCTTGCCTCCTGGGCATGCGGCCCCAGCAGCAGTGACCTCACCTCGCTGCCATGCTGTCCCTGTCCCTGGGGGGGTGCTCGGGGGTGGAGGACAAGGGCCTTGAGTGGCACCTGTCCAGGTCCAGCCAGTGACCTCCCTGAAAGTTAGGCCCAGGGCTCCAGGGTTCGGTTCTGCCACACCCCGCAAGCCAGCTGTGGTCCCCTCAGAAGGGGGTGCCTGCCAGCCCCCCACTCCTGCTCCAACCAGTTGCCGTCCTCTTTCTTCCTGCTTTTGGCTCGCCTGCTGGTGCTGAGGGGCTGCTCCTGAGGCTTCTTGCGCCTTGCCGTGCTGGGGACGGAGCCAGCCTCGACTTGGTCCCCATTTTCTTTGAGAGCTTATTGGCCGCTGAGGTCTTATCGGCCATTTCCCGGCTCTGTACTGCCTGGCCAAAAGCTCTGTGCTCAACCCGATGGCTTGGCTATTTGGCCCAGGATTTGGGGGCCTTGTGCCAGCCTCTGGGGGAGGACCCACACCAGCAGGCCCCTAGGTGTCCCCGCCCACCAGCACCAGCCTCTCCTGGGGAGGAGTGGCCATCCCTGGACACCCAGACTCGATCCCCAGTTATCTCCCCATGGCCGGTGACCTTTAGGGCCCAACGCAGCCACCAGCTCTCGGGCAAACGTGCCAGCAGCTCCCCCGTGTACTCATGTCCCTGCTCTTCTGACTTCCACCATGGCCCCTGGCCCCTGCCCTACTGCCCTCTGGACCTAGCAGACCTGAATTCACGGGCGCTCAGGGGTGTCTGTGGGCTGTGCTGCAGGAGACCCCAGGGCGTCTCTGTTCTGTCCCACAGTTTGGGGCCCTGCTGACCTCATGGAGACACCAGCCCTCAGACCCAGGCTAGGGTGCAGAAGGCCAGTCTTGGGGCTCTTGGCTGCAGGCACCCCCGCCTCACTCGGGATACCTGTGCTGGGTGCAGTAGCTGTGTCTGGGCCTGGGGGACCGCGGGTGAACTGCTGACCCCAGCTCTGTGGGGAGCATCTGCAGGCAGGCTTGGCGGGGGCTGGGGTGTCTCACAGCCCACCCTTCTGGGCACTGCCTGTCTGATGGGCGCGACCCAGAATCGGGGGGCTCCTGCTCCAATGATCTGCCAGCTGCCCTGGAACCCGCTGCACCCCCCACGGGCCACCATGCCCCTTGCCCTGAGACACTGTCTCCAGCAGGCAGGGTACCTGAGTGTCTTACAGAAGGGGGAGGGGGAGGGTCTCAGGCCATCATGCTCCAGCCCACGCACCAGAGGCAGTGGGGAAGTGTGTGCCTCGGTTGTGGACCCCACAAAATTGCCATCACCTCACTTCAGCTGGAAGAGAGGCTTCCACATGGGGAGGGGCCGCCCCGCAGGCCTGGTCCTGATGCCACTCTCAGTACTCAGCAGGGAGCCGCAGTGGGCCAGGAGAGGCCAGAGTGCTCCTTGCTGCTGCTGTGCCGAGTGGCCACGCCAGGGACGGGGGAGAGGGGTTGCCCCCTGCACATTCTCGCTCGACCCACACTCCCCTCAGTGGCTCTCCATCCCCTTCCAGCTCCAGGCAGTGCTGTCCAGCCCCGCTGACGTGCCTGGGACTGTAAGTCCTCCGCCGGGTCCTGCCATGGCAGGTGGCCCGTCTGGTGTGCGCTGACGTCCTGTGTGGGGCTGCTGGGGCCCTGCTTTGTGCTTGGCTGCGCGTGGTGGTGAGCCAGCCCGACACCCCCGCCCGGGGTGCGATTGGCCAGCACTCGGCTTGGGGGAGCTGGGAACAGGGCCTGTGCCAGCCAGACACCAGCCCTCATCCTCCTGCCTTGCAGGGCTCCGGCCCCGGCGCCAGCGGGCCAGGTGGAGACCACAGCGAGCTGGTGCTGCGCATTGCCAGCCTGGAAGTGGAGAACCAGGGCCTGCGAGGCGGTGAGGCCCGGGCTGGCGGGTGGGTGTCGGGGCCCGTGCTGCCTGCTGACGCTCCTCTGACCCCGCAGTGGTGCAGGGCCTGCAGCAGGCCCTCTCCAAGCTGGAGATCCGGCTGAGCGCGCTGGAGAAGAACTCGCCTGCCCAGCGGGCCGCCCCACAGACCCAGGTGCGTGCCGCCCCCCCCCTGCCCCCAAGGCCGCTGCCTGCCGCCATGGCCTCACCCCTGCCCCTTCCCTCCCCCACGCAGCACGTGTCTCCCATGCGCCAAGTACAGCCCCCCACCCAGAAGGCAGCCACGGCCACTGAGGACGATGAGGATGACGACATGGACCTGTTCGGCAGTGACGAGGAGGAGGACAAGGAAGCAGCGCGGCTGCGGGAGGAGCGACTGCGGCAGTACGCCGAGAAGAAGGCCAAGAAGCCCACGCTGGTGGCCAAGTCTTCCATCCTCCTGGACGTGAAGCCTGTGAGTGCCCGGCGTGGACCCCCTGGGGGGCCTCCCGCTGCCCCTGCTTCCCCCCACTCACCTCTCCCTCTGCCCTCAGTGGGATGACGAGACGGACATGGCTCAGCTGGAGGCCTGCGTGCGCTCTGTCCAGCTGGACGGGCTGACCTGGGGGGGCTCCAAGCTCGTGCCCGTGGGCTATGGCATCCGCAAGCTGCAGATCCAGTGCGTGGTAGAGGATGACAAGGTGGGCACGGACCTGCTGGAGGAGGAGATCACCAAGTTCGAGGAGCACGTGAGTGGGCAGCCCAGGATGGGGTCAGGGGCCGGGGGGCCAGGGCGGTGCACCCACTCACCACATGCCCTCCCGCCTTCAGGTGCAGAGCGTGGACATTGCTGCCTTCAACAAGATCTGAGCCATCCGTGCCGTCAATAAAGATAGATTCTCGCACTCCGGCTCCGCAGTCTTTGGGAATGGTTTCCAGGGGGCTTCGGGGGTCCTCAGGGAGCTGAGCGGGATGCCAGAGGTTGAGCCCTGGTGGGCCGTGGGCAGGGCAAGCTCTGGCCCGGCCCTGTCCTGAGGAGGAGGCAGTGCTGGACTTGGCCTGGGCAGCCCAGCACTCTGCCCCGTGGTTCCCACCCACCCTGTGTGTGTGAGCTGTGCTTGACACCCTGTGCCCATCTCTCCAGCAGCAGTGTCCCTCGGTGCCCTCCCAGGCCCCTTTGTTAGCACCTGGGGAAGCAGCCCGCTGGGGCCCGCTGCCAAGGCCACGGCTCTCCTGATGCCTTGCTGCCAGGTGGCTCCTTGCCCCTGGGGCCACCCAGCTCCCAGTCCCATGTATGGCCAGCACGTACATGTCCCATAGCCCTGGACACCCAGGTGGTTCAGCCGTGTCCTACCCTCCCATACCCATACCCGGGCAGGCCCAGGGCTCTGTGGGCTGCAGTCTGCTGGAGATTGGGGGAGGGGGGTCCGGGGCCCTGCACCTGGAGGTCTGGGTGTGTTGGGGAACAAAGGTTAGCCGAGTAGGGCTGTCCCGCCCTTTTCCCTCTCCGCCCCGCCCGGGAGTTCCAGGCTGGAAACTGGATCCTGCCCCGAGGGGCCCAGAGCTGGGGGCGGGCACCGTGCCCGGCGGAGGCGGGGCGGGTCAAGGGCGGGGAGGTGCCCGCCTTGGTGTCACGCGGCCGGGCCGGGCATTCGTCCCGGCGCGATGGCGACGGAGCAGGACCCCGAGGGGCAGGCAGCGGCACGGCCGCTGCTGACAGACCTCTACCAGGTGACCATGGCGCTGGGCTACTGGCGCGCGGGCCGAGCGCGGGAACCCGCCGACTTCGAGCTCTTCTTCCGCCGCTGCCCGTTCGGCGGCGCCTTCGTGCTGGCCGCGGGGCTGCGGGACTGCGTGCGCTTCCTGCGCGCCTTCCGCCTGCGGGACGCAGGTACGCGCCCCGCGCTCGGTCCCGCCGTGCAGTTCCCGGGGGTTGGGCCCGCTCAGCCCCGCGCCCGGTCCGGACGTGCAGTTCCTGGGGCCCCCACCCAGCCCTGCGCTCGGTCCGGACGTGCAGTTCCCGGGGGCCGCCCGCGCAGCCCCGCACAACCCCGCCCTCGGTCCAAACGTGCAGTTCCCGGGAGCGCCCACCCAGCCCCGCGCCCGGTCCGGACGTGCGGTTTCCGGGGGTTGCGCCCGCGCAGCACCACCCAGCCCCAGGCTCTGTCCCAGGACGTGCAGTTCCGGGAGAGGGGGCGTCGACCGCCTCTCCCCGTCCTGCCCCGCGCTCAGTCCCAGGACTTGCAGTTCTGGTGGAGGCGCCCACCCAGCCCCGCACTCTGTCCCTGGGGTCGCGCCTGCCCAGCCCCGCCCTCCGTCCCCGGACGTGCAGCTCCTGGCTGGGCTGTCCGGGGGTCGTGTCCCGACGGCCGGGCAGTGTGGGGTCCCGCTTCCCACTCAGCCGGCATGCTCTTCCCCAGGGTCACGCCCCTCACAACCCCCGAGCTCTGTCCCCAGACATGCAGCTTCTGGTTGGGCTGTGTGTGGGGGGATGTTGCACCCGGTTGGCCAGACTGGCCCTGGGGTTGTGCCCCGCTGGCCAGGCTGTCCACAGGGTCCAGCACCCCGCTCAGCTCCTTGCACTCCTCCCTAGATGTGCAGTTCCTGGCCTCCGTGCTGCCCCCAGACACGGAGCCTGCCTTCTTTGAGCATCTTCGGGCCATCGACTGCTCCGGGGTGACTGTGCGGGCCCTGCCTGAGGGCTCGCTCGCCTTCCCTGGAGTGAGTACAGGCAGGGTGTGGGGCACCTTGTGTGGCTGGGCTGAGGTGGCCCATGCTGAGCGACCCTCGCCTGCAGGTGCCACTGCTGCAGGTGACCGGCCCTCTCCTGGTGGTGCAGCTGCTTGAGACGCCGCTTCTCTGCCTGTTCAGCTATGCCAGGTGGACGCTGGGGGGGCGTGGGCATAGAGCGGCCACCAGGCACACCCAGAGGGTGGGGCACTAGGGCTCGGGTGCCTCTCTGGCACTCAGTCCAGACCCCCACACCGCGCCCCCAGCCTCATAGCCACCAATGCTGCGCGGCTCCGCCTGATCGCTGGTCCTGGGAAGCGGCTGCTGGAGATGGGACTGCGGCGTGCCCAGGGGCCTGATGGGGGCCTGTCAGCGTCCACTTACAGCTACCTGGGAGGTGAGGTGGGCAGAGGGATGGGCGGCCGCCCCCCTCACCACAGACCCTCTGACCCGAGGCTCTGACCCAGGCTTCGACGGCACCAGCAACGTGCTGGCCGGGCAGCTCCGAGGCGTGCCGGTGGCCGGAACCCTGGCACATTCCTTCATCACGTCCTTCTCAGGCACAGAGGTGCCCCCAGACCCGGTCAGTAGCCCCTGTCCACCGAGGTCAGCCTTGTCCAAGAGGGGCACCAGCGTCCCTGCTGGGCGTTTTCCCCCTCACCGTCTCTCCCCCTCACCGTCTCTCCCCAGCAGATGTTGGCTCCGGCCAGCGGCCACGGCCCCAGAGTGGATCTGGCCACACACGTGGAGATGTGGCTGGAGCGTGTGTGTGTCCAGCTGGGCCTGGGGGTGCAGGAACCACACAGAGGGGAGCGGGCAGCCTTTGTGGCCTATGCGCTGGCCTTCCCTCGGGCCTTCCAGGGCCTGCTGGATACCTACAGTGTGCGGAGGTGAGACTCGGGGTCCCGCCCCCCCTCTGACTGCTGCAGCCCCTCCATGCTTGCCTCTGCCGGCAGGAGCGGCCTCCCCAACTTCCTGGCTGTGGCCCTGGCCCTGGGCGAGCTGGGCTACCGGGCAGTGGGCGTGAGGCTGGACAGTGGCGACCTGCTTCTGCAGGCCCAGGAGATTCGCGGGGTCTTCCGGACCCTCGCAGCCTGGTGAGTCCCTGGGGAGTCCCGGGCACAGAGCAGGGCCAGGGACTGTGAGGAACAAGCCGCCTGTTGACCAGGGAGGGCCCCAGGGTGACATCGGGAGAGGGAGGTGGACACTGTGCCCCCCCACACACAGGTTCCAGGTGCCCTGGCTGGAGTCGGTCCCCATTGCTGTCAGCAACAACATTAACGAGGAGGAGCTGGCCCGCCTGGCCCAGGAGGTGGGCCGTGCTGGGCTCCTGCCGGTTCCTGCGGGAGGGGGCAGAGGGGCCAGGGGCCCCGTGGGCTCAGTCTGAGTCACCTTCCTGTCCTCTTTCAGGGCAGTGAGGTCAATGTCATTGGGATCGGCACCAGCGTGGTCACCTGCCCTCTGCAACCTTCCCTGGGCTGTGTCTACAAGGTGGGGTAGGGCCTGCTGGGAAGCAGAGGGGAGGGGAGCCGAACGGGGGTGGGGGCAGGCCGGTGGCAGGGCGCTGCAGGGGTTATGGGGGAGGGCCCAAGGCAGGGGGCCGTGCCAGGTTCACTGTTGGGGTCCTCTCCCATAGCTTGTGTCCGTGGCCGGCCAGCCTCGCATGAAGCTGACTGAGGACCCCGAGAAGCAGACACTCCCCGGGTGCAAGGCTGCCTTCCGCCTCCTGGACTCCAGCGGTGAGCACCCTGCCCCCCTCCCCAGCCCCTCCCCCCATCTCCAGGCCCCCGGGCCCCTGACAACAGCCCTGTCCCCTCCCACAGGGGCCCCGCTGCTGGACTTGCTGCAGCTAGCAGAAGAGCCGGCACCCCAGGCTGGCCAGGAGCTGAGGGTCTGGCCTCGAGGGGCCCAGGAGGCCCGCACTGTGCGGCCAGCCCACGTGGAGCCACTGCTGCGGGTGTGGGTCCAGCAGGGACAGGTGACCTTCTGCACCTTGCACCCAGAGGAGCCCTTGATCCCTTTCTGGGCCGGCCTCTCACTTGCTCCCTCCCCTCCCCCAGCTGCGTGAGCCCCTCCCACCCCTGGCCGAGTCCAGAGCCTTCGCCCAGCGCTGCCTGGGCCAGCTGCGCCCGGAGCACCTGCGGCTGCAGCAGCCGGAGGAGTACCAGGTGGGTGGGGCCCCAGTGGGCCCAAGGCACTCCTGCCCACCGCGCCTCTCTCCTCTGACCACCCACCCACCCCCTGCAGGTGGCGCTGTCCGAAAAGCTGCGGGCCCTGGTGGACAGGCTGCGCTCGGGAGCCCTTGTGTGAAGCCCGCCGGTGGGCCCGTGGAAATAACACAAGCCCCTCTCCACAGCGGTCTCCTGTCTTTTTTTCCCCAGGGCCTTCCGTGAGCCATTGCCCGGCTGAGGGGCACCCACGGAGGGCCTATGCGAGAGGCCAGGGTTTAAGAATTCAGGTGCCCCCCTACCCCCTCCGTGCCAGGGTGCTGCCCCTCCGTGGCCCCTAAGCTTCCCAGGCAAAGGAAGGAGAAGCCAGGGGTTGTCTGCCACTGGGCCCAGCCCCCTCCAGCTCCCATGGCTCCCATGGTCTGACACCTTCAATAGGGTCAGGGCAGCCAGGAGGATGCCTGACCTGCCACTGGGCAGACAAGTGAGTGACCTCAGGCCCACTCGGCTTTGGCACAGGGCCCCAGGGAGCTGCCTGGGGCAGGGGCTGGCAGCAGGCGGGCACCAGGCAGAGGAGGGCGTGAGGGAATGCTGACAGTCTGGGGCACTGCAGGGAGCACTTCCGCTGCCCAGGAATTCTGCCCGACCGGCTCTCCTGGCTCCCTGAGGACCCGCAGTGCTGCTGGCAGACCTTGGCATGGGGGGAGGAAGGCGGGGACTCTCAGGGCAGCCCCCGGGGCCCCTGGAACCCACTTTTCAGACCCTGGCGGGGGGCAGGGGCAAAAGACACCAGCACCTCCGCCCACTCCGCTGACCCAGCTGAGCCCAGAGGTGGCGACATCTCGCAGTCATGCCTGTCCTGCAGTGTGGCGGGGTTGGAATGCAGTGGGCACGGCACAGCCCAGCCCCCTGGCCCACAGCTTCTCCATGGCTGAGTCAGCAGTGCCAGGTCGGAGCCAGGTGTAGACCTCTGGGCCTGGCTGGGCATGTGTCTCCTAGTCAGGCCCTCGACTCTCCTCTTGGCCACCCCGGACCCAAGCCCAAACTTAGACGAGGGCTCTTTGTGAGGCTGGCCACTTGCAGCCAGTAGCCACAGGAAGCTAACACTGGTCTCAGAGTGGGCGCCACGCCCCGTGTACCCTGCGTGGCTCCCTCCCCCGCAGCACACGCTGACACAGGCTGCCACGCCTGTCCCTAGTCCCGCCCGCCTGGGGCCTGTTCTGGGTCAAGCCCGGGCACAACTTCCCGAGAGGACCAGAGGCAAGTGCTCCGGGCCAGGCTCTCCCGAGACCATGGCTTGGGGCCTGTGGGGCCGAGCCCAGGGGCCTCCCGTGGGGGCGCTGACCCTAACAGCGCTGGCTGAAGGGATCCGAGCCGGCCAGGGCCAGCCCATGGAACCTCCTTCCATGGTGCCTGGGCCTGTGGTGGAGACGGACATTGGAGTGGCCCCGCCCGCGGCTGGCGTGGAGCCCTGCTCCCCAGACAGTGCCCTGGAACCACAGGACTGTGAGGAGCCCCACCAGGTGAGTGCGGAGGGGCCAGGGCAGGGAGCAGGGAGGCTGTGGCTGAAGAGGTGCTGGACACTTCCTGCGCCCCCCCCCCCATATTGTTCTAGGTTCCTCCAAGCTCCTGGGAGGAGGGAGCCCTCGCTGACCTGGCCCTGTGCACAGCTGCCTGCATGGAGGAGGCGGGTTACTCGGGCACTCAGGCCACAGCACTCACCCTGTCCTCAGCACTGGAGGCCCAGGGGCAGCGGCTAGAGGAGCAGGTTGGCCGCCCCCCCACCACCCCCAAGCCCAGAAGGGTGGACCCGGTGGCCATTGGGCCCTGTGCCCACCCAACCCTGTGCTCCCACAGGTGCACGCGCTGGTGAGGGGGCTGCTGGCACAGGTTCCCAGCCTGGCCGAGGGGAGGCCCCGGCGGGCCGCTCTGCGCGTGCTTAGTGCGCTGGCCCTGGACCACGCGCATGACGTGGTGAGCGCGCTGCTGCCCTGCTCGCTGCCCCCGGACAGGTGAGGCCCACCCCGCTCGCGGCTTCCTTCCTCCTCCCCTTCCCGCTTGGGCTGGGAGTCTGACTCGGTCTCCGTGTCCCTGTGTGTCCCTGCCCCGCCCACCGCAGGGCCACAGGGTCACGGGGTGGCTGCACCATGCAGAGGTGCTGGGAGGCGAGTCTATCTCAGCCTCCACTGACCGTGTCTGCACCTGCAGGGCCGCCGCCGAGCTATGGCGCAGCCTGAGTCGGAACCAGCGTGTGAACGGGCAGGTGCTGGTGCAGCTGCTGTGGGCGCTCAAGGGCGGGGCAGGGCCGGAGCCCGAGGCCCTGGCGGTAGGTGACCCCGGTTGGGGTCCAGGCCTGGGTCGTGTCCCAGAAACACCCTCACCCAATCCTCGACCCCACTCTGAGCCCCCTTCCTCACATAGGCCACGCGCGCCCTCGGGGAGATGCTGGCCGTGTCCGGGTGCGTGGGCGCCACGAGGGGCTTCTACCCGCACCTCCTGCTGGTGCTGGTCACGCAGCTGCACGAGCTGGCCCGGAGTGCGCGCTCGCCCAGCAGCCCCAAGGTCTGGGCGCCGTCTGATCCGGGGCCCCCGCACGGCCACGCCAGGTAGGAGGGAGGCCAGGGGAGCAGGGTGTTGGGCCCATGCCCGCAGCCGGTCTCACTGCCCCATCTGCCCGCGCTCATGTTCCAGCTGCGCCGTGGAGGCCTTGAAGGCCCTGCTCACGGGGGACGGTGGCCGCATGGTGGTCACATGCATGGAGCAGGCCGGAGGCTGGAGGAGGCTGGTGGGCGCCCACACCCACCTGGAGGGCGTGCTGCTGCTGGCCAGGTGCGGGGCAGTTAGGCGAGGTGGGGGCGGTGCGCAGGGGAGGCCCCCGGCTGAGGGAGCGCGCATGTCCGCCCACCCCGTGTCGCACCCTGCAGTGCCATGGTGGCCCACGCCGACCACCACCTGCGGGGCCTCTTCGCGGACTTGCTTCCACGGTTGCGGAGCACGAACGACACGCAGCGCCTCACGGCCATGGCCTTCTTCACCGGGGTGAGCCCGCTGCGGGGTAGGGGGTGGCCACGGCCCTGGGCAGTGCGGGCCGGCGCGGGGCCCCGAGCGCACTGACCCAGCGGCCCGGCCCAGCTCTTGCAGAGCCGACCCACGGCAAGGCTCCTGCGGGAGGACAGCATCCTGGAGCGGCTCCGCGCCTGGCAGGGCGACCCCGAGCCCACCGTGCGCTGGCTCGGCCTGCTGGGCCTCGGGCACCTGGCTCTGAATCGCGGCAAGGTGAGGAGCGGGCCGGGCGCCAGGAGGGGCACCGCCTCGGACCCGCCCATCCCATCAGCCCCGTCCCCGCAGGTGCGGCACGTGGGCACGCTGCTGCCCGCGCTGCTGGGCGCGCTGGGCGAGAGCGACGCGCGGCTCGTGGGCGCCGCTCTGGGCGCGCTGCGGAGGCTCCTGCTGCGGCCGCGGGCGCCCGTGACGCTGCTGAGCTCAGAACTGCGGCCGCGCCTCCCGCCTCTGCTGGACGACGTGAGCCACACGCCCCGCCCCGCCCCCACCGCGTCCCGCTGCCTGGGCCGGGTCGCCTGCCCTGCACGCCCCTTCTTAAGTTAAGCCCGCCCCCCGGCCGCGCCCCCAGCGCGCCACGCCCTCCCTCGGTCCCGCCCCTCCACTTGACCCCGCCCTCCTTCAGTACCGATCCCATTTGGCCACGCCCTTCCTCAGTCCTGCCCCTCGCTTGACCACGCCCCTCCCTCAGCCCCATCCCTTGTCTGGCCACGCCCCCGGCGCGCCCCGCCCCTCCTTGGCCACGCCCCTCGGTCCTGCCTCTTCCTTCGGCTCCGCCCTTCTTCCCTGTCCCTGGCCCAACCCGTCTTCCCTGCCTTGTCCACCTTGCTGGCCCCTTCCCACCCGACCCCTGATCGCGCCTTTCGCGCCCTGCCAGATTCCTTCCTTGCTCCCGCTGACCGATCCCTCCTACACAGGCCCGGGACTCGGTCCGTGCCTCCGCCGTCGGGCTGCTGGGGACCCTGGTGCGGCGGGGCCGCGGCGGGCTCCGGGTGGGGCTCCGCGGCCCCCTGCGGAAGTTAGTCCTCCAGAGTCTGGTGCCGCTGCTGTTGCGCCTGCATGATCCCAGCCGGGATGCCGCTGAGGTTGGCTACCCCCACGGAGTCCCAGCCCTCCCCACAGCCTCTCCAGGACATCGGTTTGGGTCTGGGGCAGGTGCTGCGGCCCCCAGCTTCCCTTGGCCTCGGGCATGTCCTTGGGCTGCATGACCCCACCCTCCTACAACTCCCCCTTGCCATTTTAAACGCCCTGGATCCTGCTCTCGTTCCAGAGCTCAGAGTGGACACTGGCCCGCTGTGACCAGGCACTGCGCTGGGGGCTGCTGGAGGAGATGGTCACTGTGGCCCACTATGACAGCCCTGAGGCCCTGAGCCGAGTGTGCCACCGCCTGGTCAGTGGGGAGGTGGGCAGTGACTGCGCTTACACGAAGTCCTCAGTGGCTTTGTGGTTCCCACATCCTCCCAGCCACGGGGACTGACCCTCCTGTCTGCCCCCAGGTTCAGCGGTACCCGAGTCACGTGTGTCGCTTCCTGAGCCAGACCCAGGGCTACCTCCGTAGTCCACAGGGCCCCCTGCGCCGGGCCGCTGCCGTGCTCATAGGTGAGGTCCTGCCCGGCCGGTCCCAGACCTCTGATCTCTGGACGTGGCATTCCCTCCGGCAGGCGGGGAGGGGGGAGCGGTGAGGGTGGTGAGGCGCTTACACGCTTTCTTTGACCCAGGCTTCCTCGTCCATCATGCAAGTCCCAGCCGCGTGGACCAGGACCTGCTGGACGCCCTCTTGCAGGGTGAGGAGCCGATGGCCAGAGCAGGCCCTGGGGAGGCGGTGGATTCTGGGTGTGGCCCACCCCCTGGTGTGGACATGCTGACAGCCGCCCAACCTCCTGTGCCCCACAGACCTGGGGCAACTGCAGAGCGACCCCGAGCCGGCTGTGCTGTCTGCTGCTCAGGTGTCAGCCCAGCAGGTGGCGCTCCTGGTCCGCGCGCAGGCCCGACCCCGCAGCCCCCGCCTGACCCGCCTGGTGCGCCTGGTGCGTCTGGGCCACCGGTTTGCACGACCCCCCAGACCGGAGCCCGTCTACTCCGACAGCCCCTTCCAGCGTCGGAGCCTTGCGGGCCGCTGGGGCTCCTCAGGGCCTGGCTGAGTGAGCAGGGCCTCTCCCGGCTGTGCCTGCACACTAGCAGGGCAGGGGCTAGAGCCAAGCCTGGGGGCATCTCATTCTCCTCAGGACAGCCTGTGTGTGACCCTCCTGGGGCCCAGACGGTGAGCAGTGCCTTGCGGGCACCATCTCCCCACTGACCCCTCCCCCCTCTGCCAGGACTCTGCCTACCCCATTCTGGGCATGGCGTCATCTGCTGTCCGGCCTCCCCACACACTGACCACTTGTCCCTGCTCCCCCCCCCCACACACACACACCGTGCCCATGGCTACTCCACACCCCTAAGGTTTCTCTGGGAGGTCAGCAGACTTCCCTCGGTCCACAGGCTGGGATCACACCTAGAGCTCAAGCCTGGGGTAAAGGCATCAGACCCCTCCTACCTGAGTCCTCAGGCTGGCCCCCAACGTCCGCCTGGGACTGAGGGGAGGAATAAAGAAGACATGGACAGCCAGGACCCCGGGGAGCCCCTCTCAGGCACTGCCTGCAAATCCTCAGGCAGCCCCCACGCATAGCCACCTGGAGGGGAGCCCTGCCCAGCAGTGCTGGAGACACGGCTCTGAGCTAGGAGGCTTGCCTGGCGTGCGGCCCACCTGGGCTTAACCCCCAGGTTTTTTGAGCACTGCCAGGAGTAAACCCTGAGCATTCCCAGGTGTGACCCCCCAAACCACAACAAACATAATGAAATAAACAATGTGAACCAAGGGCTAAGCCTGTGTCTGGCCAAGCAGCACTCCTGGTGCACTGACTGGCAGGAAATGGAACTCAGGAAGGGACTGGGGGCTCTGCTGTTCCCAGGGGAGGGGGAAGCTAGCACTCCCCAAAGCTGCTGCAGAGCAGTTCACAGGGAGCACTGCAGCTTCCTGTGCTCCCCACCTCATAGGGTCTGAGTCCAGACCTCGGGCACCAAAGCCTGCTCACTGCAGGGGCTCCAGATCGCCCTGCCTGTCTCCGTGCTCACTTCCCATGGGGCTCCCTGAGCCCCCAAAATGGGAGCAGGCGGTGCTTACTGCAGCCTGGGCCTTAAGGCTTCAACTCTTGAGACTTTCCCGGGGCAGATGTGTGTGGGTGTTCGACTCACCAAAGCAAGTCTCAAAAGGTCCTGCTCTGCCCCTGGGCATTGCCCCTACTACTGGCACCTGCAGCCCTGCACCCAGGCACTCTCTGCCCGTGATGCCCTCCAGGCCAGGTGCAGAGGAGGGCCCGGGTCTGTGCTGAGCTATTACCGCAGGAAACCCACCCTTAGTCTGTGGGAAATGCCGTGCCATGAACAGTGAAAGTTAAAATCTTAAAGGAACCTCCAACCCTGCCCTGTCTGCCCATCCACACCCCACCCGGCCCCTTCCTGTCTGTTGTAAGCAGGTCTCTGGCCCCCACAGAGCTCCAGTCACACGCCATCCTCGTAGTCACTTTACTGGTTCCATGCTGGGGAGGGGGCTCTTTTCATCCAGGGCTGGCCGTGGGCAGCTCCAGCCTACAGGTCCTGGCTCAGCCTCGACAGCACCACAAGGCAGGCATAGAGGGCGTGGACAGTGTCCAGGGCCTCAGGCACCCAGTGCACTTGGGGCGCATTCTCCTGCAGCCTCAGACCGCAGTGCTCCAGCAAGATCCAGGCGGGCGCTCCTTCTCTCCACCGGCTCCCCAGGGGGCCAGCAGGCAGGGTCACCTCTCTGCCCTGCTGCCATGGGTCAGCTTGTTTCAGAAGACTCCGCACCTGTGGGGAGGCACAGTACAAGAGGCTGCCCCGGGCACCCACTGCCCAGCACCACTCACCTGGGCTCTTGGTTCAGCCCACCTGCCAGCCCCGTACTCACCAGGCTGAGGGGTTCTGACAGGGCCCTGGCCTGCAGCTCCTGGGCCAGCAGGGCACGCTGGGCTGCACTGAGAGCTATGGAGAGACAGCATAAAGGGGTGACCCTGAAAACCCACTGCTTCCCCTACCTTGTCAGCGTCCACCATCCAGTGCTCCCCATGACTCACCAGACAGTGCTCCCAGCAGATACACAGCATGTTTCGTGAGCTCCTCCGCTAGCTCTCTGGAGGACTTCACCAGGCACTCCAGGATGGTGCCCACTGGCCCGTCCTGCTTCTCTACATGGCCCAAGCACATACCCTGCTCCAGCTGAGGGACATGGCGGGTGAGCCTGTGGCCTGTCCAGCCCATTTTCCACCCACTCGCCAGCTACCCAGGGGCTCACCGCCTCCTCGAAGGCCAGCAAGGCTGCCTCGTCCCGCAGCACAGTGTCCAGGCCCCGCAGCAGCTGGCGGCACAGCTCCCTGGACAGGACACACAAGCCCTCGGCCTGGTCCTCCGCCTCCATCTCCAGTAGCCGGAACCCTTTCACGGTCTCAGTTTTGGTCCCGGTGACTCTGTCTGCGGGGAAAGGGCTGCATCACCCGGTGCCGGGGGGCTGGAGAGCACTGGTCAGGGAGGGATGACAACAGAGGCTGCAAGAAGGTACTGGCCAGGGGCCAGAGCGATAGCACAGGGGGTAGGGCATTTGCCTTGCACGCGGCCGACCCGGGTTCGATTCCCAGCATCCCATAGGGTCCCCCGAGTACCATCAGGAGTAATTCCTGAGTGCAAAGCCAGGAGTAACCCCTGTGCATTGCCCGGGTGTGACCCAAAAAGAAAAAAAAAAAGAAGGTACTGACCAGACATCTTGGAGCCTTGAGATCCCTGGCACTGTGAGAACAGGACATCTGTGTGGACATCAAGGTTCAAATGCTGTCCTCCTGCTGTGGCCCCCCGGACACCCTTCCCAAGCCAGCAGCCCACACTGACAGCCCTGGGATAATGCCGTGTGTGTGTGTGTGTGTGTGTGTGTGTGTGTGTCTGTGCGTGTGTGTGCCATGCTCCGTGTGTGTGTGTGTGTGTGTGTGTGTGTGTGCAGGATACATGTGTATGTGCCCGTGTGTGTGTGTGTGTGCATGCCTGTGCCCTGTGTGTGTGGAATATGTGTGTGCATATATACAACTGTAGTTGGGATTGTAGACATGTGTGTATGCATGTCAGTGCTCAGCGCTCCGCGGCCTCACCTGCCTGGTTTGGCACGAAGGTCTTCTGCTTCTTCTCTGGGAACAGGATAACATCTGGGGAGCAGACCGGAGGCAGCGGTGCATGTGTGTCCTGGCCTCCCACACGCTAGATTGCACCCAGACTGGGGTGCCCGCTGCACCCCTGCCCACACCCCCAGACTCACCCCAGCCACGCGACTCAGAGTCAATGACCAGCAGGGCCGCCCGGAAGGCCAGGATGCTGCCTGAGGGGATGGTGACCGTCGTCTTGCTGCTGAGGTGGCCCTGACCCTTGCCCTGAGGAGTGGCAGGGTTCAGACCCTCGTCATCTGTGTCTGCAGGGACCCACACGCCCCCCCGCTGCACACGGGGCTCCCGCACCCCCACCTGCAGGCTCAGGGTTCCGGGCAGTGCAAACTGGCCCGAGCCCTCGCGCTTGCGTGTGCGTGTGGCCTCTACCTCCTCCTCTGTCCGTAGTACCTCTGTCACCACATAAACATTGACCCCGTACTGGCGTAGCTGCTGCAGGATTTTGGGTTCTGGGTTCTGCAGGCGCCTGTGACAGGAGGGAAGCTCCAGGGACCTTGGCCGGTGCCACCACCAGACCATCCTCGCACCATCGCCAGTGCCAGCTGCGCCAGCACCAGAAGCAGCGTCAGAGCTCGGCCGCCACCAACCATCCACCCCACACACCCGTGTCCATAGCAGCTTCAACGCAGCCCTCGAGCCTGCTGGTCAGTGGGCCCCGGGGTCTGTGCTGCCCAGATCCAGGCACTGCTCACCTGGCCCTGGGTGTTCCTAATGGTGCCCTGGGTGAGGGGGCACCAAAGGCCCCTGCAGCTCCGTCCCCAGGCCAGCTGCACACCTGCCAGCCCCCCCTTCCACACCCTGGCTGACATGAGGGACCTGCTGAGGACCCTCTGCTGTAGCCCAGCGTGGCTTCCTGAACCCAGTAGCACTCCCCAGCCCCATCCCAGCCCTGGGGCTTCTCCCACTGTCCCAGCCTGTCCCCAACGCCCAAGATGCCGGTGGCCAGTCACCCTGCCATGCCTAAGGGCTCACGTTTCCTGCTGCAGAGCTGTCCAGGTGCGGGGGTCCACCTGCAGCTTGGCCACATGCATGGAGGCACTGGAGCTGTTGGACATGGAGGCTCCGGCCTTGAGCATCCCCTGACTGGCTGCCGCCAGCTCCACGCTGCCCTGCAGCTGCCCATCCACCAGGTTGAGGAAGTGGAACGTGCCAACGAGGCGCGGGGCTGTGTGAAAGCAGGGCCTGAGCACAGGGTCCCAGACAGAGCCCCTCCACATCCTCCGGCCCCGTCCGCACCAGGGAGGCTTGGGGGCTCCGAACCACCGCCTTCCAGGATGTCCTGGATGGACAGGTTGATGCAGCTGTAGCGTGACTGTCCAAACCACTGCCTAGAGAGCTTCTTCATCAGAAGGTGATAAGGCTGGAAGCCGGACGCGCTCTCCAGGCTGTCCACGGTGCTCAGCTCCCGGCGGGGGTCCAGCTCCCGGATCACGCTCCTGACCACCCCATTGAAGGCCGATGCCATGCTTCTGAGGAGGGCAGTGGGGCCGGCTGTGCAGCCTCAGTACTGCCAGCTCGGGCCGCCTCCAGCAGTGGGGGACCAGGAACCACCCCAAGAAAGGGCAAGGCCAGGCCACTGTGGGCAGGAAATAGGCCCGCTTCCTGCCCCCTGCTGGGGCCCCAGCAAGCCCCCCCCCCCAGGTCCCAGCGACCAGGGGGTCCTCCAGAATGTTCTCTGTGCATAGCGGCTGGGCTGGGTGGGTCCCGCACTCCCCAGAAGCCCTGTTTCCCAGCCCTCCCCAACCCCGGGCCAGGCCGTGGCAACCCCCCACTACTGGGTGGCACCTCTCACCTGGGAGCCGGGGAAGAGAGAAGCGGGAAGTAGGACACTTTGCTGAGACTCACACGGGCGCCCCTGATCCCCGGATGTGCTGACCCCTGACCTGTCCAGGACACAAAAGTGAAACCAGGAGCCGTGTTTGGGCCCGCCCCATCCCGCCACACGTGGGGTGCGCCTGCCCCCGCTGCTGCTGGCCCCTGCCCTGTCCAGGACCCAAAAGTGAAACCAGCAACCGGGCTCGGCCCGCCCCATCCCTCCACTTGTGGCTGAGCCCAGCCCGTCCCGGCCCACCAGCGCCCCCACAGGAAACGGGGAGATCCTGGCCCACACCTGCCCCTGCCCTCTGTACTCTCAGCTGCCTCGCTCTGACACTCTGGCCTGGAAAACAAATTTGTAGAAACCCCCCAAAATGCAGCCAGTGCCCCAGACACCAGCTGTCGGGAAGGTCCTGCCCACCTCTGTGATGAGGGGCCAACAAAGACCCGACCCCCCCCCAGAGGCATCAGGGACCAGTGTGCCAGTCACTCAGGCAGCGACAAATGTCCACCAACTGGTGATGAGCCAGAGGCAGATGTGGCCCCGGAGAAAATTTCCTCTTCCTGCAGGCAGGAGGGTGGAGGGCCAAGTGGACCAGCAGCCCTGAGGATGGCAGTGGGGACTGCCCACCACACCTAGCCTGCAGGCCCTGCCAGCTTCCTGGGAATCCTCGGGAAGGCGTGTGCTAGGAGGTCTGCAGCCCCTTCTGCACATTGGGCCCGAGGTCCCAGCAGGACTCTGACCCTGAAACAGCAGTGCCGGGGCTGGCAGACAAGGGTCCCTGAGGCCTCTGTCCCGCTCACAGGGGCATTCCCTCCCTGCTTGTGTGCTGCTACGTGTGAGCCTGTGTGCCCCCGTGTGCAGTACAGTCAAGCATGTATTTTTTGAGTGTATGCGTGTGTGTACATGTGTGTGCGTGTGTGCACATGTGCGTGTTTGTGCATGTGTGTGCATGTGCGCGTGTGCGTGTGCGTGTGCGTGAGTGTGTGCACATGTGTGTGGAGGGGGTTGTGTGACTGACCTCCGAACTCTCTAGACCAGTGTTTCTCAACTGGCTGACCTCCGAACTCTCTAGACCAGTGTTTCTCAACTGGAATGCCCTCCCGGGTGTGGAAGGGGGCCCATGGGGGAGCAACCGCACTAGGGGAACGTTATGTGATGCCTGGGCAGCAGGAAGCAGTTCAGGAAGGCTGTGTGGTAAGGGCAACTGGGCCCAGGACCCCTGGGGTTTCCTGTGCAAGAGCCATCCGTGTAGCTCGTTTCTTCTACTTCTTCCATTCGGTTTCAGAGCTACACCCATTGGTGCTCAGGCTTCCTTCTGCCTCCATCCTCAGGGGACCAAAGGCAGGTCAGAGGAGTGCAAGGCAATGGACCTGCCTGCTATGTTATCTCTCCAGTTCTTTTTTTTTTTCATATTTTTTGGAGTGGGGGATGTGGGGGGCTCCAGTTGGCAGTGCTCAGGGCTTATTCCTGGCTCTGTACTTCAGGAATCTCTCCTGGTGGGGCTCAGGGGACCATATAAGGGGTGCCCTGGAATCCAACCCAGGTCCTTTGCAAGCTGTGCTATTGCTCTGGACCCTTTCAAATTTTTTTTTCCCTTTTGGCTTTTTGGGTCATACCCAGTAAATGCTCAGGGGTTATTCCTGGCTCTGCACTCAGGAATCACTCCTGGCAGTGCTCAGGGGACTGTATGGGATGCTAGGGTTAGAACCCAGGTTGGCTGTGTGTGCAAGGCAAACGCCCTACCTATGGTACTGTCACTGTTGCTCTGGACCCCCTTTTGAACTTTGTGACTTAGCATGACACCTGGAAACTTCATCTAGCTGAAGGAGATTCCTTGTGTACATAGATCACAATTCCTTCTTTTTCTGTGCCCATATTTTTGGGCTTTGCCACATGCAGGGGACCCTGCAGTATTGAGGACTGAACTGCGACTGGTCACAGGCCAGGCATGCCTCTTACTTCCTGTGCTGTAAGAAAGGTTTTCTTTTTGCCACACCCTGAGGTGCTCAGGACTTACCCTGGGCTCTCGCTCAGGGATCACTCCTGACAGGGCTCAGAGGATCACATGTGGTACCATGCAAGGCAAGTGCCTTTCTTCTATCCTATCACCTCAGCACCAGAAATTTCTTTTCAGTTACCTGTATACTTTTATTGCAGTGGAGCCTGACCCTAACCCAGGCCTCATGCTTGCAAGGCAAGCACCTTCCCCAGAACCCTGGCCCCCCGGGATGTACTGGACTGTTCTTCACTCATGTTTGCAGCGCCCAGTGGACCAACGCATCATATGTGAGAGCAGGTGCTTCTCCTTGGAGCCACCTGCCAAACACGCCCCGTCTTCAGGGACCAGCAAGGAAGGCCGGGGGGGGGAGTCTCTGGGGAGGAGGGTGATGCTCAGGAAATCAAACGGGCCGACAGAATGCGGGGGGGGGGCTGGACTGCCCCACTTCCAGCCTGGCCCTATTAGGTGAGGGTTTGGCCGGGGGACTCCAAGACAAGTCAGCTCAGAGCCTCTGCCCGCCCCCACAGAAGGCTGGAGTGAGGGCGGGCCTGAGGGTCCTCATGTGGGGGGTTGGCAGAGGCAGGAGTGGGGGCCCAGGAAGCCATTTCAGGGTTCAGATCATATGGGTGAGCTTGTAGCCAGCAGGAGAAAGCCGGATAGTGCGTAGCAACCCGTTCCCCCAGCCCCCCAATCCAGAGAAGCCCATGATCCTGCTCCTCCAAGCTCATGGCCAATGCCGCGGGATGGGAACTGGGGGGACAGTTCTCCCTAAAGGGTCCAGGTAGTCCAGGACTAGAGGCGATGTGCTTCTGGCGTCAGGTAGGGCCCCACACTGGCCACTACTTGCTACCCCCTGGCTCACAGCAATGCCCATAGGTACAGGGGCCACCTCCCAGCACCCCTTCCTACCCGAGGACCCCACAGGCTGGGCAGGGGAGAGGCAGATGGGAAACTGCCCTGGAGAACCAGGTGGCATGGTGTGGCCTTTGCAGGGCAGGACTCTGGGCTGAGGTCAGCCTGAGGTCAGGGACCTGTCCATGGCTTGGGGCTGTCCACCAGGCTGACCCCTGACCCCAGGAGCCCATGTCGGGTTCAGTCACTGCAGGAGACAGGAGGGAGCCTGGGACATGTCGAAGAGCAGTGGACAGGCAGGGTGTCGGGCTGCTTCCCGTCTGTGCCGCCCCCCAGGCCCCGGCCAGGGGCCGCAGTCTCTTGAGTCCTTGTTGCTCTGGGAGTCCCGAGTCTGACTCCCAGTTTCCTGAAACTGTGACTGGAAGCCAGGTGACAGGGTAGACACCCTTGGATGTCAGAATGACGAGAACACAGGCATTTCAGTATGCAGGCAATACATGCTCCCCTGCCTGTGGTTCCAGAACGTTCTCATCACTGCCCAGCCACTCCCCAGCTCTTGGAACTCAGCCCTGTCTAGATACCACAGGGAAGTGCAGTGAGGCCCTTGTTGTCCTTCTGGGCTGGACTTAATTCAGGTGGTTTTTGGAACAACCCAGGAGGTGCCTGGGGCTACTCCCAATTCTGGGCTTGGGGTTGCCACCAGCAGGACCAAACCCAGACTCATGCAGCAAAGACATCAACATTATCATTTCCTCAGTTCTCCTTGGATGTTTTTGAGGCTCCATATGTGGGAGTCGGGACCAGCACCCTGTTTCTAAGGTAGAGCTTCCTGGCGTGGGCTCGGGCAGCCTGGGGCTCCTCTACCAGCACTCAAGCAGAGGAGCACACATTGCTTCCAACTTCCTGCTCTTTTTCCTTTTTGGGGGGCCACACCTGGTAGTGCTCAGGGGTTACTCCTGGCTCTGCACTTAGGAATTACTCTTGGTGGTGCTCAGGGCACCATATGGGATGCCAGGGGATCAAACCCAGTCAGCTGCATGCAAGGCAAATGCCCTCATTGCTCCAGTCCCCTTTTTTCTGATTTTCTTTTTTTTGGGGGTGTGGCATGCACACCCAGTCATGCTCAGGGCTTACTTTTGGTTCTGTGCTCAGGGACCACTTTCTGGCGGGCTCGGGGATCGTCTGGCCTGTCATGATCCCGCCCAGGTCAGCCAAGGCAGAAGCCCTGTGAGCTCTTGTACAGCTCCGGCATACCTTGTTTGTTTTTTAACCTCTTCCAGGTCCCTTGTCTCTTGCCATCATGTTGTTTATGGCAACGCCTGGTTGTGGTGCTTGCCAGATAGCACACTTTAGGGTGAGGGTGCGCTGGAGACCAAGCACTGTGGCACTGTGGTTCACATCTCTAGACCTTAATTGACAGATCTCTGAGGGCTCGGGGGATCAAGCCCCGGACTCCTGCATTCAAATAAAGGACACACAAGACCACTTTAGCTCTCTTCCTGCCTCGGAGAGCTGGGGACAGGGGGTGTTGGCATGGCCCGGGTCCCTTGGTGAGTCTCCGCCCTGCTGGGGTCCTCAAGGTAGGAAAGGGAACTTCTGGGACATAATGGCAACTCCCCGTAACTACTTTTGGGGCCACACTCTGCGGTGTCAGGGCTTCCTGCTGGTTCTGTGTCCTGGATCACTCCTAGAGGTGCCGAGGATGGAACCGGTGGCCGGATGAAGGCCTTCCCCACTGTCCTCTCTCTGACCTCACCACTCTAACATTTTGAGGATTCTCCCTTTTTAATTTTGCGTCACTGGGGATGAAATCTGGTGAGATTTCTGCCACAGAGCCGCACGCCCGGCCCCTGAGCGCCCCTGGACCACGTCCAAGCCCCAGTCTCACTTTCCCAGGGGTTTCCCTGCGGGGCTCCTGGGATCAGGGCGCAGGGCCAGAAGCCAGACCCGACGCAGGCCCCGCCCACAAGCTTACAGCACCAACTCCGCCCATCAGACCCCGCCCGCAACTCTACGTCATCAGCTCCGCCCAGCGCAGGCCCCTCCCGCAAGCGCTTCGTCCCTGCCCCGCCCGTCCGCTGTCGTTGCCAGGGCGACGGCGCGTCCCTCGCACTGCGCAGACTCGGCTCGGCCCGCCTCGCCCGCCGGGAAACCGTCGCGCGGCGATGACGTCGCGGGGGCCTGGCCGGGCGTCGCGGACTCCCGAGATGGAGGAAAAGGAGCAATTACGCCGGCAGATCCGCCTCCTGCAGGGTGGGTCGGCGGGCCGGGGTCGCGCGTCGCTCTCCGTCGCCGTCCTGGCGCCGGACCCGCGCCCGCCCCCGCGGGGGCGTCGTCCCCGCCGGGGCACCGGGGCGGCGGGGCGGGCGGCCGCGGGGCCTGAGGGGCTCGGGGGCGGCCGCGCCGGGGCTGGCCGGGGCCGTCGCCTGGTAACGAGTGCGGCGCGCTGGGGCCTCGGCTTAGTTCTCGGGGGCTGGCCTGGGGCTGACCCGCAGCGGGGAGGCGCCCTGGGCGCGCCCGATCGTCCAGGGCTGCCCTGGGAGCCGGGGGCCGGTCACTTCTACACTCCTGGACGGGGTGGCCTCCCGGGGGATGCTGGGGCGCCGCCCCCGGGGCGAGGCGCAGGGCTCTGGGCAGGCGGCTCCCGGCCAGCCTCGCTTCTGTCTCCGCAGGTCTGATCGACGACTATAAGAATCACCACAGCAGCGCCCCTGCCCCTGCCCGGTGGCAGCCGTCTGCATACAACAGCTGCCGGGCCTTTGGCACCCGCTACCCGCGGCCGAGCCGGAGGGGCTTCACCCCGAACCGCGGACCCGAGTGGCGCAAGAAGTACTCCCTAGTGAACCGGCCGCCGGGCGCCCCGGACCCGCCCGCCGATGGCGCCCCGCGCCCGCCGCTGGCCGCGGAGGCCCGCCAGGGGCCCGACCCCCCGCAGGGTGGCCCCGAGAGGCAGGTGCAGCTCAGTTCGGATCAGAACATGGTCATCAGGATCAAACCGACGCCCTGCGCCGCGGGAGCCGGGCAGGGCACGTTGGAGGCACCTGCAGAGGCCCGCTGGGGCGAGCCCCCTCAGGGAGGCGAGGGCGAGCCCCCCGTGGGCCCCGCGCCGGCCAGGGGCAGCTGTGGCTCCGAGGACCCGCTCCTGGTGTGCCGCAAGGAGCCGGGCAAGCCGCGGGTGGTGACGTCGCTGAGCAGCGGCAACTCCGCCGAGCCCCGGCGTGCCGTCAGCGAGAGTGCCCTCACGGCCCGGCCCTGCCTACCCCGTGCCAGCCAGCCCCAGCGCAGCAGCACGGCCCTGGGCCAGCGGGGAGGTCTGTCCATGGGAAGCTGTGGCTCCTCGGGTCCGACTGCCCCCTCCGGCTCAGCGGGGAACCCCTCCAGATTGGCCCTGGGGGCCCGGCCTGCCCGCGAAGCTGCCGCTCTCGGAGCCTGTCGGAGTGGCAAGTTCCGGCGGAACAACTACAAGTGGGTGGCCGCCTCCGCCAAAAGCCCCCGGCCCAGTCGGAGGGCCGCAAGCCCCCGGGCCGCGGAGCAGGCTCGCAGGACACTCCCCGGGCCCGAGCCGGAGCCCCACACCCCGCCCGGGGCCTCCCCCAGCAAGTATAAGTGGAAGGCATCCAGCCCGGCGGTCTCCTCATGCTCCTCCTTCCGCTGGCAGCCGGAGGCTGGCAGCAAGGACCTGATCTCTCAGCTCTCTCCAATCCCGTCGGGTTCTCCCCCTGGAGACACACCTGCCCAGCCGTCCCCCTCTGCTTACAAGGTGAAGAGTCGCACCAAGATCATACGCAGGCGGGGCAGTGCCAGGTGGGTGTCTGGCCACCCAGCCCCTCTGCCCGTCAGAAAGAGGGAGTCGCAGGTCTCCCGGCACTGAGCGGCCAGTGGATGTCTGCTGGACACAGGCTTAGGGACAGCAGGCGACTGCCCACCCTGGCCCTGGGAGGGGCTGCTGGGATGCAAGGGATGGCCCTTGGGCGTTTCCCCCTGGCTGTGTGTCCACCCAGCCCGCCCACCCGGCCGAGGCTCAGGATCTGCTGTCCTAGTGCCTGTTGGCAGCCTCTGCTCTCTCTCCGCAGCCTCTCCGGGGACAAGAAGAGCAGCTCTCCCCCCGTGGCCGCCACCAGGAGCCAGTTCAGCCTGAGGCGCAGACAGGTCCTGCGGACCAAGAGCAGCCCAGTGCTGAAGAAGACCCCGCACCGGGGCCTGGCGACACTCAGCAGGCAGCGATTGAGCCAGCCTCAGGCCCGGGCAGCGCTCCCCAGCAGGGAAGGTAGGACTGGCCGGGTGCAGGGCGGGGCGTGGGCTCCACCGGGCCGGTTCTTCTGGTGCTCTAGGAGCCGGAGCAGAACCGCATGCACGTGTGCTGGTGGGACAGCCGAGTGTGCCTGGTGCCGCAGCTCCTGTGCTGGTGAGGTCAGAGGGTTGGCAGGGGCGGGGCTGCTGGTTTGGGGGGCTGCTGCGCTGGTGCCCTAGGTCTGAGGGCAGGCGGGACCCTTGCCCAGGGCTAGGCATGTGGGGCCTGGGTGCAGCTCATGTGGTGGTGGTGCTGACCTGCTCTTCCTCTCGGCAAACGCTTGTCTGCAGCCCTCCTCCTTCCCCCTTTGAGGCACCAGCCCTCTGGGAGCCGGCTTCCTGCGGTGCCCAGCCCCCTGCACCCCTGCTGGGCTGGAGCAGTGTGGGGCACATGGGCAGCAGGACACCGGGGAGCCTCTTCCCCACATGGGGGTCCCAGGGTGGCCTCAGCTGATCTTTTCCTGGTTTGGGGGTTGGGCCATACCTGGCTGTGTTCAGTGGTCGCTCCTAGTGGTGCTGACACTCCCCTTGGGCGTTCCTGCTGCCCTGCTGGGGGTCCTGCACGAACCCGGGAGCCCCCCTCCCCCCCTCGCTGAGCGCAGGCAGCCCCCCCCCCGCTGAGCGCAGGCGATGGGGTGCTGCCCTCGCTACGCTCCTCCCTCCCTGCTGTGCAGGCGCTTTCCACGTACGGCTCCGCCTGTGGGGAGACCAGCTGGCTTGGGGTGCTGCCCCGCTCAGTGCCCAGGGAAACCAGGTGGGCCCCCAGGCCAGCGCGGTGAGTCCTTGGGCGTATCTAGCCACGAGCCAGTGTAGGTGCCCAGCGGGGAGAGGGGTCCGGTCTTGGGGGGAGCGGCAGCAGGTGGCCTCCAGGTCCTTCTGTGGGCCCCTTTCCTTGACCACACGGCTTCCATCGGACGCTCAGATGCTTGTGGGGAGCCACAGCGAGTTCCTGGCCCCTGTGGTTGCTGCCTCCCACCCTGTGGGGACCCTCGGCCTCCGGGGGGAGGGCAGATGTAGGCAGGGTGGCCCTTTCCTGGCAGCCTTGAAGCTTTCCTTTCCTCACTCCTTAGTAGGGCCAGAGGGACCGACCTCTCGGCTGGGGAGGGAGAGGCCCTGTGCCCACCGAGCCCAGCTGTGTGGCCTGGTGGGCAGCAGGGGGCGCCCTTGCCCCTCACATCCCCTCTGCCACCTCTTTCTGGTAATTGATTGCCTAATTTCCTCTTTATGTGAAAGAAAGCAGATATCAAGTAATTTGCAGCAATAACCTGCTAATGCCGGGCCAGTATCGAAACTCCCCTGTTCATTCCAAGTGGCAGATAAAACACTAATACATAATTATCCTTGCAAATTGGATTGTTTTAAATAACCAAAAGGCTACGGCCGGGAGAAAGCGATCCCATCTCCCTGGAGTTCCTATTGCAGTGTAATTGCCGCGTTCAATCAATTTCCCTGGCATTAGAAATTCCATCACAATCAACATTAAGCTTTATTCATTGTGATGGCTAAGAGCCGGGCCATTTCTCCTCTTTTTCTTAACTGGCAAAATTAATCAGGGAAAAGATTTTAAACATTTACCCGTGCGAAAGAGGTCAGTTCTGCCACTATATTGCTCAGCAGATAAGGGGGCTAATAAAAAGAAAATTGAATTACTAATGATCACCAGGCACTGAGTATATAAAACCTGGCAATCGCTGGCGCAGGAACAGGGAGAATCAATTTTCGTGGGACAAGGTGCGCTCATTTTTTATTTTGGCGCATATTATCAGCAATTTAATTTGAGAGCGCATAAACAGGAGGAAACAGTTAGGGAATAATGAGCCTGGAGGTGTAAAGTGCCGCAGGATATATGCTGTACACAATTTATTTGGCACTACAGATAATCGCTTTAATTGAATTCAAAACTGCATTGTTCAGCAACGTCAGCTCGGGCCTGCAGCCCCTCCCGCGCTCCCTGCCCTCTGACCCGCCTCCTGTCAGCCCGCCCCTCCTACCCTCCCTGTCCCCTTTGAGTTCCCTGGGCCTCAGCTTGGGGGGAAGGAAGGGGCAGCCATCAACCAGAACCTCCTTGGCCGCAAAAGCCGGGTGCTTAGATGACACCTAGGAGGGCCTGGGGGCTGCTGGAGAGTCACAGGGCTGGGCACAGCCCCTCTTTCCCAACTGACCACATCCCACTAGTGGCCTTTTCTCCCCTTAATGACCTGGGAGAATGCAGAGGGGGGACAGTGTGGCCTGCTGAGACCCTTGCTGACTGGAAGGGCAGTTTTTGAGCTGCCTGAGCATTCCGAATGCCCCTCAGCTGGCCACCGAAGGCTTCGCCATGTGCTCCACTTCTGTGACCTGCCGCAGGACTCCAGGGACTAGGGTGATTTTGGGCCTTCCACCTCCGCTCTATCCCTGTGCCCCCACCGTGGCCTGCAGCAGCTGGTCCTGCTGGCCCCGGAGCTGCTGGCCAAAGACCGCGCTCTTCGCTCTACCCGCTACCTTCGGGGTGTTGGGGGACTCAGAGTACATCTGCGAGGAGTGGGAGGCCAGTGGCTCTTCCGCATAGCCACGGTGGGAAGTGGGAACCTGAGAAAGATTCCTGGGCAGGAAAACCCCAGCGGCCATCCGCCTTCTCTCCCTCTGGTCACGCCCACCTCAGACTAGCCCCCTCCCAGGCTCCACCTTCTCAAGGCCCCGCCCCTCCCAGACCACACCTCTCCGCCCCACCCTTTCCCGGTCGAATCCTGCTCCCAGCCCCGCCCTCCTCAGGTGGTCCCCTTCTACCAGCAGTGGACCAGAGGCTGCCTGGAGCATTGCTTGTGGCCCCTGCTGTGCTGTCCAGGCCTGGCCCTGCCACAGAGCCACCCAAAGGAGAGGGTTTTCCTTTTGGGTGATTGGGGGCAGAAGGGCCAGCAGTTATGAGTGTCTGCCCCGCTGGCACTGAAGCCAAGCTACTGGGGGCCCTCTGGGCTGGGCAGTTTTCCCTGGGGGATGGTCCAGGAAGGTGTTTGAATTGGGACTTCTCTGAGCCTGGGCTCTGGAGCCTGGTGGGACAACAGGCTCTGTTCACGTCCTTCTGGTGCCAACCAGCTCCTGATTTGCCCAAGACCACCACTCCTAGCCTGGCTCATGGGCCGGGTCACCAGTCAGCCCTCTGACAGCCCTACAGGAGGGAGCAGGGCTGTGTCTTGGCCGGGACACTGGTGCCAGGGCAGAGGTGTGTGACCTTGAGGCGTGGCTGTCCTGGTAGCACCTAGCTGTGGGCTGGGGTGGGCTGGGGGCTCAGTGGGGAGGTGGGAAGACTGCAGTGCATCTCGGGGGCTGACTTGCACTCCAGCTGTCGAGTCTCACCCTGGCAGACGCAGGAAAGCGCTCGAGAGCAGTTAAATTTGGAGTCCTGCTTCATAAGGGAAAAAGAAAATGCTGAATTAGGCGCCAGCCAGCAGCCCAGCGATCCTGAGCCCTGCATAAATCGCAGCCCGTCGCAGGCCTCCGGTTTTACGTCTGCTGAGGCTGTGCTAATGAATTATTCCAGGAGAACTGGCGAGGGAGTGCGTGTGCTCATGCTTGGGGGTGCCTGTGTGGCACCTGCCCCCCCAGTGCCCAGCTGGGGGAGGTGCAGTTTGGATGGGGCGCTGCAGGGCAGAGGGTGGAGGCCCTGGGGATGGTGGGATGCTGGCTACCGGCCCAGGGCTGGCTGCTCCTGCTGTGTCCCTGGTGCTGTGGTGGCTGTCCTGGGCACTGGGCTCAACAGGGAAGTGACCCGAGGGGCAGTGGCCATTCCAGGCCAAGGCTGTGTGCCGAGGAGATGCTGGGGCACCCTCTGTGGAGGGGGGTGGCAGCCTGTGTCTGGGTGTGTGCATGTGGCTGGGTTGTGTGGGGCCGTCCTTAGGGAGATGCTTGCCCTTAGGGGGAGACCTTGACCTGCGGCACCTCCTGTCTGGGCATGTCACCCAGTGGGGCAGGGGCAGGGAGAGAACCCACTTGCTCACTGTCCTTGCAGCTGTAGCTTTTGGTTTTGTTTTGGGGCCACATCTGATGATGTTCAAGGGTTACTCCCGACTGTACTCAGAACTACGAATGGGATGCTGGGGATCAAATCCAGGTTCGCCATGTGCAAGGCAAGTGCCCTCTCGGCTGTAGCTTTTGAGGGAGTGAAAGTTTCAGTTCTTCTTTCTCTGGGGGGTGGGATGTGCCCTGGCTGAGGAGGGTCTCCTCATGCACAGCGCGTCCCATCTTCCTGGACGTGTGTAGTCCACACCGGCACATGTGTTGGTTCCGGCCCGTGTCTGTTGAGCTGGTGTTGGGCTACCCCCAGCAGTGCATGGTCCGTGGCATCAGGGCCCTGGTGGCTCTCGGCCACATTTCTGCCTTTTGCTGCCTTGCAGCCTGGCCCCCAGTTGGTACCCCAGTGCTTGGCCCTTCCTCCCTCCTGCCTCTGCGTGGCAGGTAGGCATCGGGGTGCACACTTCCTGTTCCGGGGCCATCCCAGGGTCTGCTGTGTCGACCCTGAACTCCCCCCACACTTCTCAGGGTGTTGCCCAGAGATGCTGGCCCACTCCCTGCGGGTGAGAGGCCAAGGGTCTCGGCTCCGTCCCCTGCAGTGCTTACAGGGGCCCCCAGAAAGCTGCATGCTGGGAGCATTCTCATGAGGCGGGACAGAGAGGGGTTGCAGGGCCTGGAAGGGCAGTGGGTGGGTGGCCAGGACAACACTGCCCAGCCCTGGATGGTTGCCCCTGTGCACCTGTCCCGGTAGTGTTGCAGTGTTGAGCCGTGGCTGGCTACTGTCCCTCCTGCCACCAGCCAGGCCAGCGTGGGCAGGAGGGGTGAGTCTCAGGGTGGGAGCGTGCCTGTGGAGCAGTGGGTGTGCTCAGGTCGTGCTTAGAGGGGCATGTGCCTGGCCCCACTTGGCCCTGGCTGCTTTGCAGGTGTGCTAGCGGCCAGAGACCAGCCGCGGTTGGAAGCATGCACCAGGCTGGGCTGTGGTCTGGGACCATGCTGCCAGAGCCTTGCCCAGACTGGCACAAGCTGGTAGTGACCATAGCAGTGTCGTGGGCAGAGAACCCAGGCACAGGTGTGTGCTGGAGCCTTGATGTGCCCCAGACCTGTCACCTGGGCTCTCAGCCCCAGTTTAGACCCCAGGATCGCTCTTCTCGCTCAGCATTGGCTGGCCTGGCCTGGGCAGCTGCCTGACCATGGTGCTGTGCGGAGCCCAGGATGGTGGAGCCAGGGCCCGACTCGGCTCTGCCGGGTGCCGCCCACACACCTGCTCGTGCCATCCCCGAGTTCTGGGCCAGATCTGGGGGCCCCGATCCCATAATCTGTCGGGGCTGTCAGGGAGCAGAGCCCCACAGTGAGACGGCGTGTGCACGATCGATGCGTACGCGGTAATTACAGCAGCTTGCGGCTCGCGCTGCTCCAGTGAGCCTCGGAAGAGCGGGCCTCAATCTTCCCCCTAATAGGGCGCTGACAATCTGCTGTGGAGCCATTAAACACCAGGTAGTGCGGGACAGGCGGGGACAGCCAGTGACACAGGCTGTTTGTCTTCACCCCACCGCCCGTGCTGTCAGGTTGACACGTGGCCCATCTGCTGCTGGGAGCTGTTTGCACAGACCAGCCAGTCTGCAGACTGTGGGTGCCTGGCGCATGACCCCAGCCGGGACCCCCACCAGACCCTCCATCTGGGACCTTGGACCCGGCTCCACTTGATCTTGCCCCAGCGTGCATGACCCTGTGTGGCATGTCCCCAGGATGTGGCTGACTGAGGGTTCCCCAGGGACCTCAGGTGTGGTGCCAGTGGCCTGGCCTCCAGCAGCCTTCCTTGCATCAGAAATGTAGAAATTCTCAGCAGGACAAGTGGGTTGGCTCTCAGATTCAGAATGTACGTGGTGCGGCCATCCTGCCTTGGCACACACAGTACCCGCTGACACACAGTATCCACAGTACCACAATACCCACTGCATGCACAGTACCCACAGCACATACAGTACCCACTGCATAAACAGTACTCACTGTACCACAGTACCATAGTGCCCGCTGCACACATAGTACCCACTGCATACACAGTACCAACAGCACACGCAGTACCACAGCACTACCTACTCCCACTGAACACACAGTATCCATAGTACCACAACCCACTGTACACATAATACCCTCAGTACCCCAATACCCATTGCATGCACAGTACCCACAGCACACACAGTACCCACTGCATGTAGTATCCACAGCATACAGTACCCAAGGCACACACAGTACCCACACTACCACAGTTCCTACTGCATCCACAGTACACATACTACACACTGCACAGCATAGACAACATACAGCACACACAGTACATGTGGCATACATGGCACACAGTACACATGGCACATAGAGCACATACTACGTACACAGTACTGCATCCACAGCACTGCACACATAGCACTGCATATCCAGCACTGCACACAGCACTGCTCAGACTTTCTGAGGGGCCTTTGGGTTCAGTCTTCTTGCCAGCTCAGCCCTCCTGGGAACACGCTCGAACCCGTGAGCTGCACTGTGTGCAGTTACCGAAGCACTCCTATCTCTACATCTTTCATGGGCAGCCGGGTCTGCAGTAGAGTGTGGTCGTGGGAGCACCTGGCTGGGCTCACTGGGAGAAGCCCCCGGAGCAGGGGCGTGCAGGGCGCGGTTCGCAGGCCTCTCCTGGAGCCGTCCCCAAGCACTACCTTGGCACTGCTTCCAGCCGACTTTCCTGGCACAGGGCCTGGGCAGCTGACCCCAGAGCTGGGTGTGCTGGCCAGATCTTCCTTCCAGACCCCCTGGGGGTCTGTTTCCTGGACCTGGGTGAGAGCTGCCTTGGGGTCTGCGCCTGTCCTGCCCTGTGCTTGTCCTTGGTCCCTCAGCAGGACTGACCGTGGCCGTGGCCACGTGGCTTGCTCTTAGGGCCTGCCCTGAGCTCTGCCGTGGGAGGGGACTCACAGCCTGGAGCACAGTGGCCTGGTGTCCGGGCTCCCCTCAGGGTGCTGCTGCTCACCTCAAGCCAAGGCACAGGTCGTCCCCGTCTCCCAGCAGGGCCCACCCCCACTGGTGACGTCCTGTGGCTGGACCAGGGAGCAGCTGCTGTGCCCAGTCAGGCCCTGCACACACTGAGGGCCTGGGAAGGTGGTGGGGTTCAGTAGGAAAGGGGCTGGAAGCCAGACCGTGCGCATAGGAAATTGTCTGCACATGTGCATCTCCCAAAGCCCCTATGTTTGCACACCCTGAGTATGTGCTGGTCTGTGATACACACAAGTGTGCGCACACATCTGTGTATACTTGCCTATGTTTATACACGTATGCCTGTATACCTGTGCATGCATGGGTCTTCATGCCTGCACATGTCTGCATCTTTGTCTTGCATGTTTCTGTGCACGTGTTTGCCTCTTTGTGCCTATGCCCATGTGTCTGTACGTGTCTGCGTGCATGTGTGTGCTTATCTGTACATGTTCGTGTGTGTATCTGTAAACATGCATGTCTGCACATGTGTGTCTCCATGCATTTGTGCTTGAGTGTCTGCATTGCCTGAACATGTGTCCGTCCATATCTATATCTGAGCTCATCTCGCGCTTGGACTGACTGGACTATATACTCCAGACTGTGGGTGTTGACGTGTTAGGGCCGAGGTCAGGCAGGGCCGGACCTCATAGGACGCCAGGTGGCCTTGTACACCCTGGTGGCCGGGACTGGTGTGGCACTGGCTGCTGTGAGATTGGAAACCAGCCGATTTGTCTCCTCGATCCGGCATCCTCAGGTCCGCGCAGCCCGGCTGTGGGGGGTGGGCCCCGGCCTGGCTTCCCCTGCACGATCCAGCGTCCATGGGCAGATGACTGGCTCTGTCCCAGGACTGATGCCCTGGCTCTGCTGACATGGTGCCTGCTGCTGCTGCCAACACAATCTGCATTCAGGTGCTGGTCACTAGCTTGTACTCGGCTGCCATCACAAGATGCAGGGAGAAACTTCTGGAATGCAGACGGCAGCCCAGCTGAGCCTTATCCAGGAGGGCCTGCTGGCTGGGGGCGGTGGACCAGAAGCCCTGCTGCTTGGTGGGGTGCACACTCCCCCAGCGTCCCCAGCCCCTTGAATGGCCTCAGCCGGAGCCGGAGCTGGTGGGCTATGAGCCACACTCTGGTCAGCACAGGGGGTCCTCTGAGTTTCGCCCCTCGATGCACTGCTGGGAGATGGAGGGGCGCCAGGGACACCGTGAGCCCCCTTGTGCCTCTGCTGGGTTCCGGCCGACGTGGGCCCTGATAGATGGGCTCATGGCGCCCCATATGACGCCAGCACTTTTCCGTGGTCTGTCTTTGAGCGTGGCAGTAAAGTTTTTAATTAGGAAAGCTAATGAGATCGATTAGTCATTAGAAGTGGCCTCTGCAGGCGGGGGGAGGCTGTACTGGTCTGATAAGAGTGCCCGGGCACCGCTGGCAATAAAGGCACGAGGGCTGGGTCTGAGCAGAACGTGCCACGGGGAATTCATCATGCTCCAGAGGCTGTAATGAAGGGCATTAAACCAACACGCGGTCTAAATAACACGATTATCTACACTGCCTGCAGCCCACACGGACACAGGGTGCGAGTGGCGGCCGTGCCTGGGGCCAGAAGGAGGGGCGCTGGGGGCCCAGTCCTGCCCCTTCCCTTGCAAAGGGACAGTGTTCTGGAAGTGAGTCTGGATCTGGACCCAGAGCAGCAAGTGGCCTGGCTGCACAGGCCTGTCCTACAGTGCCTGAGCCCCTGGCCTGGTGCCCTGCCCCACCACGCACTGGGCGCCCAGAAGCTCAGCAGAGCCTGAAGCCTGTTCCAGAGCTCTGTGTCCTTTCGGACTCCGACATCCCCCATCGGGGGATGCCCCGACCTCCAGATGCTCCCCAGTCGCCATGCTGTCCGGTCGTGCTGACCCTGGGTGCTCCCTGGACCCTCATACTGCCTGGGGCCCTTGCTGGGGACTGAGACTGGTGGGTTTGTGGGGCAGGTGCTTCCTGGGCTGTGCCCTCACAGTGGCATTGGTCTTGCGCCACACCAGGGCCTACAGGTGGGTCTTGTGGGTGCTGGGGCCCGGGGACAGTAGGCTTGGGGAGTGCTGGGCAGTCGGACCCAGACATGGGACAGCTCTGCTATGTGGTCCAGTGCTGTTGGCTGCTGGGGCACTGCCACCACGCCCCTCTTCCTCAGCCTGCCCTGTCCAGCTTCCTCCTGCCTCCTGCTGCCCTGTCCTGCCCCAACCATCTCCCTCCTGCCCCTTCCTGCTCTGCTCTGTGGGGCCCCTGTGGGGATGGTGAGGGCAGGGACTCCTTCTCCGGCTACGTCCCACCCAGTGCTCACTGTGGGGAGTGCCCACACCACAGCCTGTGGAGAATGAGCACCAACTGAGTCTGGGGGCCTGTGTGCCCTGCTCTGCTGGGGCCTGTGTGCCCTGCTCTGCTGGGGCCTGGGAGTGGGTCAGGGGTGACGGAGGCCCCACTCACCATCTGGTCTGGCTTTCCCTGCAGTGTCCAGTGCCCACACTCTGCGGACCCCTCCCAGTAGCAAGGTGATCAAGACCCGCTACCGCATCGTGAAGAAGAATTCCGCGTCACCTTCCTCTGTGCCCCTCGTGGCTCAGTCTGGGCCCTCCTGGCGCTCACGGCGCCTTGCCCTGTCCAGGTAGGAGCTGGGACTGTGAGGGCAGGGAATGGGGCCCTCGGGGAAGCCAACAGGATCTGTTGCCCCAGAAATATGGAAGACACAGGCATCTGCAGGCATGCCATGCACTGGAGACACAGATGTGTGTACAAACAGGCAGATGTAGACATGTGCACACACAGACATGGATGTGAGTACAATACACACAGACATAGACGTGGGCAGACACACAGACATAGATGTGTGTACAACACACACAGACACGGGTGTGTGCACAAATAGAGACGTGTGTGCAACACACAGATACAGACATGTACATCTACAGATATGGATGTGTGCACATATACAGAGACATGGACGTATGCACAGACAGACATAGGTGTGTGCACAGACAGGCAGGCACAGACATGTACACTAACATGTAGACATGGACATGTGCACAGATAGGCAGACATGGACGTATGCACAGACATGGATGTATACACAGATGTACAGACACGGATTTGTGCACAAACACAGTCACAGACATGTGCACAGACACATGCAGATATGGACATATAGACATGGTCAGACACACGTGCAGACATAGACTTGCACACACAGACACTCATGGAGATGTGGATGCACACGGACATGCTTGTAGTTATGGACGTACAAGCTGGTAGCTGGCCCTGTGGCACTCAAGCAACCACTACTCAGTTGCTGCCAGGGACCTGCTGGCCAGTCCTTGGGAATCTTGTGGGGTGATTCTGCGTGAAGATGCCGTGGGGTGTCACTGCGTGGCTGTGTGCACTGGGAGGGAGCAACTTCAGCCTCTCTGCTGGGCTCCTCGCCAGGACCGGGCGTCCTGTGGCACCCGGGGGCAGCAACCGGCCAGCAGTGGGGACTCCTGCTGAGGCTTCTTGCTGCAGTGGGGCAGCCCTGCCCTGGGGGGAGTACGGCCTGCATCTGGCCTGGGCTTCCCACCAGGATGCACGCACCCTGGGGAAGGCTGGGCTGCTCGGTGCCTTGGCAGGGGCTCCCAGCAGCTGTGGCCCCTGCTCCCTCCAGCCCGTGCCCACTGGGCCACAGAACTTGCCAGCCGCCTCTTTGCTGGAGGCAGTGACTGGTAGTCTATTTTAAATTAATTTTGGTGCGCTTTTTCTAATATTTTTGTTTTAAATAGATTTATAAGCGTCTTGGGGCCTATTTCTGTGAATCTATGAAGATGATTCTCGCTCTCTGGATCAGGTTGAATTTACACCTGCGATTTCTATATTAATTCTTGGTGCTAAGTGGGTCTAGTTTTCTTCCTCCTATCTGGTGAGTGCGGCCTTTCTGAATGCAATTTCCCCCTCACTAAATCACAGGCATCGGGAGTCATGATCGAGCTAAATTAACTTAAATTAATTTACTTAATAAGGGCCCGGATCGCTGGGAACGAGCTTCAGATTTATGGGTCCCGTGCCCGGCCGCCTCCCGCCTGGCAGCAGCACTCGCCCCCTGCCTGCTGGGCGCCTCCTGCTGCAGGGGCCCAGGGCCAGGCAGGGCAGGGACATGCGACCCAGCCACCAGTCGCATGGCCTCACTCCTCCAGCTGCCTGCCCCAGGAGGGACCTGGCGGTGGACGTGAGGTGGACAGGGGGGAGGCTCCTCTCACATCTGGGCTCTCCGTGTGGTGAGGGGCAGCTGGGCCTGACCTTGGGCCAGGAAGGGGGTGGGCTCCCTTGGTTTCCGGCCCCAGCAGGGTTCCTGCTTGTAGCTGGGCCTAGGCTGGCAGGCTGGGCATGTGCCCAGTGGCTGCCTTCACTCGCCGGCTCCACCCTGCTCTGCTTACAGGGCCTAGAAGTGTGACTCTGGGGTTGCAGCCAGTCTGACCAGCACTCCCAGCTCCCTGAGCCGGTGTGTATGCACATGCGTATATGCTGTGTGTGTGTGTGTGTGTGTGTGTGTGTGTGTGTGCGCGCGCGCGCACACACGCGTATGTATGTGCATGCATGTATGTGTGTGTATACATGTGTGCACGTATGCTGAGACTGAGGCGCTAATTGGGGGTGGGGGATCCTCACCGAAACCCCCAAGTCCAGCAGCTGCCCTTCCCCGGAGTTTGGGGAAGGGGCATGCCTACAACCTCCGACCAGGCCTGTGTAGCTGAGGGCCCAGGCAGACACAGGGCTCCTGGGGGGGGGAATGTTTCCTCCCTCCCTGCCCTGGCATCAGCACCCCAGCCTGGAGCTAGGCCAGCAGGCAGGAGTGGGGTGCATGTTGCAAATGTGGGTCTGACTGCTGGCTCTATGGGGGAGGGGGGGCAGGCCTGGTGTGGAGTCCTGTGCCCAGCTGCGTGGCAGGAGCTGAGAGCTGGATTGCCCTCCACCCCCCTCGTCTGTGTGGGTGCTTGGGCTCCCTCTGCTGGCTTCTGGCTGGCATCTCCTTTGGGGGTTTCTGTCCCCAACCTCTGCCTGGGGGTGCTGCTGCTGTGTCCTTGGCTGGGGCTCACCTCTTCTGAACTTCAGTGACCTGGGTGCACGCTCTCCTGCTCCCTGGCTTCTTCCTGACCTGCCCAGGCCTATGTTCTACCTCTGCTGGGCCGCTGGCCCCATAGACTGCCCAGGATCCTGGCATGGGCACTGGCCGTTCGGGGGTGCCCTCCGTCAGAGTGCTGACCAGGACAGCCCCCAGCCCTGGCCCTGCCGTCCAGCACCCCCACACAGAGCCCCTGTCTGGCTCACCACCACTTGCCCAGAGGAGGTCAGAGGTCAGAGCTCGAGCTTCTGGGAGCGTGTCCCTGCAGGCCGTGAAGGGCGTCCTCTGGCGGGTGTCTTTGGGAATGCTAATGTGGCAGTTGCCCCATGCCTGTGCTCATTTTGATAATTTTTTTACTTTATGAAACAAGACAGGGAGCTTAGTGACTTATTACTATTCATTTCGTTTCAATGCAGTAAATATTGATTCAGTTGGGGGTTTTCAATTTAAACCACTCTGCGATTATATAAAATATTACTGGCCTCTGAAATTATGCTTACCGATTCCTTTGGCTGCTCGTTAAGGAGGAGCGCGCTGCAGGCCCGCGGCCTCCATCATCCTAATAGATGGGGGCTGCCCTGAAGACGTGCCTTGGGGTTTGGAAGGCATCTCAGAGGGGGCAGTGTCTGTCACAGCAGCCAGGGCACCTTTCCTGGAGAGGCCCGAGGCTTGAGCAGGGTCAGCCTCATTGCTGGGGTGGAAGGTGAACCCCTACCCTTGGCTCCAGCCCTGGGACCGAGCTCTGGATTGACTGGTCCTCTGGGATGGGACTCCTTCACCCAGGGACCATGTGGGATGCCAGGGATGAAACCTCAGGCTGGCCACGTGCAAGGCAAACACCCTCTCTGCTCTCCTTTTGCTCCCCCGCCAGGCCTCAGATACTTGGCGTTGCCTCACATGCAGGGGTATGATGGGGTGCGCTGGGTGGGCCCAACTGGTGGGGGTCCAGCCTCCATATGGACACATGGTCTTTTCTGTCCCTTCCCAGGATCCGGGCTGGGCCCACAAGCAGTACCTGCATCTTGGTCTGCATGATGGGGAAGGCAATGTTCACCAGTGGCTCTGAGCAAGAGGCACCATGGCCAGCTGAGGTCAGATAGGCCTGGCACCCCATGGGCCTGTGCATTGGACTGTCCAGCCTGCTGGGCCTTGTATCATGAGGGGCTCCCCCGTGATAGCAAAGACACTGCCCCCACGAGAGCAGGCCACTGGCTGTGGTGTGGCCTCCTGTAGCCACAGCACCATGGGGCATCTAAAGCAAGCTGCCCCCACCTCCTGGGAGGGCACCCGCCACACCCGAGCCCAGCTTCCTGGGGTAGAGTGAGGGGCCGTGGGAGGGGGCTGCCACATCCATCTGCCCTCCGGTGGCAGTGAAGCTCTGTGTCCCTGCCCTCTCTAGCCCTGACTGCTGCGGGCCGGTGGAGAGATCTTATGCACGGGTACCCATGCTGGCTCTGAAGCGCCTCAGGACAGGGCATGTGGCACTGTGCCCTCCACCACCACAGCCCCCGCCCCAAGCACTGCCCCATTGGTCGGGTCCCCCAGTTCTTCCGTGCAGACCCAGGAGGCCCAGGTGTGTCTGAACCAGGTTTGTCCAGTGGCGGGGGAGGGTCGCCCATGAACCACCCTTGCCTGCCCAACTGTGGGTCCTGCTGCTGCCGTCCCGGCCCAGGAAGATGCAGGGAGCTGTGGCCACAGCTTTCCTCCTGGTCAGCAGGCAGCTGCCCCCTGTGGGGCCACGCTGTAATTTGCGGGTAGATGTCTGTTAAGATTGCGTCCACTTCCCAAGTCAGCACTTAATTGGCAAGGCGCTTGATTTAACAGCGTGGGAGCCTCCACCGGAAAAATGGCTTGAATAAATCACCTCCCGACGCCAGAAAATAGATATAATCTCAGCATTAACTACATTAATAGTAGCAGGAGCTGAATTAAGAAAGCCATAAAGCATAGGCGGGGAGCATAAATTAAGGCCTCGCTCCGTACTGTCCACTGCAGGGTGGTGTGGGGGCTCTACCCCCAACCAGAGGGAGGCTGAAAGTGGGGGGGGTGACTCAGGCTCCTCCCCAGCCCAGTGGAGTGGCTGAAGCAGCCATGGCAGGGCCGGGCCGGGTGGGCAGAGCTGCTGGTGGGCATGGCTAGAAATGGGCTTGGCTTGGGGGGGCTCTCGCCCCATTCTCCAGGCCTGCGCTTGCCCGGCTGCTATAGACTCTCCGAGGGGCTTCTTTAAGAACAGGGCACTTCCCACCTGGGCCATCTCTGCCCAATGGGGCCAGTAGCCCTCGGGTGTCAGTGCTGCCGCCTGCCTTTCCCACCCACGTTTCCTTCCCACGGGTGACCTGTACCTACTGGTATCTGCAGCAGGTGGTGCTTCCTGGCAGAGGCAGCAGTTGCCTCCTCATGAGAACTGGTTCTTGTTGTCGCAGCCATGTGGGGTGGCCCTCTGGCTCTGCTTGGTGCCGGCTGGTGGCCAGGAAGTGGGCAGCAGTGCAGAGCACGTCCCCGCTCTGCCTGTGCTGGCCTTCCCAGGACAGCCACTCAGCACTTCTCACCCCTCCTGGCATGTCCGTGACACTTGGTGCTCGCAGGAGAGCCGGGTATCACTCAGTTGCCGTCATTGGCTCCTGTCAGTGTGATTTCTGGCATGACTTCTGTCCGTCTGAAATCTTGAGAACAGCCCTGGATTTTAGGGTTCATTTATGTGTTCTTCCAGAGCTGTGGTTTCAGATCTCACATTTAAGGCCAGGGAACTTATCTAAGATTAAAATTCAAATGCAATTTTGGGGCTTGTTCTCAGACCACATCTGGCAGTGCTCAGGGCTTATTCCCGGCTCTGTGCTCAGGAGTAAGCCCTGAGGGGACCATATGTGGTGCCTGGGATCGAACACCAGAGCATCACTTGCAAGGCAGTACCTGTCGTGTCACTCCAGCCTCTGAATGTAATTTTTTTCCTAATGATAGCTGGATATCTCAGAACCAGTAATTACTGAGCCACTTTACTGTCTTTTGGCGCTCTTGCCCTTACTCTACCCAGAAACTTCTTTTCCTTCTTCCTTCGTGTTGGTCGATCAAGGTCGTACCTGCATAGTGACAGAGGTGCCCATCCGGGATGGTACTTGGAACACCTCCAGTGCTCCTGAGTCATGGAACTGTTGTTTCTCAGGCCCCAGGATTTTATTTAGGGGCCCTTCCAAGCAGTGCTTGGGGGCCCAAGCTCCAGTCCCAGCAGTTCTTGGCCACCAGATCAGGCAGAGTAGTGCTCAGGCCTAGTGACGTGGGTGCCTGAGAACCACAGGCTCTAGTGCTCAGGGACCTTGTCAGTGCTGGGGATCAAACTGGGTCCTTGCCCATGCCATGTGTGCAGCCCAACCCCCGAGTGCCTCGTGACCCTGTGGAGCATCCTGGTGAGTCTCTTCAGTGCTCAGCTGCATGGGTGTTTGTCCTATATCCACCCCAGGTCAGGACATGCCCGCTGCTGCTCAAGGTTCCGCTTCACAACCAGACTCAGAATAGTCCACCCTATCAGCTCTTCCTGTGCAACGTGCTTTGCTCATTTACTGTTAGTTCAGTTGGTCCTGTCTCAAGCAAGTGGTAGTGGGTCTGGGCCTCTCCTGGTGGGCCCCCCAGAGGCCTATGCTTTCACGAGAAGTGCTGTGCACTTGGGGACCCCTTCCGCCCTAGGGAGCCTCCAGGTGGCTTTTTCAGGGCCTGTGCACTTAGACCCTCTTCCTACTGGATGTGACTCCTTAGATCAGCCCCCCTTCCCTTAGGCTCCTTCCCTCAGACTCCTCCCCTCAGGCGTCTCTCCTCAGGCTCCTCCCCTCAGGCTCCTCTCCTCAGGCTGCTCCCCTCAAGCTCCTTCCCTCAGGCTGCTCTCCTCAGGCTCCTCCCCTCAGGCTGCTCTCCTCGGTCTCCTCCCCTCAGGTTCCTCCCCTCAGGCTTCTTTCCTCCGGCCCCTCCACTGGCTGCTCTCCTCAGACTCCTCCCCTCAGGCGGCCCTCCTCAGGCTCCTCCCCTCAGGCTCCTTCCCTTAAGCTCCTCCCCTCAGGCTGTTCTCCTCAGGCTTCTCTCCTCAGGCTCCTCAGGCTTCTCTCCTCAGGCTCCTCCCCTGGCTGCTCTCCTCAGGCCCCTCCCCTCAGGCTTCTCTCCTCAGGCTCCTCCTCTCAGGCTGTTCTCCTTAGGCTCCTCCCCTCAGGCTCCTTTCCTCAGCCTCTTTCTCTTAGGCTCATTCTCACAGTAACAGGTGCTCTGAGCCACTGGTTCCCAGGGTCAGGGAAGCACTAGCCAGGGCATCAGTGGTCCTGCCCTGTGGAATTGGCAGCCTGGGGACAGCACGGTGGAGAGTATGGGTGCACCCCCCTGCAGCCCTGGCGTGCCCGTCCCTGCTGTTTGCTTGTCATCTTGTCCTCCTCAGAGGATGGCAACCAGATCCCTGACCCGTCCTGTCTGTCACCCACAGAGGGTCATTCTTAGTCCCAGCACCAGTACAGTGCAGAGCATGGTTCTGCCTGTGGGCCCGAGGGGCTGCTCCCAGCGGGATGTGGCAGGTCTCAAGTGCAGGGGACCCTCCCTGGGGTGCTCCACACCCTACTGCTGGCCGTAGGATAACCCCAGAGGCGCTGAATGTGGATGTGTGGGTGTGGAAGGAAGGGGTGGCTTGAAACATGCCAAGGGGCAGGCAGTGTGAGGATGGGCGCCCCGTACCTGACCCCGCGTGTGCTGGTCACTCGGGGCTCTAGGAGAGGATCGTGGCCCGGGGGTCTGAGCCCTGTGAGGCCATTAAGGCTTGCTAACCCTTGGTTTTTTTGCAGCTAACATAGAGAACACCAATCGCTTCGGCTGAAATGGATTTTTAAAAGTGTCATTTTATGGAGAACGTTCCCTTCCATCTCGTTTATTAGGTTCTTACGGGGAAGCTTGTAATGCACGCCCAGATCGAAGTCCTGATCGAGCGGACGGCCACACGCCGCTGTGGCCGAGCCAAGCCCAGGCGGGCGGGGGCAGCTTCTTTCTGAGGACAGACCCCGGGGCCCGGCGCCTGCCCCCTGCCATGACGGTGGCCCCCACGCTGCCCCACCGGCCACGCGGGGCCCACCGCGTCCTGTTCTCTTTCTCCCAGCCCGCAGCTTCATGGGCCCGCGGGCGCTGCCCCAGCAGGGGGGTCGTCAGCGATTCCGTGGAAAGGCCACTTAAGCAGTTTGCAGGCTGTCACGGGCGCTGCGCCTGACCTACTTGGGCCGGCTGCACGTCGCCCGCCTCGCTCCCCTTCTGCTGACGGCGCAGTCCCGCGCGCTCCATTTCCCAGCGACCGGCTCCCGGCACCGCTCCCGCGGCCGCCACCTGACACCCCCCAGCTGAGACCAGACCGGCCTCTGACCGCGAGCCCTTTGGGGGGAGAGAGGTGCCGTGCGGCCCCCATGGGAACAAGGTGTGATGGAGCCCCCGTGTGACATGGAGTCGTTTAGCGCCTGTGGGGACAGGTGTCATGCAGCCTGGGAAGTGGCAGCAGGGGGACCAGATGGGCATGTCTTTTGTGACAAACATGAGCACACGGCCCAGACATGGCTGGAGGATCTGGGATTCGCACCCTCTCACTTCTTTTTTTTTTTTTTTTTTTTTTGCTTTTTTTGGGTCACACCTGGCGATGCACTGCACAGGGGTTACTCCTGGCTCTGCACTCAGGAGTTACTCCTGGCGGTGCTTGGGGGACCCTATGGGATGCTGGGAATCGCACAAGGCTTGGCCACATACAAGGCAAACACCCTACCCGCTGTGCTATCTCTCCAGACCCTGCACCCTCTCACTTCTGACTGGTCCTGTGGCCCCTCCAGCACGCCTCCGTGCCAGGGTCTCATGCCCACAGGCATCCAGGGATAACCGAGCCCCTGGCAGAACCGTCGTGTCCATGGGCTGACGTGGAGATGGAGCTGTGGGGACATGTGCAGCCTGGCGGAAGTGGCAGGATTTGTTGGTGGCTCTTGGGCACGGTGGCCGCACCCAAGGTGTTTCCCATAGCGGCTGCTTCCCAGGTCTCTGGGCCTTTCCCAGCTCCCACACGGGCCCCCACTTGGAAGGCGTGACAGGCCCGGAGACAGGACACCGGGGAAGTCCTGCCTCGCTGAGTGCCGCTGGGTCCTGGGGTACGGGGTGGTGGGGCTGCCTTCCTGTGTCCCCACTGTGTGCGAGTATCCCCCGTTCCTGCCTCGCTCACTTCAGACGTTGCTTGCCCCCACCCTCCGTGCGCCCCGCTTGGGCAAGGGGAGCCCACCCTCGCCCCGCCGTAGTCAAGGTTATGGTGATAAATCCCCGGGCATTGTCACTTCTATTCGGAGTAAATTGGCTGGCCGCTTTCGGGCTGCAGGAGAGATAATTTGCTGTAGTATTTCAAATGGATTAGAAATGGATTTGAGGGAAAGTTCATGCCTCCCATTACAAAGGCGAGAAGGGGGACTGTCTCCGGGCCGCCCCTCCCAGCCTTCATTATCCACGCTTAATACCTCTACTGTTCGCCAGTGCTAATGACATTTCCTGGAGGCTGGCTGGGACAGGCCTGAGGGCCCAGGGCCCAGTCGCGTGTCCCCTGCGCAGTGCAGCGCTGGGTCAGGGGACGCTTGGCTCCCTCCCGGGGTGGCCAGCTCCCTCGTTCCCTGGGGGCCCCGATGCGGCTCCTCACTGTAGGCAGAGCTCACGCCCCACTCTGTGGTGCCCCCATGCTCGGCTGTCCCTGGGGGCGGGAAGGAGGCAGGATGCTGGGAGGGCTGCCCAGCTCCCGCCACAGTCAGAATCAGGTGGAGTGACTGTCAGGAGTGACCGGTAGGCATGACTTCATCCTGGCCTGCTGAAGCGCCCCCCCCCCCCCAGCCTCAGGGCGAGTGGTAGTCTTGCTTCGCTCCAATGAGGTACCTGCAGGGCACAGGCACCCAGTGGGCTGAGCCTGCCAGCGCCATTTGCGGGTGTGGCAGCTCCCACTGGGAGCTGGGGGGGGGCGGCCCAAGGTGTGGGCTGAGGTGGGCATGGGCCACGCCACGCCTCATTTCTGGGGGCGCCACAGCCCCTACTCTCACCTGCCTGTGGGCCTCAGCTGGAAAGGATGCAGACCCCCTGCCAGCCACCTCTCTCCGCGGGTCTCAGCGACTCTGCACCACCCGGACTGCCCAGGCCTGCCCTCAGCCTGACCCTCCCGTGCTCCCTGCTGGACTCCTGGCCCTACAGCAGTGCAGCCTTTGTCCCGAGTCCTTCCCTGCCGGAAGACGCAGCCCGGAGCCGCCTGCAGTGCCCCGCCCTCCCAGTGACAGCGCTCCCTGTCCCCGCAGGTCCCTGGTGCTCAACCGTCTGCGCCCGGCCACGGGGACTGGGAAGGCTCAGCCCAGCTCCCCGGCGTGGCGAAACCCAGGCTACCGCTGCATCGGAGGAACCCTCTACCGGGTGTCTGCCAACAAGCTCTCCAAGACTGCTAGTCGCCAGGGCGATGCCGGGAGCAAGACACCCCTACGTGTGGGTGAGTCACCGGACCGGACCCCTTCCAGGGAGGTGCCCCTCACTCGGACCCCCCACCAGACCTGCTGGACCAGGCTTGGGGCTTCTGTGTCGAAGGGATGGGAGCAGCCAGCCTCCATCCCCAAGGGTTGGCACAGGACAACCGCCGAGGCAGGTGGGGGTGGGGGGGGCTAAGGCAGGGGTCACGTGAGCTGCTCACTTGACTTCCTTGGCGCTGCTGTGGAGAAACGCCTTCGTGTTTTGGCCTCGCTCTCCCCTTGCTCCACCTGATGCCTGTGATTGATGCCTGCTGGGGTGGTGTCCAGTGTGCCTACCCTCCTCTGCCCTTCCCCCACCCTCCCTGCATGAGTGGCTGCTCCCCCTGTGCAGTCACGTGCACCCCTGGACCAGGCGTCTTGCAGGGCTTCCTGTGAGTCAGGGTACAGGGCACTGTCCCCTCCTTGAGCAGCCTCATAGGGAGGCCTGGAGGCCTGGGCAGGCCACTCTAGAACTGAGGGGCAGGTGACGGGCGCAGAGTGGGGTCGCTCGAGGAACTCTTTTCTTCATGGACCAGTGATGTGGAGGGGCCTGGCCTCCCACGGGCTGTTTGCACGCCCTGTGCCCGGTGGACCCCCAGTGGGAGCCCTGGCTCCCAGGACTCGGGTGGGCCTTTTCATGAGGACCTGCAAGAAGCTACCTCACTGGTCCCTGCGTCTACACAGAACGCCCCACCCACAAGGCCGCCTGGGCCACAGTGGAGGGGTGCCTTAGGGGCATGCAGGTCAGTGAGGGGGTACCTCTCAGGCCAGGGAAGAGACAGGGCTGTACATGCCGTGTGCAGGAGGCCGTGAGCGTGGACAGTCCCGTGCGGGAGGCCGTGAGCGTGGACGGTCCCGTGCGGGAGGCCGTGAGCGTGGACGGTCCCGTGCGGGAGGCTGTGAGCGTGGACAGTCCCCGTGCGGGAGGCCGTGCATATGGATGGCTCCCTGTGGCAGGAAGCGCTGACCTGCGGCCCACTTAAACGAGCAGTAATTGAAGAAATAAATTTCTTCTGGTGTCAGCACACTTCGACTTCAGCAGGAAAGCACCGCCCTCCTGGGGGCTCCCTCCTCCCTTCCCCTCCTCCCCTCCTCTCTCAGCCCCTCTTCTTCCCGCTGCCCTGTCCAGGAGTCCATCAACTCCTGACCATCCCGGGCTGCTGGGGGCCAAGCACTTCCTTCCGAATTGGGGACACTGTGGGTCTGTGTGGGCCACTGACATTCCCTGCAGTCGGTAGGCAGTGCCCAGCCGCTCACCCTCTGGACGTCACCCCATTGTGGCCTGTGGTCCCAAGAAGGCCTGGTGGGCTGTGGCTGAGCGGGATGCAGGAGCCGCTAGAGCCTCTGGACCTGGTACCAGATGGGGGGGCACAGCCACAGCGATTCTGGGAAGGCCCCTAGGCCGTGCACGTTGTCTGGAAGGTGCTGCGCCTTGCCGCGTGGCAGGCTTGGTGCTCTTTGCGCCACTGCGCCTGCCTCCTGCAGCTCCTTCCTATGCATTTTTAGCATCATGCAGTGCCTGGCACCCGCCGAGCGAGGCTGTGCTTGGAGCAGAGAGGTGTGGGGAAACGGCCTGGTCCCCACTTAGCCCAGCTGCACTGATGAGACCCGAGGGGCCCCTCACGCCCTGAGTCTGTCCCCACCCTGTGCCCGGTAGTGGGTCCCCCGTTCCTGGGGAGTCTCCTTGCCTTGCCTGGAGAAGTCAGCAGGGCTGGGGGCTGGGCTCAGAGCAGGACAGGAGCTCCCTGCCCTTCCCCTTCTCAGGGTGCCCAGGCCAGACCTCACCCTTCCTGAGTGCAGTGCTGGGCCCTTGGCAGGCAAGACTGGGCTACATGTTTTGCCACCCTCGTCCTCCCCCGGCCTGGGCAGGAGGAGCTGGGCAGACCTTCCTCCGCATCTGGTTCCTGGCGCTTGTCCCCGGGGAGCCCACCCGGGGAGCCCACTGGGCTGGCCAAGGTGTCCAGGAGGACAGTGTGGTGCCCTGTGGTCACCTGACTTCTCCCCACAGGCCGACTGGACTCTGCCGGCAGCTGTGGTCGCTCCCTGGCTAGGTATGTCCCCGAGGGGTGGGAGAGAGGGGTGCCTCGTCCCCCCTTGGACTCACCAGCCTATGCCCCGCCCCATCCCCAGCCGGGCCGTGCAGCGTAGCCTGGCCATCGTGCGGCAGGCAGGGCAGAGGCGGCGGAAAAAGGAGGAGGAGTACTGCACGTACTACAACCGCTTCGGCCGCTGCAGCCGCGGGGAGCACTGCCCCTACATCCACGATCCTGAGAAGGTGGCTGTGTGCACCAGGTATGTGTGGGGCATGTGCACAGCTGTGTGAGGAGTGTATGCACAGGTGTATGCAGGGCATGTGCACAGGTGTGTGCGGGGCTGTGTGCGCAGGTGTGACGGGCGTGTGCACAGGTGTGCGCAGGCCGTGTGCACAGGTGTGCATGGGACGTGTCACAGGTGTTTGCTGGGCTGTGTGTACCAGGTGTGTGCTGGGCCGGGCTGTGTGTACGGGTATGTTTGGGGCATGTGCACAGGTGTGTGCGGGGCATGTGCACAGGTGTATGCGGGCCATGTGCACAGGTGTGGGGGGTGTGCACAGGGTGTGTGCAAGGTGTGTGGGGGAGTGTGCACAGGTGTGTGGGGAGTGTGCACAGGTGTGTTCTGGGCCGGGCTGTGTGCACAGGTGTATGCTGGGCCGTGTGTACCAGGTATATTCGGGGGGGGCATGTGCACAGGTGTGTGCGGGGTGTGTGCACAGGTTTGTGGGGGAGTGTGAACAGGTGTGTGCAGGGCCGGGCTGTGTGCACAGGTGTGCACGGGGCGTGTGCACAAGTGTGTGTGGGAGTGTGCACAGGTGTGTGGGGGAGTGTGCACAGGTGTGTGCTGGGCCGGCAGTGTGCACAAGTGTGTGCTGGGCCGGGCTGTGTGCACGGGTGTGTTTGGGGCATGTGCACAGGTGTGTACTGGGGCCTGCTGACTCAGCTTCCCCCTATGCGCAGGTTCGTTCGGGGCACTTGCAAGAAGACCGATGGGACCTGTCCCTTCTCGCACCAGGTGTCCAAGGAGAAGGTGGGCCCCTAAACAACGCCCATGGGAACCAACCTGGACCTCACCTGCCCATCAGGGTGGGGAGGGGCCACTGAGGGGGGCCAGAGGAGCCGTGGGGGGAAGCGGGTTTGGGGAGCAGGCTGGGCGCTGCTGCTCCAACAGCTTTTCCCCTTGAGGAACTTGGGGAGAATCAGCATTTTTCTCCCTAATCGAGCTCCGAAACTGTCTTGAGCGATCTGGAAATTCCCGTCGAGTTTCGGGTTCATTAGCTGGCAGCTCGGAAGCCGCGCGCATTCTGTGCTGTCTAATGTGGACGCCGCGCCCAGCCCTGAATTAATGTTATTGTTATTTGTGTGGACGTGGGGGGGTGAGGAGGTTAATTGAAACGAGAACGCGGTTTCCGCTTGGTGCTGAAACGCTGACAGTGAGGCGGGGCTGTGCCGGGCGGGAGAGTGGGCTTGATTGCCCCTTTTTATTAGAGCTAATTTGGGCTCTATATCAAAAGCCACATTAAGGGAATCGTCTGTAGCCGCACCACTGCCAGCCCCAACCGGCCTCACCCCTCTGCGGCACGTTAAGATAATTAAAAATAAAGTCTGGCGTTCAATCACCCTTTGTTTGCTCACTCCTCTCAGGCCACTGCCCAGTCCCCTGGGGACTCATGGCCTCAAGCCCTCCGAGGGCCTGTCGGAGACACTGGCCTGCCAGGGAGCCCCAGGGCCTTCAGGGTGGGCAGACAGGTGAGGCTGAGGCTAGCAGCTGCCCCCACACTGTCCCTTACCGACCCTCGGGGATCTGACAGATGTCGCCCTGGAGGCCATCTTCCGCCTGAGGCCCACCTGGCCCTGGCCCAGCGCCGACATCCGTAGCACTAATCATGTTCAGCAGCGCCTTGGGGTGGGCACAGAGCCTGGGCCACAGCCTGAGTGGGCACCTCACCCTCCCTCTGCCCGCAGATGCCCGTGTGCTCCTACTTCCTGAAGGGCATCTGCAGCAACAGCAGCTGCCCCTACAGCCATGTGTACGTGTCCCGCAAGGCTGAGGTCTGCACTGACTTCCTCAAAGGCTACTGCCCGCTGGGTGCCAAGGTGAGGCTCGTGAGCAACCCTCGGGCCCCCTCCCTCCTGGTGCATGGGGCCTGCAGGCGGGCGGCGAGCAGGAGGCCCTGCAAAGCGCTGGTTAAGCAGGGCTGCTGGAAACGCTTAGGCGGGCGGGCGGGGCCGCGTGATGGATGGGGGCTCGTAACTGTGCGGGAGCCAGGCCGGCCGGCAGGAGCGCAGCAGCCGGGCGCCGAGGGTTAATTTTATTCTCTAAATAATGTGGAAAGTGCTGAGTCGTCACCCTGCGCCTGGAGCACGGTCCTCAAACGGGCCCCAGAGAGTTTCTAATATTCCACCGAATCCAGGGAAATTGTTAACCTGCTCTTGCCGCACGCTCGTTAAAGCGCCGCCCCCAGGCCCGCTCCCTCTCTGAGTGCGAGACCACCTGGGACTGCAGGTCAGGGGTCAGCTCTAAGCACTGGGCTGGTGTCAGTCCCTGGGCTCCCCATGGTGGGGTGCGGTTCACTGCTAAGATTCACAGCCCCCGTTTGCTTTCTGCTGGCAGCCTCCGCCCAGCCCCTAAACACCCGGCAGCTTATGTGGCTCGTCCTGTGAGCAGCCCCCCCGCCCCCTGCTGCCTTCCTGGTGTTCTTTGCAGAAGGTGGGGTGGGGAGAGGGGAGCACTCCAGCAGTGCTCAGGGGCTGCTCCCAGCTCAGTGCTCTCAAGAAACTATGAGGTGGTGGTAGTGGATTGCACTTGGGTGGTCTGTGTGCCAGGCCAGCGCACTGGACCTTTGTGATCTGGCCTGTGCCCTCCTGTGACATGCTGTGGCCAGCATGGCTTCTTGCCTAGTAGAGGATGAAGGAAACGCCCACATTCACCTCGAGCGCGCTCACCCCCAGACTGTTGCAGCATCCGCCCAGCAGCAGCTCCGCTGCCCCGCATCATGCCCCTCAGCTGGAGCCTCCTGGTCTCAGGGCAGATGCTGACGGGCACCATTGAGGGAAAGAAGGTGGCGGCTGTGGGTGCCCAAGAGCGCTGGGCTCTGGCCCTGAAGGCTGGGCACACCCTGCCACCTCCCAGAAGCTTCTCACCCGCCCGCCTTGTTTCAGGGGATCTCCTGGGTTGCTTCCTCTCTAGACAGCCCCCTTCTTTGCCCCCTCTGCCCCCCTTCTGTGTCCCTCTGTGCTCTCTGCCACAGGGTGTGTTTCGTGCTCCTCTTGCCTTGCTGAGTCCTCCAGAGGCTCCTGGAACTGAGCTAGCTGAGTCCTCCTATTCGTGGGCTCGTCTGCCTGTTCTCCCCCCCACCCCACACCACCCCGTGGGGCACCTTGGCCCTGCCCCCCAGCCCTTGGGGCACTCTGGTGCAGAGGCTGTCCTATGGGGCGGGATTTTCCCTCTGGCTGTGATTTGAATGGGTCTGTTGGGAATCTGATCCTTGGGGCAAGTTCGCCCTCCCTTTAGGGGCTCGGGCTCCAGTCCCAGAGTCCCGCCAGCGGCACTGGGCAGGCCTGACATATGACCCAGCCTCACTCCTGCCTGCTTCTCGGGTCTCTGCAGACTCCTTTCCATGTGGCTGCTGCCGGGTGGACCTGGGAGGGGCTGGGAGCGCCCCCCTGTGGCTGTGCAGCGTGACAGGCCTGCCTTCCCTCCTGGGGGTAGTGTCTAACCAGGAGAGGCTTGCTGGTGGGGCAGCACTGTTCTGGCGCCTGATCACATTGGCCACCTCAGTCACAGTGACACTCTCGGTCATGCTTTGTGTGCTCTGGCCCTGCGGGATCCCACAAGGCTGGGTCTGCACCCTGCCGCCTTCCTTTCTGGGCTGCTCTTAGTCCGGGCTCCCTGTGCGACCAGCCCGGAATACCGAAAAGTGGCGCTTCTCGTCCTCCCCTGGTGCTGTGCTCTCTGCTATGCGCTGAATCTCCTGCCAGACCTGGTCTCTCCCCAGAGACTGTGCTTTTCTGGCACCAGGCTCGTTTCATCTCCCCGCCTGCAGAATAGGGGCCACTGTCCTGTGTTCCTTAGACAGGCACTTGTGGCCGGCGCTCCTGGCATTTTATAGACCCAGCTGGGCTTCACTGCTCGGCCTCTCCTGCGCTTGCAGTCTGCTCTTGTCAGGATGCGGCTTGGGGGGGGGGGACTTTGGGTTAATTGTGCACTTTTTATTTGGGCCACACCCAGCAGTGCTCAGGACTTACTTCTGACTCGGAACTCAGGGTCACTCCTGGCAGGGCTCAGGGGACTCGCTGGAGTACTAGGGATCAGACCGAGGAGGGCCACGTGAATGGCAAGAGCCCTCAGTTGCTGAGGTACCCACAGAGCTGAGGCTCCTGGTGAGCTTTGCAGACGAGCTTTGCTGGTGCTGTGCTTCTGCCCCGCCAGGCTAGTAGCTCTGCCCGCTTCAGATAAGAAAGTGGTCGTCCGGGTAGCTGAGGTTCTTTGCTTCGTCACTCCCAGTTTGCAGTTCCTCTCGGCCACTGTGCTAAGGTCCTATAGTGGCAACATCTCCACAGTGGCACAGCCACCCGGGCCCGTGTCTTCGTCAGTCTGCCCAGAGCTTGTCCAGACTGCGGGCCAGAACCTGGCTGTAGTTCCTCCTTGCCTTCCTTCTGCCTATTCGGAAGCGGTGCCGTTGTGTGCTAGCGTGGACTCTGCACGGTGGCCTCAGCGCACTCTCTGCCCCCTTGTGGGGTCCGTGTCTGCTGTTCTCAGCCCCCAAGAATAAACCCTTCAGCGGGATTGGCCAAGCCCAGCTCTGCCGCGCGTCCGTCCATGGTGCTGAGGACTCGGTGATGGCCAAGGCCCGCTCCGCTACCAGTCCGTACTGGTGCTGAGGATGCGCAGACTGAGCTGGAGCTTCTCAGAGATCTCTGGAGACTCAGTGACAGTGCAGAGGCCTCCTGTGGAAGGGCACATTTTTTTTTCATGTATGAATTTAGATACCTGTGTCTCACGAATTTAGACGTGTTAGACTTCCGTTCTGATCATTATTCCCCCGAGACTTGCCTTTTGACACACAGATTGTTCCAGAAGCATGTTGTGTGGCTGCCCCTCATCCCTGAGGCCATATGGTGAGAAGATGCAGGATGTGACAGTGCAAGTGAATATGTCGCTGTTCTCTGGGCTTGATTCCTTGAGCTGTGTCTAGCTCGAGTGCATGTGTGACCTGCTGGACTGCACTCCCCTTGTCACCTCAGTCTGGGGTCCAGCAGTCCCCAGCGGGAACCGTGGCCTGCCTGGGATGCAGTTCTACTCTCTCATGGGGCTGCCTTCCCCCTCTTCTTCCTGGCAGACTCGGGGCTGCTGGGCTGGGCTGGGCTTTTGGATCAGTTGTTGTATTTTAGCCTTTCATGTTTTCGGGGGACAGATTGGGTCCCCAAGTAGTATGAGGTATGAAACTGGGGTGCTTACAGGACAGACCACCCTACCTGTTCATATGTTGTGTAATTATCCCAGGGACTGCGGGCTTTCCTCTTTCTCACTCTCATCGTTCGTGGTCTTCTGCCGAACTATGGTTGCTTGAACCTGTTTTAGAAGGTTTTATTTTCCTATAGTATTTCTGGGTCTGTGTCCACAGAATGAGTGTCTGGGTGTGTCTGTAGTGTCTGAGAGGTCTGTAGTATCTGAGAGTGTCTGTAGTGTCTGGATGTATCTGTAGTGTCTGAGGGTGTCTAGCGTCTGGGTGTGTCTGTAGTGTCTGAGGGTGTCTAGTGTCTAGGTGTGTCTGTAGTGTCTGTGTGTGTCTGTGTGTCTGGGTGTGTGTGTAGTGTCTGAGGGTGTCTGTAGTGTTGGGTGTGTGTGTAGTGTCTGAGGGTGTCTGTAGTGTCTGGGTGTGTCTGGTGTCTGAGGGTGTCTAGTGTCTGGGTGTGTCTGTAGTGTCTGAGGGTGTCTGTAGTGTTGGGTGTGTCTGTAGTATCTGTAGTGTCTGATGGTGTCTGTAGTGTCTGAGGGTATCTATAGTGTGGGGATGTTTGTGTCTGAGGGTATCTATACTGTAGGGGTATCTTATAAATCTTGGTAATTAGTCCCTTATCATATGGGTATTGGGTGAATAACCTTCCCCATTCCATGGGCTGTGTCTGTTTCCTGGTCACTGTTTCTTTGGAGGTGCAGAAGCTTCGTAGTTTAATGTAGTCCCATTTGTTTATGTTTGCTTGCACTTGTTTGCTCAGTGGTGTTTCCTCTTTGAAGATGCCTTTAGCTTCAGTGTCATGAAGGGTTCTGCCTATGTTTTTCTCCATGAACCTTTTGTATTCGGGTCTGATGTTGTGGTCTTTAATCCATTTTGATCTGACTTTTGTGCATGGCATTAGAGGTTTGAGTTCATTGTTTTTGCATGTAGCTCCCCAGTTTTCCCAGCACCACTTGTTGAAGAGACTTCCCTTGCTCCACTTCATATTTCTGCTCCTTTATCAAAGATTAGACTATCATATATTTGAGGGTCTGTGTCAGGATACTCAACTCTAGTCCATTGGTCTTCAGGTCTGCCTTTATTCCAATACCAATCTTGAACATAGAATTTTATATTTTGTTTTCAGTAATTTTACTAAACTAATCATTTATCCATAAATTCTGCGATTTTTGGTTTTGTTTTTTTCCCACAAAATGCTGACTTTGCAAATAATGACAATTCTTTGCCCTTTGAGGTCAAACGTTTCTTTCTCTTTTTTGATGTTTGGCTCTATCTAGGTCCCCAGTATAGTGCTGATTAATGGTTATTGGGTTCCAACCTTCCACATTGATGAGTGATGCTTTCTAGAAGATTCCTTCAGAAACCCCGAGTCACACAAAAGGTGCTCCCTTCAGTCACTGATCACCAGGCTCAGAATTGGCACAGGACAGAGGAGACATTATGGAGGTGTTCACCCAGCCTGACACTGGGTGCTCTCCTTTTTTCCTCCATGGACACTTGTGGGTGGCCCTGGGCATCCCCCTCCCCCTGTGGACAACCATGGGACTCCCTACATCCACGAGTCATTCAGGACTTCTTCCCCTTTCTTCTTTGGAGGCAGGGGCCGCACCCAGATGTGCTCAGGCTACTCCCAGCTCTGTGCTTGGGCCTCACTGTGATCCTGTCTATCTGTGGAGGTCGTGGGGTGCCAGCGTCAACCCCCGCATTCCTCTACTCAGCTCGTGCAGCCACGAGTGAGGTTGACCTGAATATTCTGATGTCCACTCTGCTGGGTCCTGACTGAAGACCATCTGGCCTGTCCCCTGGCCAACTCTCGCCTGTTGCACTCACCTTCTTGTCAGTCTCCATCCGTACATCCAGTCCCCTGGCTGGAAGCCTGTCCTCTTCTCTCGGGCGACACGCCCCGTCCCCCAGCTTGTGCTGTCAGGATATGGTCAGCTTGGTCTGTGTTCTGGGTCCTCTCCAACCGCTGCCCCTGTCCACAGGATGGGGTGGGGGGCAGTACTGGCCATTGCCAGGTCTATGGAGGGCATTGGGGTGTTAACGTACACCTGCAGTTGGAGTACACCTGGTCCCTGTGGCCTGGGGTTTCCATTTCTGGGGCAGCCCTGGGCGTTGTGAGGTGGCTTCTGGGCTCCCATCACGGTCTGGGCGGATCTTAGGAGGAAGGAGCATGCAGGACAGGTTCCCACCAGTCACGCCTGCGGGCCCCTGCCTGCTGGTCACTGCCCCTCTCAGCCTTGGGGCAGGACAGCATGGGCGCCGGACATGGTCTGTCTGGGTCAGCCAGAGAAGCTTCTTGTCCTGTGAAGGTCAGTGGCTCTGGACAACTGCTCCGAGGCCACCCAGCCTGGCCCTCTGCAGAATGGCAGGGGAAGAGGCTGGAGCTGGCTGAGGGGGTACCCAGCTGCCTGTAGGGAGTGCCTGCCCCACTGGTCAGAGGAGGCCGCTGCCTGCACCCCAGCCGTGGGTATAATTAGTCGCGGCGACAGCTGTGCTGGGGCGGGCATGTGGCCACCCCATGGCCTGGCCTCGGCTAAACTGCTGCGCCCAACCCGGGCCTGGCCTGAACCCCACGCGAGGTGCCCACTGCGCCTCAGACTGCCGCTTTGCCTCCGATCCCTCTGTCTGCCCCACAGTGCAAGAAGAAACACACGCTGCTGTGCCCTGACTTCTCCCGCAGGGGCACCTGCCCCCGGGGTGCCCAGTGTCAGCTGCTGCACCGGAACCAGAGGCGAGCCAGCCGGCGGGCGGCCACTCCGGCCCCAGAGCCCGGCAGCACGCCCCCTCGGAGCCGGGCCTCCACCAGCCACGGGCCCAGGTGAGGCGTGGGCCGCCCTGCCAGGGCTGGCACACACCTGGCCCCGACTGCTCTCACCATGCTCCCCTCTGCCCTGCAGGAAGGTCTCGGCCACCCAGCGCCCCGCCAGACAGATGTCCAGTGCCTCCACCTCTACGGCAGCCGGCTCAGCCTCCCCCCAGTCCCCCCGGGCTGCACCCTCAGCCTCTTCCTCATCTTCCAAAGCTCCTCCCCGCGTCTCCTCCCCCTCTTCCTCCTCCTCCTCTTCCCCTCCCGTGCCCCTTTCCCTGTCCCTCTCCTTAGACCAGGAGGAACCGTCCTTGCAGGAAGCTGCCCAGGCAGTATCCAGCTCCGGGGGCCTCTCCAAGCTGCCGTCCTTCATCTCCCTGCACTCCACGCCGAGCCCTGCAGGGCAGCCCAGGGCCCAGACCCCTCGGACCCTCCCCATCAAGGACTCAGGTAGGGAGTGGGCCCAGCACTGGATTTCCGGGCACCTGACTCAGTCTCCCAACTCAGAGGTCCCTGGATGTGGCCCGGATGGCTCCAGAAAGCTCTGCACTCGCTGCAGGACCCACGGCCAGGGCAGCCTTGGGGCTGCTGCACAGCCCGGCCTGGCGAGGCCCATTTAATTAGCGGCCCCCATTTCTTCTAATGCGTTCTGGAGAGCAGCGCCCGCGCCTGTGGAGAACAGATGTTCTCACTCCCCGATGCACATTTGGGGCCCAGCGAATGGCTCCATGCAGCCTTGTTTAGGAGAGAAAGGAGGATTTTATGGCTGCAAACGACCCTTTCTGTAAACATTTTACAGCTCTCCGCGCGTTTGAGTGACGATAAACCCCACGCAGCTCGGCGGGCTGCAAATTTGCGACCATACGGCTGTCATTTGATCGTCATATTTCACAGTTGTAATGTTAATGGAAGCTGCTCTTCGCAGCCCTCTCAGCTCCCGTGCGCAGCCCCTCCCCGAATATGACCCCACCTGGGCAGCTGACCCTGATGGAGGTGGTCAGTTGGTGGGCCGGGCTGAGCCACGGGGCAGGTGAGAAGAGCTGACTGCCCCGTGACGAGACCAGGTGGCACCATTTGCCCCCGCAGCAGGGCCGGACTCCATGGGATATGGGGCAGTGGCATTAGCCCTAGGCTGCCAGGGCAGCTCCACCCACGGGCTGTCTCACAGAGGCACCTGGTCAGGGTGAATTGGACTCCTGGCAGGCCCTCTCCTCCGGTCCCCAGGCCTTGCCCTGCACGTTATTGGCACCATCCTGGCCCAGCTGTGGCTCCTATGTGCAAACATCAGTCTGTGACCACACCTGCTGCCCAGCACCGCTCAGTCCAACTGCCACTCTGCTCCTGTGAGCTGGGACTGTCAGTGACCACCCGTCCCCTTCCGGCCACTCAGGGCACTTCTTCTGCCCGCACAGGGAGGCCTCTGCACATCAAGCCTCGGCTGTGAGCTGGCAGGACACACCACGGCCTCGTCCGAAGAGAGGCTGCCGCGCTAAGCCTGCTGCCGGCCCCACGGTGCAAACGGGACCCCGCAGGCCTGGACCCGCTGTGAGTGAGTGATGTGCCGCGACACACCGCGCCCAGGACTCTAGCCCTCACGCCCTTTGTGACCAGCAATAAAAGTTCTGTCCTGATAGCACGTTGTCCGCTCCCTGCCAGCCGCACCATGCCCCAGCTGAGGACCCAGCAGAACTGCATGTGCCCCTTGTGGGACCCTCCTTCCTGTGCACTGCTCAGTGCCACCCCGGACACCCTGGCCTCAGTCTCCCCAGGGCTCTGGCCCTCTGGTCCAGCTTAGGCCTCTGCATCTGAGCAGATCCCACGACAGCCCAGCTCAGGCGGGAACACGCTCTACCCCAAACCTCAGCCTACATGAGCTCCCGAGGGCCCTGCCGGGACTTGGGGTCACTTGCTGGTGATCGTGGCTGCTGGATTGAGCCTGATCATGGTGGTCCCTGCGCCCACCCACCCCCAGGGGCAGAGCTGGGGAGCCCTGGTTCTTGAGGTAGGGGGCTGGGCTGTACCTGCATAGCAGGGGATGCCCCAGGGCTGACTTTTGACCTTGGACTGGGGTGGGGCTCAGGAGCGTCATTTGCTAGGGAGGCAGACTAGTCCAGCCTCTCCCCAACTCTGTGAACCTCCATCCCTGTAAGTGATGGGACACTGGCACACCTCAGACCCCAGAGGGTTCTCCTGGGGGTCATTACCAGACTCTACCTGGACCCTGACCCCTCCTCAGAGGAAGCTCTGGGTGCCCACAGGTCTGCACCACCTTATGGGTGTAGTGGAGAAAGGATGGGATTGGGAGCGTTTGGGGCCCGTCTGCAGCCCTCCACCCTCTGGCTGCTCAGAACCTCCTCACCTGGGCCTGTGGGCACCCACCCAGCCCAGATTCTGGGCCACAGTGCCTTTCATTGACCTGTGAGTGCCTGAAACCCCAGCCCCACCACGCCCCAGGTTGGGCACCTCAGGGCATCTTGCCCTTTGATCTCGGGGCAGAAAGTGGGACTAACAGAGCAGCTGTGACATCTGAGGGGGCAGGGTGAGCCCCGCCTTTCGCTCCACTAAATCATGTCATCAGTGCCCAAGTGGCCATGGCAGAAAAATGGTTCCCATGTGGCTAGAGTGATAGCACAGTGGGGAGGGCTTTCGCCTTGCACTTGGCCAGCCCAGGTTCGATCCCTGGTACCGTATACGGTCCCCCAGGTAATGCCAAGAATGATTCCTGAGTGCAGAGGCAGGAATCAGCCCTGAGCCCCACTGGGTGTGAGTCCCCCACAAAAAGGAAAAATGGTTCCTGCCCTCTATTAGATGCAAACAAATTCCCTAATTTCTAGAGCTCCGCCTGGGAGAAGGGTGGGTAGTGTCTGGGAAGGGCAGCACAGCCCCACCCCAGCCTGCCCCTGGAGGCAGAGCAGACCCCCTGGGCGCCATGGGGAGGGCACCCTAGGCCCCCAGGAGGAGGCAGCCTCCCCTTCTCACAGGCCGCCCCCTCCCCACCCCCAGCTCTTCCATCTCAGGGTGGTTCTGGATGGGCCGTGTCCCCTTCTGCCTGCCGAGCCTAACAGCTATAGCCCCTTCAAGACCCCAGACTCCTGGCTGGGGCCCAGCCACCCCTGACCTGGAGCCCGCACTGCTGGCGTGACCTCCTGCCCCATGGACCAGGAGTGTGACCCCGGAGAGTGAGGGAGGAGGTGCGGCCCGGCAAGGGGCAGCGGCAGCTGGTGTGGGTTGGCTCCTAGCAGCGGGCGTTTTTCTTGTGAGAGAACAGATGCAGGGGACAAGGTGGGGGCCTGGTGTGCCCGGGACGGGGCGCGGCTTCCTGGACCGGACCAACCCCCCCACCCCCAGAGACAGGCCTTTGAAGTGGGGTCTGGGCTCACCTGGGCAGCCTGCCGGAATGGAACGTGGGGTCCCGCCCAGCTCCGAGGTGCCAGAGGGTTTGTTGATCACATTCCTGCACCCGCCTCAACTTCCCGGCTAAAAATAACCGGGCCGCCCAGTGTCACCGGTTAGAGGCCAGAAGGTCCCGCAAAGCCATCGCGCGCTGCAGTGCGCGGGGAGCCAGACGGGGCTTCGGCGCCCCGCAGCCCTGAGCCCAGAAGCCAGCGAGAACAGCCTTGCCTGGGGGTCCCGCACGGCCTGCGCCCCGCGCCGCCCCGCCCGCACCCCGCGTCCCGTGCCGCCTGGTGGGCTGCGGCCCCGTGCCCTCCGCTCCGCTCCCGGGCTATGCAGTTCTCGCGGCCGCCAGCAGAGGGCCCTGCCCCCTCCCGCGCGCGGCCCTTCACCTCGCGGTCCCACAGCTGTTCCCCGCCGAAGATTGGCAGCCGGGCTGCGGGTTGCCATGGGGATAGGCAAATAAGGGCGGGCGGCGCGGGACTCCGATTGGTCCGCGGGCGCGCGCCCCGCCCTGGAGGGCGGGACCGGGCGCCAGGCTCTATATAGGGGAGCGCGCGGCGCGCCGGGCCGCGGAGGCGGGGCCGGCGCGGGGGCGGGGGCGGCGGGAAGCCGGGGCAGCGGCCGGGCGCCTCCCACGCGGCCCCGCGTGGGTCCCGGGGCAGCGGCCGTCGTCCCCCTCGAGGCCCGGCCCGGGACGTGTCCGGCGGCCGCCTCGAGTTGGCGGCCAGAAACTTTTCCCTCCCGCGGCTGGCGTCCCGCCGCTCGCGGGAGAGCGGGGGAGCGGCCCGGGCCTCCCCCCGCGCCGCCGCCCGTCGGGGCCGCGCCGCGCGCGGGCGATGGCCGCGGAGCTGGCGATGGGCGCCGAGCTGCCCAGCAGCCCGCTGGCCATCGAGTACGTGAACGACTTCGACTTGATGAAGTTCGAGGTGAAGAAGGAGCCCCCCGAGGCCGAGCGCTTCTGCCATCGCCTGCCGCCCGGCTCGCTGTCGTCGACGCCGCTCAGCACGCCCTGCTCGTCCGTACCCTCATCGCCCAGCTGCTGCGCGCCCAGCCCGGGCGCGGGGGGCGGCGCGGGCGCAGGGGGCGGCGCGGGGCCGCCGGGCGGCGCGGCCGGGGCCGTCGGGGGCGCGGCGGGGAAGGCGGCGCTGGAGGAGCTGTACTGGATGGGCGGCTACCCGCACCCGCTGCACCCCGAGGCGCTGCACCTGACGCCCGAGGACGCGGTGGAGGCGCTCATCGGCCCCGGGCACCCCGCGGGGCCCCACGGCGCGCACCACCCGGCGGCCGCCGCGGCCTACGAGGCCTTCCGGGGCCCGGGCTTCGCGGGCGGCGGCGGCGCGGACGAGGCGGGCGCCGGCCCCCAGCACGGCGGCCACGGCCACGGCCACCACCACCACCACCACCAGCACCAACACCACCCCGCGCACGGCGGCCACCACGTGCGCCTGGAGGAGCGCTTCTCCGACGACCAGCTGGTGTCCATGTCGGTGCGCGAGCTGAACCGGCAGCTGCGCGGCTTCAGCAAGGAGGAGGTGATCCGGCTGAAGCAGAAGCGCCGCACGCTCAAGAACCGCGGCTACGCGCAGTCGTGCCGCTTCAAGCGGGTGCAGCAGCGGCACATCCTGGAGAGCGAGAAGTGCCAGCTCCAGGGCCAGGTGGAGCAGCTGAAGCTGGAGCTGGGGCGCCTGGCCAAGGAGCGGGACCTGTACAAGGAGAAATACGAGAAGCTGGCGGGCGCGGCCGCCTTCCCGCGGGAGTCCTCGCCGCCGCGGGCCGGGCCCGGCGGGGCCAAGGGCGCGCCCGACTTCTTCCTGTGAGGCCACCGCGCGCCCCCCCGCACGCCCCCCGCGCCCGCCCCACGCCTGCCGGCGTCGGACTCTGCAAGTATCTCGGACGCGAGCGGAGGAAGCTGCTTCGCTCCCGGCCGGTCCCCTCGGCCCCCGTCCCCGCATGTGCGCCCGCCCCGCCTGCCGCCTGCCGCCCGCCCCGCCCCGGCCGCGCCCGTCCCGCCGCCGCCGGACCCCGGGCTGCGCCCCCGCCGCCGCTCCTCTCCGCGCCGGACCCGTTGTGTTCCTGCTCCGGGAAAACGCGCAACGGGTCCTGCTCCGGGGAAACGCGCTTGCTCTCGACTCGAGCGAGCGGGACGGTGACCACCGTCCGCTCCGCAGACAGCCCCCCTTCCGAGGAGGTGCGCGCCCGGGCTCCCGCCTGGGGTCCGGCTGTCCCGTGAAGCCCGTTTCCTTCTGTCCGTGAGCCCCACGGTGTTCCCGGGCGCGCGGGCGCCGGGAAAGTTCCTCGGGGGACCTGGTCTCCCCGCACACGAAGAAGGGCGCGTCGGCACCAACAAAATAAACCCGTTTGGATCACCGGTCTCCGGAGCCTGGGCTCTCTGTGCCGCCTGAGTTCCCCCCCCCCACACACGGGGAAAAAGTGAGGCCCCGGCCGGGGCGTGGGGGAGCACGCCCAGGGGGCAGTTCCGAGCTGGGGACCTAGTACCAGGCACTGTCCCCTCCTCGCTTCTTGCTTCTCCTCGCTTCTTGCTTCTCGGAGCTGACTACTGCCCCGAAAGGGCAAAGGGCGTCCCTTGGCGTCTCGGGGTCCTCCGCAGCCAGGTCCGGTGTTCGCACCGGGGGGCACTGCCTCCGACTGCCGTGCCCCCGGGCCTTCCCGGCTGGGGGTGGGCTTGCCCCCTGCGCACCCGGAGGCAGTGAGTTTGTGGGTTTGTGGGGTCTCCCTGCGGACACCCTACCTGGAGGCACCATCACAAGAGTCTTTTTTTTTTTTAATTTTGCTTTTTGGGTCACACCCAGCGATGCACAGGGGTTACTCCTGGTTCATGCACTCAGGAATTACTGCTGGCCATGCTTGGGGGACCATATGGGATGCTGGGAATTGAACCCAGGTCCGGCTGCTTGCAAGGCAAATGCCCTCCCCGCTGTTCCATTGCTCCAGCCCCACCAGAGAGTCTTTAGAAGTGAACTTAGATAGTAGAAACACCAGAGGTGGGCCACCTCAGAGAGAGGGGAGGGAGCGAGCAGGATCAGATTGGGGGCTGCTCACACGGGAAGTCCAGCCAAAGCAGGACCTCAGAACAGGACTGACAGGGGTGGAGGGGGATCCTATCCAGGTCCATGACTGGGGGCTCTGAGAATAATTTCCGGGAGGTGGGTGGGCAGAGCCCTCAGGGCTCCTCTGCCTGCCCCCTGCTCCCCACCTCCGTTCCTTGATCCAGGCAGGAGCTCTGAGTGGGTTTAGAAGTGTAGGGGGACTGTGAGCCTGGCAGGCAGGGGCCCTCACCAGCCCGTCCCCTCCCAGCCCCTGCCCTGCCACCCTATCCAACTGGCAGGAACCTGGGCCACAGCAGCCAGGGACAGCTTTGGGAGGCTGGGCAGGGAGTGTGCAGGCTCAGTGGGCTGAGGGGTCATAGACTCTGCACCCCAATCTCAAACCCCTGGGACCTGGGTCTGGCCTCATTCCTTGGCTTTGCACCGCTCACGGGCCCAGTTCCCACCTTGTTGTCATGGGGGTCCCCAACCATGTCCTCGCCCCCTATTTGCTCTCTTGTCACCTCCAGCCTGACCGTATGGCTTCAGGGTCCCCACCCGTGAGAAGCGGGTCCCCTGAGGTAGCAGGAGCCCCTCCTGGCACCACCCCCGGCAGCATCTTGGGCGTCACAACAGGTGGGGGTGTGCATGCGGGGAGTGTGAGAGGAGGGCTTTACAGAGCACATTCTACCTGCTACCCCCGGAGCCACCCCAGAGCCCCTGAAGCCTCTCCTGCATCTAGAAGGCTCACCCCAATGCATGCAGAGTGCAGGACCCCGCCCCCCCATGCATGCAGAGTGCGGGACCCCTTGGCCCCCACGCATGCAGAGTGCAAGACCCATACATACCCCCAGTAACAGCAGCGTGCATTGCCCCACAGCCACCTAAGTGCACAGCTCCTCATAACCCACAGAGCACCCTTCCAACCCCCCAAACCCCTCATACCCCCTCACAGCCCCTCACAACCCTGATATACCCCCCCACAGGCTACATAGCCCCCACAGGCTGCAGCCAGGTATGGACTCCAGCAGCTGGATGGTGGAGTCTCACCCACATGCCGTGGTAACCGGTGCTCCCCGCGGGCCCCTTCTCTGCACCCTGCATCCCAGACCCAGTTGCCACCAGCTGCCTGCAGCAGTACCCCACCCCGCCCCCGGCTCCTGGTTTGTGCGGTGCTCAGGGGGTTGACGAGACCAAGGCTGTGCCCTCGAGGTGGGCCACACAGACACCCTCCAGAGACATCCCGTGGGGGACTAGGACAGACACAGGGACCCCTGAGATTCATCCATCCCCCACCCTACCCCATGGAGCAGCCCAAGGCGCCCCAACACCTGCCCTGCTGCCCTGGGCCCCTCAGATGGGCAGAGGGGCCTGTGGGGGCGGTGAGGATCTGGAGGCTTAAGAGGTTGTGAGATCTGTGGGATTGGGGTGTGGGGGCTCTGGAGGCTGTGGGGGAAGTGGGACTTTGGGGGACTTTGGGGACTATGGGACTGTAGGGGCTATTGGGGTCTGTAAAAATGTGGGGGGCTATGGGGGCTGTGAGGATTATGGGGCTATGGAGGGCTTTGGGGGCTGTAGGTGTTTGTGAGGATCTTTGGGGGCTGTGGGGGGCTGTGAGGGGCTGTGGGGATCTTCGGGGGCTGTGGGGGGCTCTGAGAGTCTGTGAGGATCTTTGGGGGCTATAGGAGGCCTGTGGGAGGCTGGAGGTTCTGGGGGGCTATATGGGGCTGTGAGGGTTTGGGGGGGCTGGGGGAGCTGTGACACTTCTGGCCCTCCCACCCTCCCATAGACCTGTGTCAGCTCACACCCCATCCGTGGGCCTGAGGGAATCAAAGCTCCAGGAACTCGGAGGTCTCCTCCCTCCAGCCACCATGCAAACTACAGAGAGGTGAAAGGGTCCCGGTACTTGGGGACACTCCTGGGAGTCCCCAACCTCCCCTACCCCGTCCAGCCCTATGCAGCCCTGCAGGCGCCTCTGGGCTGGCTCCAGCCTATCACCCCAGGGCCACTCATGACTAGGGTACCGGGGCTGCAAAAGGACTGCTGGAGTGCAGGGAAGGGGCCCAGAGATCCCCGTCTGGAAGGTGCCTGAGGGAAGGGCCACAGGGAGCAGTGGAGCGAGGTTCAGGGGACACCGCAGCTGAGAGGGACCAGCTTGAGAGCAGAATCCACCACAAGAGGGCGCTGCCCGCTCCTGATCCAAGGGGCACTCTATTAGGGCCCAATTTAAGGAGTGCAGAGGGGAGGAGCCGGGAAAGCCAGATGCCCACTGACCAGGTTTCTAGGGTCCTGGAAGTGAGATGCCCCCGGTGGCTTCATGGTTTGCTAAGGGACAGGTGGGTGGGCTGGCAGAGTGGGAGGAACGGAATGGAGGAAGAAGAGGGGGAATGAATGAAAGGGGATGGGATGGAGGGGATGGAGGAGGAAGAGGGGGGAGAAAGGGATGGAGGAGGGGAGGGGTGGAGGAGTAGGATGAGGAGGGATACAGGAGGGGGAGGGATGGAGGAGGTGAAAGATGGTGAAGGGGAGAAATGGAAGCGGGAAAGAAAGAAGGGAGAGGAAAAGGGTGTGGAGGGAAGGGAAGAAGGGGATGGGAAGAGGAAGGAAGGAGAGGGCTGCAGGAGAAGCCAGGGGGAGCAGAGAATGAGTGGCCGAAGTGCCACCGGGATGGGAAGATTTGGGTGGGAGGTGCCTAGGAGTCCCCGCAGAGCTCCAGGTCCTGAAGCTCCCCGCCACGCGTCCTCGCTCACTGCAGAGCACAAGCACAGAGAAGAGCAGACTCATTTGCTGATGGATTTATAGCCGTCCAGGTTCACAGTGACTGGGGCAGCGCAAGGGGGGGGTAGACGTGGCTGGAGCAGCGGAGGCGTGGCTAGAGCCTAGTGGGCGTATCCATAGCAGAGGAGGCGTGGCTAGAGTTGAGGGCATGGCTGGCGTCGAGTGGGCGTGGTTGTGTTCGAGTGGGCGTGGCTAGAGCAGAGGTGGCTTGGAGAAGGGGTGGGGTGATTACCCAGGAGAGGTCTTTGACCTTGCACAGGACCAATCTGGGTAAGATCCCCGGCTCCCCACAAGATTCCCTGAGTTCGCCAGGAATGATCCTTGAGCTTAGAGGCAGGAATGAGTCTTGAGCACTGCTGTGTGTGCCCCCCACGGAAAAAAAATAAGGAATCTTAACAGTAGCTGTGCAGGTAACAGGCAGGTCCAGCCCCGGCTCCTCCTACCCACCCCCCCCACCCCCCCCAGTCTCCCTTCCTCCCGCCTTCCAGGCCTTGCCGCCAAGCTTGCTGACCTGGGCAGAAAGCACAACTGGCTTAGCCTGGGCACCACCAAAGCTGCATTTCCACAGCTGCGGCTGCAGGGGCTCCTCTGAGAGCAGGGACTGCAGGCGGCTTGTGTGCAGGTAATGACGCAGTCTGTGAAGACAGGCGAGATGGATAGTGGGTTCAGGCTAAGAAAGAGGACCTGGCCTGTTCTGACGTGACCTCAGCAGGGCTTGCTCTTTCGCTGCCCTCTGGGCAATTCCTTTCCTGAGCCTTCCTCCTCCAGGCTGGCCTCCCTGACTCCCCAGTTAAGTGCCCTGAGGTCCCTGGGAGCAGCTGCTCCAACAACAAGGGCAGGCACTACCCATCCCTGGGTGGAGACCCCCTGGCCTTGTCCCTGCCACCACCGCCCTGTGCGCCCTTCTGAGAAGCTTCCTGGGGGCTAGCACCCCTTCTACCCCAGGGAGCATCTGAAGGTCCCAGCACCCAAAGGGCCCTCAGTGGGACTCGATATACAGGC